ATCTTTCCAATCGGTTGGCCCCCCTTCTCGGCAATACCTCTTGTGTACCTACTCCCAAGCTGACGGTGACACAGACACAGTACATACAATTCCTTTAACGCGGGTAGGCAGTCTTATTGGCGTATATGTAAAAATATAAATACATGCTATATGTATATGGCGTGGGATGATAAACTGCGTCCTTTATGAGCCGTCTTATACTTTAATCTCGCTTGCCTAGGAGTAAGGATTCAGCCATAGGATACATACAACCGCTGAAGTCAGCTAAAGGGGATAGTTACCGGTATCCTTCAATATATATAAGACCTCTGAAGATCGCTATTTTTCAAAAGTACATGTCGCCTCATCAACTTCGAATCACTCGGCACTTAGATAGGCGGTCGTAGATAGTTTTATGGCGGCAGACACTTTCTGCCTTCTGATACATCGAGTACGTGGACCTAGTATTAGCAGATACATACATACTTAGGAATAGATCCGGCTGTTAAGGCTACATGTCACGTATCACAACAGGTTGACTGGCTACCTAGGTACTTGGCAGCCGAAGTATGTATGTACGCTCCAAATCAGTACGTACATACATAGGCACCGTCAAGTTGCTCAACTTTGATGGACAGCTTTTCCCTATTAGTCAGACAAGATGGTTACACCCATAGATCACCCAGACCGTTGGGCTGGGACTGCAAGCAGGCAGGGATCTGGGATAAATAGGATTCCTACGAATCCAGCTTCGAGTGATTTCTCGCCAAACCAAACGCCAAACAGCTTTTCTCTCCATGACATCATGTCACCCCTTTCCACCAATCTCTTCCCATCAATAGGATACGACCAAGCAAGCACATGTATCGATCTATGTAGTATGTAGCGTCCATCATGTATAGGCGTTGTAGATCACCCGGGGTAGATCCCCAAGATCTTTGGGGTAGGTTAAGGAGGTAGCTACCTAGGTAGGCAATTCTAGGTCTTGCCATATAGAAAATCCCATCATCATAGACCATGCGTACTTCACGGTACGCGACGTAATTCTCGCATCAGCTCCCTCCAGAACCCAAACGGCATACGGCAAACGGCGGCCTAGTCACCATCAGCATCACGGCCTCTCTTGTATCACCTACAGATATGGTACATTCCAATGCTTACATGTCGCCTCCCCACGGCAGTTATCAGTAGTCGATCATGGATTATCCCCTTCCTTCTCGGCTGCCTCCGGATATGAAGCTGTTACCTAACTCTCCTTCCTGTAACGACCTCCAAAGCCCTACTTTATATTACGGCGGGATCCGTATTGGCCAGACTCGTAGGATAGATACCTTACCTAGTATCTAGACTGGCCGAGGTGACAGTTCAGAAGCCACCGAAAGCCCATGCCCATGCCCTATCAGCTATTCTCCTTTTCAGACACCCGATATTAACATAAGTCCTACGACGACTGTAGCTGCATGCTCCCGTACCTAGTAAGGAGCCGAGCTGATCCAAATGTTGCAAGACCCCGGTTTGGCCATGGCCTAATTGTCTTATAACATGCTTTATTAGCACACATTCCCCGGAATCATCGCATGGCCGCGGCTGGCTTTGTATGTAAAAGCAAGTGACCCCCGTGCAACGCAGGGAAGGCCTTACGCCTCATGTCCTAGATGGGCGAAAGCCTTGACCAGTATCCGCCCACAGTATCAATACGCATACACCTATCCAACGAAATATCGCGCCAACAGTATGTAAGAAAAGCCCAACGTCCAAGGTAGCTCACGTGGCTGACAGGATTAAGCCCGGAGCGAGATTCTCGGATCGACATAAGCTTCCCACGAGAGAATTTCGTACAGCTTTCTTGCTTCTTTCCATATCTGATCTGATCTGATCTGACCTGTCTCTCTGCCTAATAGAGGAATAGGATATATAAAAAAACCAAAAATCATCTCTGCTCTGAAACATAAATAGAGAGTAGCATTATGACCTGTCGTTAAAAGCTATTTCCCGTGGCGAGACCTTTAATCTCGCGTGACAATACTCGCTTAAGTCCTCAACAGCGTGACAACGCTCGCCCCAGCCTCGACCCCCATTCTGTCACCTTTCCTTTCATACACGTGCTTTGTTGAAGTTAGTTACCTGACTCTGACAGAAAAACCAAAATAAAACAGACCCCCAACCTCACCGGTTTCCCAAACGACGAGTAGCAGGACATATCTGCCAGGCCCGAATATGAAGCCTGCGAGACACAAGATAAAGGGAATCAGCGAAGCGGGCATTACTTCGCGCGTCAGACTGGTCCGGCTACAGAAGGGAAGGTTTGGGGGGGTTGAGTAGCAGCAAATAGTAGGAGAGGGGGGCAGATGCAGACAACCTTGGTAGCACGCAGCCACAATCTGCAAGCAATCACATCTAGATCGACCAGCCAAAGCCAAAAAAAAAGGGGGGGGGAGAGGGGGAACAGCAACAGCAACAAGGAAAGAAAAGGGTTGGACGACGCCCGCCGCACGGGACAGCCCACAGCAACCTTCGACGCTGGCTTGGCGAGGCGAGGCGGCTCGGGGAAGTACATGACTTTTTTTTTCCCCTTTCCCTTTCCCTTTCCCTTTCCATTTCCCCCAACCTTAACCCCAACCCCCAAAATCTAAAAGGCCTTCTTATTGTTATTTGGTCGCTGACGGCGGCCAGCCAGCAGAATCCAGTCACCGGATGCAGCCTCCCTATGTGCCGTCCCCTACACCCGGGGCGCCGATCCCCTCCCGCGCTGGCGCTGAAACTTTCGAGGGCGATCAGCAGGGGGTTTGGCTGGTTATTGCATATGTATGTACAGATCAGCTTTGAGGTTATGTACATGCGTGCCTACATGTTACATAGTAAGTACATATATGAACGATATATACCTACCTATGCACATAACTATAGTAAGTACAGCTATATATGTACGAGGCCTTCTCATTCAACGCTCTCCTCGTCCTTCAACTCCTCACGTGTCGATCCATCCGGCGCGTAGCCTAGCCAGTGGGGGTTTCCGAGCCCTCGAATTCGTACATCCATATCTCTTTCTTTTTCTTTTCTTTCGTTGTTGGGTGGTTTCCCGCACACCCCCGTCGCCCTAAATCGCGTAAACCGACTCTTCTGGCTAGCTGCTCGCCGCGCGTGAGCGTCTGCTGATCGCGGCGTCTTGCGTATAGCTCGTGTAACACACTCGCTCGTAGGGTCTACGTGCATGTATCATACATGTATCTAGAGCTGTGAGACCATACAAATGCTATGTATGTATGTAGGTATGCCGCGCGACTTGTGCCGCGCCTGCAACAGCCGGCTCTGCCTCCGTACATAATATGTATGTACATATATATGTATTAGTGGGCGTGAGTATCTAGGTACCAGGTAGGTAGGTAGGTAATGTTGCAACCGAGATCCCACCATGACGTGAGGCCGCTGTAAGCTCCATTACATGCAATCGTCATTCCACGATATACGCCAGTCCTTTGTATGTACAGCAATCCTACTTCAATAGGATACTCGAACATCCATCGTATCTTCTTTGTCACGTCTTGGTAATGGATCGCCGACATAGTGAAGATCTCGTATCCTCTCAACTACCTACCTCTACACATGGTCGTCCGTGTATGTAGCTGTCGTATATACCGCCCTATCAAGTGTTAAGCTTCGAGCTCCTCATGCCCTCGAGAGGGGCAATATAAAACAAGCTTTCCCGCACAGCAAGCAGCTGAACGAATGAATGACGAGTGCCTAGGTACCTATACTTGCAGCTAGATGGGATGGTGCAGATTCGCTTCGCAAGGTGGAATAATACTACCACAAATGCATATTTCTTTCGCGTCTGGTAACGATATTCCCATCACTGGGAATGTGGGCGATCGTCCCGATCTAACCCGAGGAACTCCCCCGCCAAACCATTCCGAAAGGGCGATGAGTGACGCGATCATGGTAAAGACAAATTCTGCCAAAAGTTCGTTGATTTCGTAGCATACCGGCATCAGACGTGTTAGGTCTTCCGAGTTATGTACAAATAATATTCGGTGCTAGGTACGTATGTAACTGTGGTACGTCGCTTTCAGTTATGTAAGTACTATCAGAAAGAACGAAGAGGAGATAGGAGATACGGCCAACTCGATCACAGCGATTACCATCGCGGATTACTGATGCCCACCTACCTACCTAATACACACCTAACGACAGTGGCTAATCCACACTATGGAAGTGAGTGTCTTATGCACTATTATTCCCAGCCAGTGCCATAACACCGAGATAGCCAAGCCCCATCCCCCCCACAGATAGACCGCCGACAAACTGCTTCCTCAAGGACCACCATACAACAACAATAACCCGTGATTATAGTGCTCTGCACGCCCGCGAGTGTTAGAATGGCATTCTTACGGACCGTACCTAGTATTTATCCAGCGCTCGTCAAAGACCAACAACGACCACATACGAAATCCCGCCCGCTTGCCTGCCTGCCTGACAAACCTCGCGCCACCATCCGCTCGCCCCTATCTTATTCCCGAAGGGTGGTTAAAGGAAGCCTAGGAGTTAGCGCGCACAGAGGGGCCCCGAGTATTATTCGTAGGTATGTGCACCTTTGCATACTTAGATCGGCGGCATATCTATATCGCGAGTAGCGCCATAAAAGAAAAAGAAAACCAAATCTGAAGTACGGGTATCGTGGGTAAATCGTATTTGTGCGCGTGGCTCATATACTACCTACTTATACGATATCTGGGCTTTAGTCATGATCATATTGAACTGGCATCCCGAGACCGCAACGTAGGCTGCGTAAAAAGGGGGGAAACTTCTACCGGCTGGCCTTGATTCATGAGACGATAATAACTTGACCGTTCGAATAATAGTTCTACTCGTGGTAAGAAGCGTAAGTAGAGCATGGAAAGTTACCTAGGTAGGTTGAGGAGTCAACTGCAAGATGAAGTGACACACGCAGTTGAAATAAGCTTGAGACAACGGATATCGTGTCTCGAAACGCTGCAGTGCCAAGAAAGTGAAGAAAAACATGGATGAGATCAGGGGTAGGGGTCGACTGTTGACTGGGTATAGCTACCTACTGTCACTCCTGGAAGGGTTATGGGGCAGCTAAGAGCTTTCTAAACGCCTCATCCTAGAACTGAATTATGCCTGCTAGTTAGGTATGCATTTGGATGAGATTACTAGGAACCTCAAAGAGTGACCAGAACTAAAGGAGAAAATTGGCCCAATATGCTAATAGGGGCCTATATTTCTAATGCGATGAATCTCTATGCGTCTAGTTTCAGCTTTTCTAGCATCTGATCGATCTTTTGTAGTAGGATCTGATAGTTTATAGCGTCGGACGCAAACTCGTCCTCCACAAGCTTTCCATCAAGGGTTCGAACCACACCTACAGGACCAGTCGTAGACTCTGCTACATCTGCCTTGGCAGAAGAGACCGCCTTGGTGTTGTCCGCCTCAGCAGTACCATTCACATTGTCTTCACTTATAGAAAGGTTGTTAACCTGCGAGGTTAGCAGCGCCTCATCTATCTTCTTGCTAGTTTCGTCATCGTCGTCCATCATCTCGTCCAATCCGGCATCTTCGAACCGTAGTCTGAAGCGCTCGGAAAGGTAATACCGGATATCGTCTAGAAGCTCAATCGTGTCCGTCTCCTCTCTCGTCTTAAGTCTAGAGGCGCTTTCCTGGATCAGCTCGGTGAATTCCTCTTCGTCGATGTAATATTCCAGACGATACGCGAGGTATCGGGCAGCGAACTCCTCCAGCCGCTGAACCCGCAAGTCCCAGGCCGCATGTATGACATCGTACACATTGATAGGCTCGACCTCAACTTCCACAGCGTCGTCCTCGCCTTCATAATTATGTGTTCGGTCGATCAGAACATTGTTGTTGCCGCTCCCTAATGTGCTGATGGCGACCGCAGCTTTCGTCTTTAGTTTGTCCAGGAAGAGCATATCGGATATATATAGTAGATCTAGACCCAACTCAAGCGGGCATTCGACCTTTTCAGTGTATAAAAACGCCAATATGATCTCAAGAACCTCTGGCAGACAATCAATCTTGATTATATGTAGGTGTTCTGATGCTTGAGCCTCACGAAATGGACCAGAAAACATGGTTTCGAAATACGGGGAGCGAATTAGCATTGCCTTGTGTGCTGGATACAATGTTGATTTCCTGTACTTCTTGGCACCGTTCTGTTTTGACGATTCAACACCTGGGCCGATAGGGATTCCACCTGATTCTTCTTGTTCGTCAGAATCGTCTTCATCGCTACCTGCTTCGTCGGCTCGTAGTAGGCAATCCGCAAATATGGAGTTGTCATGTGGCCATTTCACGTCGTGAACTTTTCGGCTATCAACAACAATCTTATTTCCGAGCACATTGTCTTGGAAAAAGCCCTGGACTTGTTCTTGAGCTCGGTTGACTTCATCCTGATGTCTTTGTCGTGCCAATCGTCGATCACCACCCGAAAGAATGGCCTCCCATAGGTGGTCAACCTCCAACTGTTTGCTGATCTTATCAACCCCAGTTAAAACGTCGTCCTCGGTGCTGCTACTTCGGACATCGACCAAATCTCTCGGAATATCGCCTAGGTATAGATACCTGAGGACAACTTCAAATGATTCAATGGGTTTGGACTGGGGTAACTTCCATGTTTCCGTCTCGGGGGCTTCGGTGAGTTTCCTCCGGAAGTATGGCGACCTGGCAGAGAGAAGGAACTTGTGAAGCTCAAATGACTTTGACCCTGCCACCAAGGTTATATCAGACGTCTTTGGCGTTTCCCGGGTAAGCAAACTACTGATATGCGCTGCCCATGGTTGCAAGGGATCTGTAGATTTTGAGTAGTCGTACTTGAGCAATAGGCTCCGAATCTTGTCGTTCAGAGCATTGTAGATACATCGTTCTCCTTGGAATGTATCTCGTTCTGCTAAAGCGCCCGACTCAACTATATTGCTCAGAATTAGTTGTTGTTTCGCGCCAGCTAGGATGCCAAGAATATCATCCCGGAGCCTAACACAGGGTTACAAGAGAGAACTCATTTGACGACCCTGTATTGGCCTATCTATGGAAAAAAAAACCTCATCCAAATAGGACACCTACGCAGTAGCTCGACTAGCTCGTAATGACCACAGAGACTTGCCTAGGTCAGACGATTGTCAGCCACCCTGGATGTTTAGGCGCAAGATATATACCTAGGTAGGTAGGTAGGTAGACAAGCTCAACTCACAATGATGAGTGGAGTGTAGTCGAACTCATCTTTGCCATTTATATTGACACCGGCAGAGATTAACTCCTGAGTTCGCTTGAGATCCCCTCGTCTGCAAGCTTGTAACAGTTCATTGAACTCGTTGCTTAGATCGAGCGGATTGTCATCGCGGAGTACACCACTCTTGACCAATTCCATGTCATCTTTCAATTTGGCTTCTAGCTCATGCTTTCGAAGAACCATGATTGATATTATAGGTACCTACCTAGGTACGTAGAGACTTGGATATATGATTAAGAAACAGGTACCTAGGTTTGTAGCTGGACTCCTGGAGATGTTATCCAAAGAATCATTGATGCTTCGTTAGATTCAATGCTATCATGAAGTCCGATAACCCCGAAAAAGCATCGATGTGGTTGGCGCTTATCTCAGCAAGCTCAGACTAGGAGGACGGTTTTGCTTTGTACCTTTTGCGCCACAGCACTTTTTAGCCAATCAGACCCCAGACCTACCCCTCCCACGCAAAACCGTTTCCTAGTCTGAGGCACGAAGGTGATCGTTTGTATTGAGCGTCCCCAACGGCAAATATTAAAAATATTAAAATAACCATTACAATCGAGAAATAAGCATTTAAATTTACTCCAATTCAGATAATTAAGCCATTGCGAATTCAATACGATTTTTTTGGTATTTTTACGGGTTTTAATTGTTGGTATATTCCACAAAGTTACATAAGTATCGTCACTCCCATCAGTTGCCACATCAAATTTACTTACGCGATACGCCAAATAGTTTTCCACCATAATAACGGATAAACAATCGTCTTTTTATAGCCTGTCCAGGCTACGAGAATAGTATCGTTATCGCTATAACCAAATACAACGCGTTGAGACGAAATACAACGCGTTGAGACGAAATACAACGCGTTGAGACGAAATACAGCGCGTTGAACCCTTCTAAGATAGCACATACCGTACCATCAATCCAGTCAAGCCATTCAAAGAGCCAAGCTCTTAAATGACAATACAAATACACTCGGGGCTAGAAAGGGCAATTATTCAGCTATTATCAAAGTTTGAAATTAATTGGGGCATTATTGGTTGAATGGTTACCGAGTGTCAATATAAAGGTGAAAAGTCGTGATTTTTACCTCTTGAATCAAATAATACATCAACATCACGCCAGAGAAATCAGAAAAAATGCTAACGGGCTTTAGAATATCTATTACTAGCCCTAAGAGCTTGTTTGAAATGGATAGGGTCTTTCGTTGCTTCGCTGTCGCTTAGTAGGGGTAGTTATTGGATTGTTGTTGGGAACGCTCCCAATTTGCTAATTACGTATAATTTACTTGCACCCTTACTATAACACAAAAAAAGTTGATACAGAGTTTATAATATGGTATATCTACCTCCGACATTTTACAAATTAAGAATATCTATTTTATTTATTTAGTTATGAAGTGTTTTGTTGAAAGGTCGATTTTTTTTGTATGGTGGTTGTGGGGGGCACAGCCAAAAATTCACCTTCGTGTCTTAGACTTGAATTTTTGACACGACACGCACAGCCCCACAGATACATTGGCACGGTCCATGTCTGTGGTGGCTGTGCGTGTGTGGCGTAAAAAATTTCAAGTCTAAGCTCGCTAAGATAAGTTGGCGCACACTGTGACCTTTGTAAGCAGCACTGCGGTTTAAGTGCATACTACTAACTAACACAGGATTAGTTCACATTCAATATGCACGCTAATAAACTCAGGCAATGTGGTATGTCATTTGTGATGATAAAAAGTTAAAAAGTGGTAACATCACGTGGTAGTAGACGGAAGGGGAGCCCGCCGTTTAGGGTACTTGCAGGTGTACGTACCTACATATGTGAGTAATTCGCTCGGGAACACCAATGACACGGTGCAGACGACATCGTCTCCAGAGCAATTTAGTAAAGAAGCAACACCAATCAATTTTATTTATCGATAAGAATCTCCAACGGTATTAAGCTTAAACTGGACTAGCCTAGGGTAGTGGTATCCACTGTGCCCCACTTAGAGCTAGACAGTTGCTGTGGTCACGGCAGGTTTGTTGACCAAAGAAGCAGTAACCAGTCAAGCGCAGTTTGTTAGGTAAGGATCGTGGGTACCAGGTACACATGGACTACCATTTCTTGTGAATCTTTTCACGCCCTAACCTAACCTTAGCAATCTAATAAACTTTACCTGCCAATACCTGCCAACCCCGGACCTCGTCTTCAAACTTTCTTTTCCTACCCAAACCTACCTGCACCTACCTACCGCAACGTCGAAATAGCCTCTGTTAGGCTTTTTTTTTTCATCAGTTCTTCTAATTGTTCATTTTTTTCATCTTTAAACTTTTTAGCTAACTACTCGCCTACCCGTCTCGTCTATGGCTGAGCATTAGTCTGACAAGCTTAAAATTGCTGTGCACTTAATTCATCATGTCGGATTCCATCAGTAGTCAGTACGAGGTACTGGAGAAGATAGGTAAGCACTTAAATATCTACCGTCTATTGTCGCCCGTGTGCCACCACTTCCATACCTACAGGGGCTGATTATTAACCTTTAACGTTCGCGAATGCAGGCCATGGCTCGTTCGGAATTATTCGCAAGGTCCGAAGGAAGACGGACGGCAAGGTCCTCTGTCGAAAGGAGATCAGCTATTTGAAGATGTCCCAAAAGGAACGTGAACAATTACACGCCGAGTTCCAAATCCTGTCGACTCTCCGACATCCCAATATCGTCGGTTACTATCACCGCGAACACCTCAAGCAAACCCAAGATTTACACTTGTACATGGAGTACTGTGGCAATGGCGATCTCGGCCGAATCATTCGAGGTCTCATCCAGCGCAAAGAGTATGCCGAAGAGGCATTCGTCTGGGAGATATTCGCACAGCTGGTCACCGCTCTTTACCGATGCCACTATGGAATAGACCCTCCAGAAGTTGGGAAGAATGTGTTAGAGATAGGCCATGCTGGCAAGAAGGTGCCGCATGGAGCTGTAACGATCCTTCACCGAGACCTAAAGCCTGAAAATGGTACGTGAAGTATATGAACCCTATTAAAGTTTTCGCTAATAATTATGCGCAGTCTTCCTCGGCGAAAATAACTCTGTTAAGCTTGGCGACTTTGGTCTTTCCAAGATGATCCAATCGCACGACTTTGCATCGACCTACGTTGGTACACCTTTCTACATGTCTCCCGAGATATGCGCCGCAGAGCGATACACACTCAAGTCTGACATCTGGTCGTTGGGATGCATCATCTATGAGCTTTGCGCTAGAGAACCTCCCTTCAACGCGAAGACACACTTCCAGCTCGTGCAGAAGATAAAGGAGGGAAAAGTTCAGACACTACCCAAGGTATATTCTGGAGAACTTATGGCTGTCATTAGAGATTGTCTGACAGTTAATCCTGACATGCGACCTGATACCGCGAAGTTGCTCAACCTCCCTGTTGTGCGATTGATGCGCAAGGAACGAGAGGCTGTAGAATTCAAAAGAGATCTAGAAGCGAAGAGTGACCTTGTTGATATAAAATTGAAGCAATTAGATCAAAAGATGGCCAGCATTGAAGCCGAGAAGGTGTACTTTGAACAAAAACTCGAAGCACAATTGCGGCGAGAGTGGGAGGTCAAGGCACGATTAGAGATTGATCGCCTTGTGAACGGAGAGATAGCACTGCTTCGGCGGCGTTTTGATGCTGAGGTCGACGCTCGAGTTCAAGAAGAATTACAGAAGAAGAGGGTTTCATTTGGACCGATCGAAACACAAGAGTTCAGGTCATCATCGGCATCCAAATCGGATTTTCCACGATCTGCTGCTACAAGTGTTGACAGCGAGTTCCCTTCCACTACAGATATCACCGAATTCTCAGTCGACTCGCCTGAAGAAATTGCGCCTCTTAAGCAGAATTCGCGCATGCCCTTCGGCCGAGCTCAGACTATGTTTGAGCGCAACCTCGCTACCCCATCGGCAATGGACGTCGATATGTCATCGCCATCGCCTATGGCAATTGCCTCTTTATCCCTATCACCTCGTCGTAATGGTCCTATTAAGGCCCCGACATCACGTAAACCCTCCATATTTGATCAAGATCAGGATCATGACGAATCCTCTTACAGGGTAGATTCCATGGAATCCGATTCCGAAGACGACGATACTCCACCCATCCCATCACCGTGTCGCCCCCCGCGAATAAACAAAAACCCCTTTGGTCCCCAGCGACCTATTCTCACAACTACTAAGACGGCCCCCATGAACCGTCTCCGGACCCAAGGCGCACTAGGCACTGCTAAGCCAGCCCCATCTCTACCTGCATCCGCCCCTGAGCCTCAAGTCCGCTCTCAACCTAGTAACGGTGCTCTCCGAGAGAAAGCGAACACTCCCAACCGAAGATTGAGCAAGATTCCTTCTGTTGCAAATCTAGGCGCACAAAACGGAGAAAATGGCATGCAGCGAACCTCATCGCTTAAGAAGGAACACGACCAGGCATTTACTAAGGTCATTGTAAAGAACAATATCAAGGGTCGCTCCCTGGTCGAACTTCAGCAAGCACGAGCCGGCGGGCGACCGGTCGAGAGCACGACTGCTAGTCCCAAGCGTAGCTTTAAAGACCGGGCATTCGCCGAGCCTGCTGTTTGGGATCCGGAGAAGGACGAGATGCCCAGTCCTTTCCTGGTGCGCAAGAAGCAGCCCGTGGCTCGAGTATGAGCCCATGAGAAAGACCCAACCCCTCTCTATTCTTCCGGGTGGACGGATGAATGTATTGATGACACTCACGAGACATATTACACATAAACATACATGCACACGCTTGACAGCATCACTTGTCACTCACACATACGCACATACGCACATACCTTTTTCTTTTGTTTCCTCCCTATCTTAAAGGAAGGAGATGGTGGTCTTATTTTAATCTGGAAAGGGGCGGCTGGAGGTAATGACGTTGGGTCCTCTGTTTCACAATGCATATTTCCTCTCTAACGCGACGCGTTAATAAAAAATTTCCCCGCCACATCAACAACAACAACAATGGCATGAACTGGTTACAGGCACAGGAGAGGCGTTTGTCCACACCCCCCCCTTACCCCCCGTTTTTAGAGAGTTTCGGCGTACCTGGATCTGGCTTTGACTTTGAGAACCGAGAAGATCATGGCTACCGAACTTCCACCAACGAATGTGTATAGTCGATTGCGAAATGTGACTATACTCTTATGAATTCTTTACCTACTTAATGGAACGAACTGATGGAACCCTGCGTGTGATTGGTCTGATTTGTTTATCGAGGTATGTATGTATGTCGTCGTGTGTCTTCTGTCTTGTGCGTCCAAGTTCGTGTTTGCCTCGTCGTACATGAAATCGATACGTCTGGACGACGCCATGATAATGATAGTGATGGGGAGGTGGTTGCTGTGATCATGGATGAGTCCGAATGTCTTGTGGCTTCTTTCCGAGAACCGAAAAAAGACAAAAACAAAAACAAAAACAACGCAAAACTTCCTCAAAACTGAATTCATCGTGTTGTTGCTGTGATGATTGTAATGGAACCTCCTAGGTTACATACCTCCTAAGTAGATAGATCCCTTCTCGGCTGTAGATTTTCCCCCCCCCTCCAGCTAATAATATCCAGGGGGGCTGAGCCCAAGTTTGCTTGCTTTACTGGGGTTGTGTCCCCCCCCTATTGTAAAGACTTTCCCTCCCCAGCCGCTTAACCCCTTAACCCCCAGCGCCACGGTAAAAGGGAGGTGTTGGCAACGCCGAACCTAAAAAAAAAAAAAAAAGAAAAGAAGAAGAAAAGAAAGTGTTTCGGTATACATAAATGGAAATGGTAGGGAGGTAGATGGCAGCTCTTTCTTAGTTGTCGTCGCAAAAGTACAGAAATTGGTCATTCTGATCCGTGGGTGTGTTGGCGGACTGGCATTGCTCTATGCGACAGCCACGTTAGCTTTTCTAGCTTTTCTTGTGTCGTGTGAGTTGGGAAAGGTGGCGCTTGTTATTATGTAGGTAGACAGGGGCCGGTCTATGCTGTGTAATGTAATGAGAAGGAGGGAGGGGAGGGGAGGGGAGGGGATGGAGATCGCACCCTGCTGCTTGTCACAGTCCCCGACCTTGAAGTCGGCGCCGCCCTTGTTGGAGAGGTCGGCGCAGTCGTTGTGTTGGTCGGAGCAGACTTTGTTCACGGCGTCATTGAAGCTGGACTGAATTTTATCCGGCCGTTAGTGTTAGTTAGTTGGTCCATCACGACGACCTGGGCACCTAATGGCAATAGACAAATCCCTAGGTAGGTGGTGGAGAGGCGTGGTGGTAAAACTCACGTAGGTCTCTTGGTCATGTCGTCCGCCTACGGATTTAAACGGCCTTTTGTCGCTGTCGCTGCCGTCGTTCAGCACAATCTATACCATCAGGTGCGTTCTCGTTAGCCAAGCTGTATGTATGCACTTAATCAACCCCCGCCGGGTTCTATTACCCCTTCCCCGGGTTCTGTGTGGTACGTGTAGGGGGGAGCCAACCTGCGCTGCATCTTGGTCACCCAGTGACCCGTTGAACTGCTGTGTAATACGTTAGTTGCACCTGGTATATATGTATTTCTCGACGACATTGAGAGGCGTGTATGTATGGATGTATGGATGCATGCATTGCATATGTGCAACCACTCACCTGGAAGTTCGCCGACGACTGCTGTCGTACGAATATCGTCGTCTGCAAGTCCCGCCGGATCTCCTTGATCACCTCGCCCCCAAGCACGCCGACGGCCAGCCCTGCCAGTAGTAGGGATGAGGCGCCCCAGGGCTTCTTCATTGTTTTTATCTGATTTGATCGCCGTTGTCCTTGTTTCCTTTCGTCGTTTGTTTCTGTGGGGACCAGCCAGCTAGCCTTGACGGATAATAATAGTACTTAAGCCTAGGTTGGGTAGTTAGGACTTTCGCATGAACAAGGGAAAGCTTGACTTTTTGTATCACGTCTGACTGAACCTAGAAAAAGATAAGCAGGAATAGATTCGAGGAATAGATAGGTCAGTTAGTATGGACTCTTGTAAAGCCCTCACATTCCCATCTATCAGCCCAACCAACCCATTTCTCCGTTTCAAGAAGAATAAAAAGGAGGATTTGGGGGGGGGTTTTTTTATTCACGACGCCGCTATACGTCGGACACAAAAAAAACCAAAACAAGAAAAAAGATGGGATAATAAGACGACATAACTAATCGTTCAAAACGCGGGGGGGAATTGTCTGTTGGCTCCGTCTGTTGGCTCCGGTGCCCAGGGCTGGTAGATGCGGTGCTGAAACGATCCTGAGACCGGACACGTCCCACCTCGGCAGGTCACTATTATTGTGATCAGTATATGTTAGGCACACACATAAGGACTTGCCTACATACCAATAGTGAATTATGCTGATATAATAGTCATCATCAATAGATGGATGTCAGACCCTAGTTAGACATGTAAGTAAAGCTTTCAAAAAGTATATAAAGTGTTAATAGCAGCATTGAAGCCCAGACTTAGGTATAGAGGTCGCGTGACTGAACCGTATACGTCCACGCGACCACCTAGATACCTAGTATTATGTCAGGCAAGTGTAGTAAGCTGTGTCGATGAGAAGAGAAGATTGAAGGATAAGACCTTCAATGTTGGCTAGAGACGTTCTTAAATACTGGCCACAGTGCGTCGCACTTTCCTTTCTGGCGTACCTGTTCACCATCTCTACCAAGATCGCGGCATGGCCCGAACACAGTCCGTCGAAGCTTAAAAAGAAGAGTCGGGATAGTTCCACATCTCAAGGTTCGATAGATCCCTCTCAAAGTATATGCTTTATTACTCTACCAATCTCATGGTAACAAGGCGGGCCGGCCCTAAACTCAATGTTAAGGTTCTAGGTTAGGTTAGTGTATTAGTCGACTTCAGCCTCAACTCTAAGTAGGTACTCCCATTATAGACAGACGGATACAGAGATTGGTAAATTCATTCTGTTTAGTTTATATGCAGGGTTTCTAACAGAATTGAATAAGGAAGCTGGTATTATGAAGCTGTGTACAAAAATCGCCCTTACCCCCTTAACAGGTCTCTCAGCTAACGTAGACTGGGACATTGAGCCTTCCTCTCCTTCCTCTCCTTCCTTCCTTGCTCTGCCGCCGAGTCTATCCGTTGCTCAAACTCGCGTTAACTAGTTTCTCGTTGATAACCGCCCGCCTGCCTGTGATGATGATCTTTTTATGGTATGATTCGTAATTGGAAATCTTCGGGCGATTTGTTTTCTCTATTCCTTAGGATGCTGGCTTATGTGATAGGGGATGAAACAAGATGATGACGATGATGCCATGCAAATTACTTCCTCTCAACTCCGACGCCGGCGGGCCCAAAATAATGCCGCATAATCAGTGAGAGATGAGAAAAAATGCCGGGAACTTGTCCCGGCGTTTAGAAGTTAGAAGCAGCATTTGTTTGCGTTGGCGCATGGTAGCTCTCGAGTGTGCTCTGGAACGGGCTGCGACCGGCGGTGCTACCACTGGGCTCAGTCTTCTCCGCAGTACCGGGACCACCAAATCCATCACCATAGCTAACCAACTCCTCACTCTCTTCCTGGTTGCGTCTCTTGCTTCGAAGTCTCCAGAACAGAACACCGGCAGCGGCGAGAACAATTGCGCCACCAACACCGACGCAAACGCCGATGACCGTCTTCTTAGTACCATCATCAATTCCTGTAGCTTTGTTTGTGGAGGCAGCATCGGGGGTGGGAGTAGATATAACAACACTAGATGATGAAGTCACTAAGGTCTGGCCGGCTGAATCTGTAGTGGTGATTACAGTGAAAAAGGTAGACGTAGATGGTGCTAGGGTCGTAGTTGGGGAGTCGCTGGTAGTGCTTTCGCCGCTGCCACTGCCATCGCTAGTCGTCGATGTTGCGGACGTCGCTGTAGTGGTAGTTGGTGCGTTGGTATCGGCAGTTGACGTAGTGGGTCCAGGGTTGGTGGTTGTAGAGGTCGAGGTAGGGCGAGTTGTGGTCGCGCTTGTGGTGGACTCGCGAGTAGAAGTTGAGGTTGCCTGCTGGGTAGTAGATGTGGATGACGGCGCGTCAGTAGTTGTCGAACTCGCTTCCGTAGTAGTGGCAGGGTTCAGTGGGTTTGCGGATGTGAGGCCCCCAAGTCCAATGGTAGTCGAATCATCTTGCCTCTTGACCTCATGATGGCCCTGTTCATTGTTGAGCCAAGCTACTCCAGTGACGGAGGTCACCGAAAGCGCCATCATAAGCAAATTGATGACCCGCGTCGGATACATGGTGATTGATGGTTGTTTCAAGGTTGCGAAAATACAAGAATGGGTCAATAGTGAAGAAAGTCGTGTTATATGGATGAAACCGTCCCTCCCTTCCTTTTGAGGCTCTGGATAGCTGGGTAGGAAGTTTGTTTTGTGAGACGTAGATTGGTGGCGATGGGACGTGCCAATCTTAAATCTATAGCACCGTCTACCAAACCCGCAAACCTAGATTCTGTTGATCGATACACCGACTGCGCGACCCAGTAATTACCTAGGTAGGTACACTTGTATATCTGGCGCTCGTGGGGAATAGGGGAACGAGTGAGAATAAAAAGTGAGAAGTGAGAATAAAAGTGAGTGAGAGAGTGAGAGACAAGCGTATGTAATAGTGGAGGTAGAGTTTAACGAGGGCCTCCAAAGGAAAAACAAACGCAGTTCGATATAATGTGTATTAGGAAAAGGATACAATAGGATGCTTTTTGGGATCGAATGAGGGAAAGAAACGAATGACCAAAGTAAGATGTGAAGAATCTGACGAAGGGCCCAGATTCTAGTGTAAGTAGAAGGAGAGAGACTTGCTTGGCGGGTGCTTTGAAGGTATGGTTACATTAACTTCGTATTTTTGCACAAAGATGCGCAATTAAGAAGGCTCGCGCATAATTATATTTAATCAAAGACCCAATCATAAGCCAACAAAGGTAAGGGGCAAGTGGACCAAGTGACCAAGTGGGGGCTTTCCAGTTTCTTAGACAACAGACTATACAAGTTGGTACAAACCGATACATTTACTTACCTGTGGACCCTATCTGAACTTCCTCAACGGTGAGTGATAGGGTCGTATATATTCGTACTTAGGCTAGTACCTGATGTATTTCCACATTTTGTTGAATAGCGCTAATGAATTTATTCTGCACTAATTTCCAATCTTCTTCATTGGCGACTAGTCCCAGTTTGTAATTCTTATTAACGCGCTGTAGATTTCATATGGATCAATTACTAAATACATATTTCAATCATTGAAATGGTATGGTTTACATATCCTTAGTGGTCTCCATCATCCATCATTGATCGATCGTATGCCGTAGTGTACATATGTAGTCTTGAAGGTATAGCAAGTTACAGTTGCAGTACCAACAGCAAAGCCCATAATCGATGACCCGAACCTGCCGGACTCACTTACCTTATGTAGCGTGATGTACATACATGATGCGCCGCATATTAACTGGGAAGTTACATACAGGGTACATAAATAAGTAGGGTACCTAAAAATAGAGACTTTTAGAAGCTCAGTCCTTCAGTCTTTCAGCCTTGAACAATGCGACAACAATAGACGTGATAGCAGAACCACGAGGTAATAAGCAATTCAATTGAATAAATTTTTTTTTTTTGCCTCGGCAGCACCTGTCTTGAATGATTTAGGTAACTATGTATGTCGACAGCGTGTTCAGTGTTGCGTACCTTAGGTAGGTATGTAGTGGATGAGTAAGCCTCTATCCGTGCTTGACAGCCCTAATTCCTAAATCCACTTATCGGTGATCATCAGGGCACTACTCCTAGTAGTGGGCATAAATTATTCAAGTTAGGGTCTTCCTCAAGGGTCTGGTCCGAAACTCAAGGGAACAGCCACATAGCCACAATGAAAGGACTTGGTCAAGTTGGTTTAGCGCCTTTGGAGACGGCGATGATGAATGATCAAAGTCGTAGAGTTACACTCCAACGTCAGTCATTGTCGATCCAACAACGTTGCATTTTACTGATGTTGTCAGGCCAAGAATTATGCTCGGAGGCACGGAGGCAGATCCATCCATAGCCTATGATCACTCTATCTGCAATTGCAAACACCACATTTCTATGTATGAGACAACGGTATTCCCGTATGACAATGCTCCAAACACTCGTGACTATGTTAATTTGCAACACAGGATCATGTTCTAAAACACCATCACGCATACAGTAGACATATACTACATAGTGTAACACTTAGATGCACGACCATGCTTAATGAATTGTAAAAGGAGAATAAAACTACTTGTTATATAATTGCGCACGTCGCCTTGTTACCCACAACCTCATTCACGGGTTACTTAGGTATAACTATATCTACCTACCTAACCTAGATGCCTACATACCCAGGTAGTTGATGCCAAGAGTAATTATCAGATGCCAGCCTGTACATAATAATTCCAATGAATCGCTCATAAGGTTCGCATATCTCGCCTTACGGGACATTCAAGTCCTAATCAAGGGGGCTTGACCAGATCGATCTAGAACTTCAGCCCGTGGCGTTTCTTCTAACGTATCCGTGCAATACACAATCATCCGTGCCCCGAGGTTCCGGCCTGTGCCTGGAATTCGGGTCTTATTTTTCATCCACTTTACCGTGAACCCGATCCCTCCGAGACTGTTTCGCCCTGCCCTATCTTTAAATAAAGTTGTTTCGCTTGAACAGTTGAACCCTTTTCGGCGCTTTGTATTGGGTAATAAATTAGATGGTAAGTTATCAGATGCTTTAGTACGGATGATGAATCTTTAATCGCAAACCTTCTTCACTTAGCATCTTTGCCGTTGTTTTTGCAACAGTGGCTCGATTTATAATTTTATTTGAGCCGCTACCGTCTGTACTAAACTCGGTCTACGCGCTTGAGTTTGACTACTGATCTAGGTGCTTCACAGGGGAAATACGTATTTCCACCTTGAGATAAACCCATCTGGCTGGTCATAAGAGCGATTACCTGTACTCACCATTGTGCTATTGATGTCTTCACGAGTAAGCGAGGGATGACATAGACTACCAGGGATTGAACTAGAGGTAGCCACGTGGTGAACTACCTTCCCCAAATGCCCAACCGTTTCATGCAATGTTGACCTCCAGAAATACATATACTATGTATTTCAATGGCTAGCAACAATTGAGTTCTCGGGGAAGAAAGGGGGATGCAATAATATGACGTTATTGTATACAAAGTGATTGTTCTCTAGGAACAGAATTGCCAATGTTATTCGACTTGCTTTTTTGAAATATACCGCAATACCACCAAGAATAGTGTGTTTCGAGATGCTTTATTCTTTCAGCATCAGACTGCAATTACATGTGTGCACGATGTCGGGGATGTAAGGTGAATCGTGGGAAGACACCTGTTTTCGTATAGCTATAACTAATACTAGGCATATAAAAAAACGAGAGATTGGGCAACTCATAGGTGTCAAATCAATTTGGGTTGGAACTCTTGCATCGCCAGCTATGTGCTCCTACTATGTTATTGGGTTAGGTCTCTTCTCATCAAATGATATGCTTCCGCCAGACTTGTTAGGAACCAAGGAACATATAAACATATAATAAGATAGACTGCATATATGGTGGTTATGGAGCCAGCTATATCAACCATATCACCCCAGCCTATGAATTGCCGTGTAGCCTTAAAGGTCTTCAAAGTGGGACAGCTTTACACTTGGCATTGTTCTTTTCATCATACCTAGTAGAAGTATGGGCAGGCCTGAGCAGGTATGTAGCATTGAAGGAACCCTGGCAATGAACGACCGAATTGCTACTGCACACACGTGTCTTTTGTATTGGAAGTAGTAATTGATAAGATGATTCAATGTAAGCATTGTATCACATTGATATTTATGTACCTACGTAGGTAGGATGTATGTACATAGTTCAATGTTGTTTGTGATTATAACATCGTAACCTGAGTAGAGATAGGTAGAGACGAAATGCGAAAATGCATGTGTACTACATAGTACTATGTACGTGTAGGTAGGTATGCATTAGCCAAGGTCAATTTGATGTTGTCAAAGAGCTTGCGTCATCGTATAACAATTTAGGTTTAAATTTCAACGATTCTGACAGTTTAACGTTGGTAGATGCATCATTAGTAGGTTGGTACCTACCTAAGTATATCTTATATTTAGGAAAGAATGGATCATTGGAAAAGGGGTAAAAAGGCAAAAGCCAAACAAAAAAAAGAGAAAAGGTAAAAAAAAAAAAAAAGAAGAGAGGGGAAAAGAAAAAGCAAAAGTTGAAATATAAATAATTCGTTGGTATTCTTCCAGCCCCAATTGTGAATCTGTTAATCCTTCACTGCAGCGAAGCATTTTAGATTTTCGTGAGATGAGATGTTCAATGACAACTAAGAAAGCGCGAACCAGCGTGGCAGGTGTGGGTATTCCAAGGTGATGGGAGTGCCTAGTACTAGGTACAGGGCATATCCATTTAATTATGGGCGAGGGGAAGCGCTATGCGAGTCCACATAACTCGACATAAGAAGTTGGTAACGTTGTTAGGTACTTAATGCACGTGCCAATACACGCAAAATATTGGTTGAAACGGCGACGGTTGAATGTATTTTATATCTTATCCAATTTAGCACTAGACTAGATCTTTAATAGCAATTTCCATAAACAGGCAATCCTGGACAATTTTTGAACAACTTGGGTTTTTTTTCCTCACAAGTGACAACCAAGGGGAATTAAGCTGGTTAGTAGTCCGAAGCTCTCCATCGCGTCTTTTACCAATCTCAAGTCCATCTTGAAATCACTCCTTCTATTAACTTGGTTTCACCGTTGATAGTGACAAGCCAACGTGAAGCCGATGGAGAGTTGTGTATTTTTACCATTCTTTTAATTCTTTTTTCCCACTCTTTTTTTATATTTTTTTATTCCGATCGTCGATCGTCTCGTCCCCGTTGAGCCTTCCATTTTCTTTTGACGCACTGAACGCGTCGCGACGAGTACCCACGCCCTGTTCAAGTACCGCAACTTTTACCCCTTAGTTGGCCCACGACCGATTTCAATCATTATCGGGGCCGCGAAAGGAGGCGCACGGTAACGCAAGAGTAAACATTCTGGAGATCCAGCAGCAGGCGATCCGTGCTTCGTCTGCGCTGATCTCGTCGTGGTAGGCACTCATTCCGGAACCCCCGTCGTCCATATCTTGTTTGAATCGTAGCATCTCAACGAACTTTTAGGCTAATTTGCACTTTCCTTTAAGTTCTTTAAAGACGCTGTCTTCAACGTCGTCGACCCCTCCTCGTGCCTCTGCACAGGACGGCACTGGAGCTTCGCCATCTCGTCTCAATTCGACGAGATCATCTCCTGTATCGAGTGCTTCCACGATCGACGACGACGGTGAGTCGTCTCCGGTGCTCCCACCGCTCCCGGCCCCCAAGCTACCGGGACGGGTATCCGAATATCTTAGGACGCCGCCTTCTAATCGCAGCACCGAAAGGGATTCGCAATACGTCACCGCTAGCTGGGGTTCACCGTACCCAGAAGCTGATAGCGACCATTTTCGCCGACTGAGCTTCAGTAGCGAGACTTCAGAAGATTCTCCGTTGCATCAGCTCGAGATTAATACCCCTTTCCTCCGCCCGGCTCCGTTGATCGCAACAACTGAGTCTGAACGCCCTTCTTCATCTCTTTCTGGTACTGCCGCCGTGCTTGCGAATCGTGCCCGACGCCCTCCACGGGGGATCACGGAAGATTGGATCCGGCAACATACCACTAGTGACCTAACTTCTGAACACCGTCACTGGCTCAGTGACGGGACCGACGATAGTGAGCCCTCTTCAGTGAGAAGCTCCATTACAGGCGAAGACGTGAGTTGGTTTGACGAATCCGATCCTAGGACCCCACGGCCTCCGCGATTACGAGCCATTCCTCATCCTTCTCGAGTCCCTAGCCAGGTGTCTCGACATCTACCACGGAAACGGTCCAGCAACGAGACCTTGAAACAGGCAGTTTTGAACCGACGTGTCGTTAGCAGAACCTCCAATATGGACGCGCTTGAAGTAGAAAGAAGCGGTCAGGATGCTGCTAGCATCCACACCATAGAGTCTCTGTCAGAGGCAGCAACAAGAACAGATACCCCTAGAAGTGATCAATTGAGTGCGAATGGATCAGTAACAACAGGATTTCACGAACCTCCAGCTACGCCCGCAAAACCCGCGAAAGTCGTTACGGGACGCACACCCCGCCCTAAGAAGAAAGTACCATGGAAAGGGAAGAACATATTGGTATGTTTACCGTGGGATGAGGAACGAGGTCAGCCTGGTAAAGGACCAATACCTCTAGGTGCAACAGAGGTGAAATCAATGCTGCGATCCTGGGAAGAGTTGGGGTACAATATTCGTGGTTTTGACTTGGAAGGAGCTCACGCTCCTTTGGATCCCCTCGATACTTATTCACAAAGTAGAGGCGAATGGCCTGATTCCGAAGATGTTACCCATGAACGATCCCAACATCAATATCAGGTGACGCTTCCGGATTTGAACGGTGTGTTTGCTTGCAATCCCTCTGTCATGGAAACTTTACTAATAGCAATACAGCGTGGAAAAACTACGTCAATGAACTGCAGGAGGCTAAGCTCAGGGCGCTTGGTGTGTCCTTCGGCGATGATGAAGCTGGCCCTGCATCCTCCATATCTCCGGTGGCGTCGAACATGAGTCGGCAAACTTCAAATCAATACCCCCAGTTGCCATTCTCTCCGCCTTTACCGGCAACTTCAACTGGTAGCAATGGGCAGGCATTCGCTTTCCCGCCTCCTTTCCTTTCCGGCCATGGCTCATCCGCCCAAAGCCCTGCGATAGGCTCAATTCCCTCTCCGGCATCTTTCAATGGCATGCATGGCAAATTCAACCCTCGTGCATCGATTTCCATATCACCACATGAGCTTCCCTTCCATTTCGCACAACATTCGCCTCATGCTTGGTCTCCGCAAATGCTACTACATCAACAACTTGGCCGTAGTGGCTCACCTTCTCTCCTAAACCTGAACTCTCTAGTGTCGCCAAACTCGCCCTTTCAGCGTGATGGCATACCTTCGCCGGCTGGTGTTCATCAAAGACACCAGTCTTTACAGTTCCCAATGCTTCCGCATCAATTCCTTCATAGAGCGGACTCGGCTAGAGCATCGCCCCGGCTGCAAGAACTTCGCGAGGTTGAAGAAGAGACGCAAAGTAACCCGTATGAGGAGAAGAGCCCAGTCAAAACTTCAGAGCCCACCCAGCAGTTCATACGTCACAATGCCAGTGCTAGCCTCCAAAAGGAGATTGATGATGCTGAATATCATCTTGAAGAACAATTCCGTTCTCAGCTAGAGCACGAAGACTACAGCCCACATAATGAGTGTGAGAAAGCGGAGGAAGAGACGGTCCAAGAACAAGCAGAGCCGCCTTCTGCTTCGCATACGAGGGGACCCTCAGTACACTTTGGCAACTTTGGAAATGACTCTGATGAAGGACCCAAACTTCACCACCCACAACCTCATAGTCGCGGCCACTCTCTTTCTCAAGCAGCCTACTATGATGAGCAGACACGAGATAGTACTGATGAAGGGAGCAGCAATAAAAAGCAGCCAGCCGGTCTGAACATCGCTAATGGTGACAGCTCGTATGAAGTCGAGACAAATCCCAGCAATATAGGAACTCCAAGCCAATCTTTTGACATGGTAAACCAATTACATGAGAGGGCATTCTCGACGACAAACCCGTGGGCCAATGAGCGTTCTTCTGATAGCAAGGGAGCTTCTCGCCATACAAGCCATACTAGCAAGCCTTCTCTATCCAAGTTGAACGCTGGAGCAGCCGAGTTCAAATTTAACCCTAAGAGTAGTTTTACTCCTGGTCAATTTGTCTTTGGCGGCAACAATGCGCAGCCGACTACATTCCAGGCCCCGTCATTTACCCCGAATGCCCATTCTGCTACTTCGAGTCACTTCAGCGTGCCCTCAACATCGTCATCTTCTAAGCTTAAGATCAATGCTTCAGCGCCAGCATTCTCACCTCGTAAGGGAGAGTTCAACTTCTCTACCTCTGGGCCAAAGTTCAACCCTGTCGCTCCTACTTTCCAACCTCTAAAGTCATTTGCTTCATCTGTTACAAGTGGAGGGGCTTCTGGTAATGACAGCGCCGATACTCGCGCGGCTAGCATTTTTAGCAAGATTGATTTGAAGAGCGCGGAATTCGTTAAGCCTGTTAAGAGCTCAAAGGCTATTCCTATTCTGCGCCCACCTAGCCAACACTCTCCCGCCGTTCCATCCCCGGGCGCTGCTAATGAAGATTCCACCCGGACGAGGAAGAAGTTCAGAGAAGACCATGGCGATGGTGACGAGGTACCCATATTTGCTGAGCCTATACCAGAACCAGAGAATGCGCCTGAGACAGAAGCCAATACCCCTGTATCCGAAACAGCAGAGTCTGTAAAGGAGGATACCCTCGACGAAGAGAATCTTCCTGCGCATGAGAAGATAGAGGATGACGAAAATGCCAACGTAGGCGATACAACATTTGCTTCTACCATTCTGTCGGAATCAACAGATGGGAAGTTGCACTCGGAGTCGAACGATACGAAAGCCACAACAAGCCCTTCGGCAACTTCCCCTGACCAGGACAAGTCTAACTGGAAGCCTTTCGAATTTAGTAACCCGACAGAGATTCAGGACTTCAACAATGCTAGGCCATTTGGGGATGAGGAGCCTTCGTTTCACAAGGAGCACAAAAAGAGTCTTTCGGCTACCGCTCATCCTTTCGTGCCTGGGTCTTTTACATTCGGTGCTATCAATCCTATAGCTGCTCCGTTCGAGCCTGCAATCAAGACGCCGCCATTCCAGATGAGCGGACAAGAGGATGAATCCGTCGATGATCGTGCTGGCTCGCCTACCCCTGGGCCAGACCTACAACCTACTGCTGGACCTCAGCCTGAGCCGATCTTCAAGATTCAACCTACAATTTCGGTGCCTGTATCTCCTCTGCCTGCAAAGGGCCTTGGCGTGTCGCGATTCGCATCTCCCCCGCCTGCTCCAAAGGGCTTGAGAGCATCAAGATTTGCGACCACGCCTTCGCCACAACCGAACTCGGCCGAGCTGACTGTCTCTCAGCATGCTGCTACACCGTCTACACCGTCTCCGATGTCTCAGAAGACTTCGCATCTTCCTGATGCGTTGGTAAGTCCTCCATCAGACGCAGGCTCCGAGTCGAGAGGCGACAGTACCGAAAACCTCACGTTCAAACAGATTGACGAGGTGATGCATCACCTCAATAAACATGACCCCACAATGGGAGTTAATAGAAGCGGGACGCCTGCTGGGAGTCGCCTACCTAGCCCCAGCCCTATGCGGAACTCTGCAGTCGCCGCTATCGCAAAATCATCACAGGTACCGTCCCGAAGTGACGCACCGAGCCCAAGTCCTCGACAATACCTCACCTTACCCAAGCAAGCTTCGACTCCAAGATCATCAACGGAGTTGGAGGATCCCTTTGTTGATCCTCCACAGAGTGTTGTCTCGCAATCATTCGACGGTGCAGTTCATCGGCTTAATGCTGGAGAAAATCTTCCGGAAAGTGAATGGGATGATGCATTCAGTGCTAACGAGCAAGAAAAGCTTGAGCAACGTGTCCAGTACTTCGATGGGCGTGTTCACGATGTTGTCGGCAATCTCCTGGCTTCCAGACTTGATCCTCTCGAAAGGACTCTTGGCTCTATTGAGCATGTCTTGGGCGGCCTAGCTCGTAGAGCACCATCTACTCGACGTGACAGACGCAGTATATCTGCTGAGGTCCAAGAAAGTGATGCGGATGACGAAGACGATGACGAGCCTGTTCGTCGCTCGTCGAGCCCTAGAAGGGACAAGAAGATGGAACAGATTCGTATTGCTGTATTGGATGCTCTAAACCAGCAGCAAACCATGCGTACCCTTCAGGCTGCTCAACTAGAGTCCGTTGAACAGGATCCCGCCAAGGAAGACTTAACAATGGTTAAAGCCCTGGAGCAAATGAAGCAAGAGCTCAGCCAGACGTTGCGATCGGAATTCCGTGGTGAAGATATTCGGAACATGGTGGAAGAAGCAGTTGGATGCATTGTGATTCCACCACCTCAACCGCTTATCAAAGACGACGACGAAGCCAACGCTAAGTTGTCTGAAATGCAATCAAGAATGAAGGAGCTCGAGCAACGACTACGTACCGAAGAGAGCAGAAACGAAACTGAGCGCTCAAGAGTCCTCGAACTTGAGGAACGTCTCCGAACCGCAGACAGTAGATACGACAATGAAACGACAATGAGGCGTAGTGCCGAAGATCGAGCTGCTAAGGTTCAACAACAGTTAGAACAAGCAGAGACAAAGGTAGAGGTTGAAATCATGAACCGTAGCATTTTTGACCAACGGATCCATGACCTTGAGGATCGACTCAGACATCAGGAAAATAAGACCGAGAATGAGCTTTTGGGACGCAGAGGAGCCGAGGACAGACTTTCGGAGGTTCAGCGACTTCTCCGAATCTCTTCCGAGGAAGAAGATCGTCTGCGAGTTGTTGTCGAAGAGCGTGATCAGAAGATCAAGGACATTGAGGAGGCATCCAACAAGACCACCATGCGTGTTACCCTCCTCGAAGCCGCCCAGCTGAGCGCCGAACAAACACATACTGAGATTAAGAATCGTCTCGGCATCTCAGAAATCGAGCTTCGTGACGCCAAGCAGGAGGCTCACCACTGGCGCTCTGAGGCCGAGCATGCAAGAGAAGCGGCTCATCGCCAAGCCGATAGCATCGTCCAAACTATTAAAGAGAACAAGCATCTACACAAGCTAATCGATACCCTCAGCGTCCAGCTTGAAGAGAACGAGCGGATCAGGGATACTTGGCGAGCCAAGTTTGTGGCTCTACAGGATGATATGGCTCATGCTGCCCGCGAAATCACGGAGGAGAACTCCCGTCGCTCGAAGAAGGAGCAAGCCCTCCTTGCACGTCAAGAAGTACTCGATGCTAGACTCCAAGCTGAGGCGCGGACACGCGAACGTCTCGAAACTGAAATTGAAAGGTTGGAGAACGGCGAGCGCGCTGGTATGAGGGCCGTAAGCGAATGCAAGCGACTCGACGTGCTGCTCATCGAGCTTCGCAATGAGAATCATGCCCTCCACCAGAATGCCCTTCGGTACCAGAGAGAAATCCAACAAGCAAGAGAATCCGCGGCAGTCGAAGTGCAAAGGACACAAACTTCATTGCAAGCCGAGTTAAACGCTGCTAACAATGAAGTTAACGTTGTGCGTGAGGAGCTCGAGGAAGAGATTAGCAAGCTAAGAGCTCAAGTCGATCAGATCAAGATGGATGCCGACACTGCGAAGGCTCACCATGAGATGATGCTTGAGGAAGCCCAAACGTCGAAGCAGACCGAACTGGAAGAAGCAGAAAATGTGAGGCGAAGCGAGATCAGCGAACTGATTCGTAAGCACCAGAACGAGGTGGAAGATCTCCAGGCTCGGTACGAACGGCAAATAAGCAATGGCACCGAGGACGCACAGCGCACGGAGCAAAACCTTCTAGAGCGACTCAGCCTGTCAACTTCCAAGACTGAACACCTCCAAGACCGCGTTGCCCACCTAGAAGACAAGGTACAGATTGCACAAGAAGCCGCTAAGGCAGCAGCACAAGCGGCGTCACAAGCTTCAAAGTCTGTTTTGCCCGGGCCTGTTGGTCAGACCAAGCAGCTTGCAGAGGCGATGCAACTTCCCGAGAAGGTTTCCCCGCAAGCCCTCCGCGAGTCTATCATGGTCTTGCAGGAACAATTACAGGCTCGCGAACAACGAATCGAGGAGCTTGAGCACGTAGTCGCTAAGCTCGACCCAGATGCTGCTATCAAGATATCGAAGCGAGATGATGAGATCACGTGGCTGCGAGAGCTTCTCGCTGTAAGACACGGAGATCTTCAAGACATAATCAATGCGTTGTCAGCCGAATACTTGAACAGAGAAGCCGTGAAGGATGCAGCTATACGCTTGAAGGCCAACTTACAGATGGAAGAGCAAGAGCGAGAGCGCGCCATGAATGGTGGATCGGCCATAAACTTACCAAACATTGCCGCTACTATTCGAGGAGCCGCCACCCCTCGGGTCGCCCAAGCAGTCATGCCTTTTGCTACCGCATGGAGTAGTTGGCGAAAGTCAAGCCAACAACCTGCGCGTCACAATCTGTCCAGGGGTGTATCATTGTCTCCGGCACCGGCCAGAAACTCTACGCCATCGAAAATAAAGAACGCTCCTCAAGGTGGCTTCCTGTCCGGCCTCATGACTCCACCGGCATCTAGTGTTAGAAACACACCTCCACTGCAGCAACATCAGGCGCAACCGACCGCATTTGGCAACACTGGCCGTATCTACACTGCGGAAGAGTTTGCAAATAGATCTCGAGGTGTCTCGATGACTACCCGGCAAGCCGAAAAGATGCCCCGGACGAGCACCCCTCCTCTGCAACAAGACCGTCGCCAACCTGTTACTCCTCCGATGATGCAGTCCGGTGCATACGATTTGGACGCGCGCGTCGAGGATTTTGACGATGCTTCTTTCTTTGATAACTAAGGAGTAAATTTGAGGCTGCCTGTCTAGGTAGCCTTAGACCTCCCACTTCATTTTTTTACAGAACATTGGCAAGGCATTTGAGGAACAAAGTTGATGTTATATAGCTGGATGTGTGCTTTTCATACCATTTGTCCTTCTTTTCCCATGCTGCCGCTGCCATCGCAGCCGCCGCAATGCAATGTCTAGATTGATACCCCCAAACCCAAAATACCCCCTTTTCCATCACTTCTTTCTTTTCTCTTCGTTACATACCTTAGTTTACCATAATGACCGCACGGACGAATACCATTCATTTTTCTCTTGGCAGATTCAGATCAGATTGACGAATATGGGGTTTCAGGTCTCCGAGTTCAAGTTTGATTTGATTTGCATTCGAGAAGAGAGAATGAGAATGAAAAGAAAAAGAAGAGATTGATTAATTGACCAAATCACAAACCCCCCTTTCACTTCTTCGTATTTTTCCTTACTATTATTTGCTTACCTTTTTTTTCCTTTGTTCTCTCTGCATAGCCGGATTTGGTGTGAAGAGTGAAGGTTCGAGAGTTGGAAGGGAATCTATTCACTCGTTCGTTTTTCGCTTGCTTGTTTGCCTGCTTGCTAGTTTTGGTTGGCTTTTTTCGTTTTTATATTTATTCCCCCCGCAGTCGTCGTCTTCCGCTTGTTTTTTGTTTTTTGTTTTTTTTAACTTTACGAAAAGGAGAGGCAGGCTCGGGATGGGAAAAATAAGGGGGGGATAAGGAAAGTGAAAGTGACAGAGAGAGAGAGAGAGAATGTGTGTGTAGGTAGTATAAGAGCCAACAAAAATAAAAAAGGCAAACGCAAACGCAACGCTTGATGTCCCGTTTTTTTGGTGTTTATGAACCGAGACAACAAAGAAGAAAAGGGCGATCTGATTAATCGCTGGCTACGAACAAAAATTACGTAGTAGTAGTAAAGTCAGCCAGCTTACCTTTTTGGCTTTTCCTCTCTCCTTTTCCTTCAGGAGTGGGAAAGGGGAGAAAGACGTGATGGTGGTGGTGGTGGAGGGAGGTTAGTTAGGTAGATGATGCCTAGAGCTATAATAATCAATATTTCCGTTACTCTCTCAGATCTTGCCTACCTACCTACCTAACCTAGGTTGCCCAAGGATATTTTGATGATCATGACTCCTGCAATTTGATGCTTTCTTTCATGACCGTGACAGATTTTACCGCTACATACCTGCGCCAAAAGGTGAAGAGGAACCGATCTCTCATCAATTGTCTTTAATATATGCTAGGTAGTAGAGTATAGTTATATATATGACAAGTTGCTTTGTCTCTCTTCAACTTTTTTAGGTATTCACTTTCACTTGCATTTAGGGAACTTGCGGTGTTTTCTTTCCTTGCGAGAAGTCATATTTTTTGATTTCTTGTTAAGCTAAAGTACTACCTATGTAGGTACCCAGGCGGATAAGTAGGTAGTGAGTGCTTGCTGCAAATATGGCTATGCTATGCTATTGTAAGTCTGTATGTGTGATAACTATACTCCTAATGAATGCTGTCCTTTTTTTGGATTGGTAAAATAAATAAATAAACCCAGCGCCGTCCCTGATGCATGGCTTGCAATGTGTTAGATATTAAGGAATGAACATTAAGTACTATAGAATGGATAGGACTTTTTTCCGTTATGATCGGTAATGATAATAAAAAAAAAGACGCCGGGACCCGAACACCACCTCCACCCCAAATGTTCAATTCAACCCCCGGACCCATGGATCTCTCATCTCGTATCGTATCGTATCGTATCGTATCATACCGTACGTAAGGCGTAAAGATGTTGGAAGAGAGGATGGATGCGTAAGCAATTAAATTAAATAAAAAAAGAAGACGGAAAAGGTTCGCTTATGCGGTAACACCACAGGCGCTGACGTCGACGAGGCGCGAGGTGGCGTCGATGCGGCCGAGGCTGACGGCCTGGCCGTTGGTGAGGGCGTTCATGGCGTCGAGGGCGATGTTGAAGCCGGAGCCGGCGTGGTCGATGGCCAGGACGTTGATGGTCTTGCCCTGGTACGCGAGCTCGTAGCAGGTGCCGCACTGTTTGTTGTTGTTTATTAGCCTTTTGTTTGGTTCGGAAAGGAGGAAAAAAAAACTCCGAGATGGATGGTTATGCTTAAAAAAAAGCTGGGGGGCGGGTGTGGGGTGGGTTTTAGATAGATCGCGATACGGTCTGGGCTATGTGTGGAGATGGAGATGCCTCCACAATAACTATATCCATATGTAGGTTTTGTGGATTTGAGGGGAAGGGGGAAAGGAAGGAAGGAAGGAGAAAGAAACAATGAGAGAAACTTACAGCTGATGAACCCCAGCCGCCGATAGCATCAGTGCCGCCGATGTAGGTGGTGGGAATGTCGCCCTGTGTTTGCCATCCGTAGCGGGTGATCAGGCCGGTAGGGCCGTCGGAGCAGGAGATGACGGTAAGAGAGCGAGATCGGTCATCGTAGCCGGTATCGTAGGAGACTATGTATAAAGTTAGCAAATGCGATTTCACTGAGATTTACCATATCTAGGTAGCTAGATAGGTAGAAGATGCGTACCAGAGACAGCCGACGAGGCGACGGCGAGGGAAAGGAGCTGGACAAGCTTGGTGAACTGCATATTGATGGTTGTTGGGGGGGTTGGTTTGGAAGGGAGAATAAGATATATTCTGGAGTTGATAGAGATGGAGACGTGGGTGAGAGTATTGAAACTTTGAGATGTTGTTGTTGATGTTGATGTTGAAGCTGATGCTGATGATAATGAGAAGACTATTGAAAAGACGAGAGGATGTCGTCTTTATATGCTCACTCTCATCTATTCATTCAGGTAATATTTACTTACATACTACCAACCAACACCTGACGTAGGTAGCTGTTTTTCTCCATACCTCGTATACCATTCAAACCATTCGACGATACGTTACGTGTGGTCGTGAAGCCAGCCATCATACGTGGTGACATTCTGCAGCTTGGCGGAACTTCGGTCGACTCAAAGAACTGACAGGTTACTCGAGTGTTTTTTTTTACCGAAGCTAACCACATATTGCACCTAGTAGCATAGCCCATCCATGTCCCTCGACGACCAGACTGACCAGATGATGCTGATAACTTACCTAGTACCATGGGCTGTACTCTAGCTAGAATCTACACTAACTTAGTTCGATTCAACTGCTAGTCTCGCTGCGCTGCACCACATCAGAAGGACGGTGGAGGCATGCGCGGTATGACATGAGAGCGGTCGATACTTTGTAGAATGTATCGGACAATATCTACAATACTGTGCAACTTCAGCGGGCCTCTGGTTCTCGTGTTCGTGCCCTTGAGAGGATATGTGGGGTGCGATACCGCCGATCCCTTTCGTATTAGGTGCTGCTAGGTGTTGCTAGGTGCTGCGGCTTGGCTTGGTAGTACCGCTGGGGCCGCAAGTTGCCATTTATAGTAACGATAGTGCGGTCTACACCCTGCAATGCAATGCCGTTCAAGTCCCGTACAATTGGAGTGCGCTAGCGGTAGTTCAATACAGTAAAGAATGAGAGCTTTGTGTGGCTTACGAGCACTTGTTGGTTCTAGAAACCTACCTAGATAGGTAGGTATGTAGGTTGTTGGCTTGTTGCAAAAAGTCGGGCGCTGGTATTTGTGTTTACAACAGCGAGACAAATTAGTATCTCCTGAGTCCTGAATTCCCACTTGTTCTTTGAAACAAACATCAACAAACCCAACAAGTCTTGTACATACATACCTGCATACCTGCATACCTTCCTACCTGATTTTGATAAGTAAAGTAAAAAAGTGCTAAGTCCTTTCATCATTACCATAATAGACGCCTTGAGAACAAACTCATGAGTTCACAGTATGTGTTTTACTACGTAGTAGGGCTACCCGAAGGCTCCGCGTATTCGCATGCGGCCTATGAATGAGGCTGAGATATATGCACGAGTGTAAGTGGCTCCCGACGGAGATCCGGGGTCAGCCCTCACTTGCGGCTCTATTGGTGTTTGTTTATCAGCTAGCCCTATCGTGGATCGTGGATGGCAAGATCAGTGGTGCAAGTGCGGCTATCCGATAAATCGTAGTAGCCTATTCTCGACATTCCCATAGTATACTTGTCAGTATTGTTGTCTGATTTTGGACGTGTAGTCTCGACGAGCTTTGGAAAGGATCATTTCTGCATGCTCACTCTGCCACATGGCTGTTCTTGATGCGATTATATTCTTCAAGATCAAGTTGCTCAGCTGATTATGTTCGGGCTCTGGAACGTCTGGTGCAAGTTGCCGCCAATCTGGGCCTCTTTTGACTTTTGAAAGCCAGCAAGTTGCTTTATCTAGAGTCCATTGATAGCCCATAATCGATCCTTGTAGCCTCTCAGCATCTTTGCCGTAGACAAGTCTTGATCCGCTTTGGGCGACGACCTTTGGACGACGATTAAAACTTGTTCGAGTTATGTAAGCTACCCCGTATGTAGGACTATATAATTGCATGGTTAGATCGTAGGTATATCCGCTTTTGAGATGCTGACGATCGTCCCACCCAGTCCAGGTAATCCACGTCCCTCACTTAAACACCTGCAGTGACAAGTGCAGTGACAAGACTGCAAGAGTGCTTTTCTCCATGTTTATCGGGTCGTGTTTCTAGCAGGTTCTAAAGTGAGCAGGATCGTCATTCAAGCTTTAGGGAAATGGCCATATGGACGGGGACCGCCAACGGCCGACAAGGACTTCCCGTTTGCCGTGTTGACTGATGCAGGGCTGAGAAGATAATCCAACGAACTGCGCTCTGGTCCATAATTCTTCGGAGAGAAATTTCCGGTGTCATTCTATCGCAGGATTCTGACGCCGTCTGATCTTTTGTGGTGGGGTTTGATCTGTCGGAAGAGGTAGGTATATATAATCCTATATCTGAGACACCAGATATCCATCTTCAAGTCCCAAGAAGCCTCTCTTTTTCGTATCTCTTCCCCAAACATACACATCACATATCAATAACATCCAAACTGACTCCCAAGCTACCTGTAGCTCTGACGGCAAATCAATACCAAAACTGACGTGAAGGCAGGCCATATATGCCTGGCTATCTGACATGGCGATATTCGCATCTGCTCTTCATCCAAGCTTCCTACCTCAGCGTACCCGGTAGCTTCTATCGAACCTATGGTCCATCAAGTTAAGTAGACCATGGTTGAGTGAATGTGTGGGCGTACCGCAATCAACAAATCTTGTGAGTTTTGTAGTCTTTGTGCTCGGGCTGTTGTGTTGTTTTCAATGTTGTGTGTTTGTGCAAGTGTGCAATCCAAGTGAATAAATTATCTGTCTCTTATGTTTATCATAATAGTTCTTTCTTGATCTGTTCATTTTCAGCACCTACAACAAAGTAGGTATGTTATACTGCGCTAGTACTACTAGTAGTAGTATGAAGTACTATGAACTCTGGAGATGTAAGTAGGAAGGTTCATCACGAACCCCTCAGCAGATCAGCAGAAACATAAAACAAATTCAATGTTGATCGATTTGATGTTTAGTACGGCGATAGTACTACGGGATAATGTTTATACATAAGTGCTAACTATTCATATGTTATGCATGTGGGGCACGTCGGTTGTCGGACTCTTTTAAAACCCTTAAACCCCTTGTTCGGATGTTCCTGTGCTTAACAGTACTTATTCTAGTCTATTCTAGTCTGAATTGGGTTAGATCAGATGAGATGAGGATACGTAACTTTAGTCCGCAGCCCCTGCATCGAAAGCTTATCCATGTTTCGCTTCCTCCCGTCACTTTATTGCCGTTGTACTTCGTACTTGGAGTATTTCTTCTAGTACGAGATTCGCACCTTTTTACGAGCGCCGTCGAACTCGCTGGCTTGTACTTATTTTCCTTGTTCTCGCGTTAATGACACTCGTCATACTTCTCCCAACTTCCTTTCGTTTTCCTCATCGACTGGCTGGTCCGTTGTAACGACTTAACTATCTAGGTACGAAATAGAATAAAAATGTCTACCGTCGACCCTAGCACCCGAAAAAGGGTGCTTAAAGTGATATTCATCTCTTTGCTTTTAGATTTGGTACGTTGCATATCTGGGCCGGAGGGGACGGAGGGGACGGAAGGGGCGCGCCGGGTAGAGCTTGCAAACTAATATTAAGCTTGAACTTCACAGGTCTCCTTTACCTTCATTCTCCCTCTCTTCCCCAAACTTCTTGAGTTCTACCGAAACAGCGAAGCCGGCCCCGAGTCGCAATCGACCCTACTTGCGCGCATCATCGACGGCCTTCACACCTACAAGTCAGCATTCGCGAAACCTATCGACTCGAGATATGATATTGTTCTACTGGGTGGCGCCCTAGGTAGCTTGTTCTCTCTACTTCAAGCCATCGCCTCTCCCGTCATTGGTCACCTCTCCGACAGATATGGCAGAAGGGCAGCACTACTGGCCAGTATGGCTGGAAATATCGTCTCTGTCCTCCTTTGGGTCATGGCAGTGGATTTCAGAACCTTCCTTGCCTCGCGCATAGTTGGTGGACTATCGGAGGGTAACGTCCAACTAGCGACAGCCATTGCTACCGATATCTCAGATGAGAACAGTCGCGGTTCGACCATGGCTTTGATAGGCGCATGCTTTTCTATTGCTTTCACCTTCGGCCCAGCCCTCGGCGCATACCTGAGCACCATTGCCACCGTCGCTGCGAACCCCTTTGCGACAGCTGCCGGTGTATCTCTGTCTCTGATCGTGGTCGAGACAGCTTACCTGTACTTTGCGTTACCTGAGACGCTACCAAACAGAACAGGGAAGCAAAGCACGGCCAAGACAGTTGCCAAGCCAGCTGCCGTGACGCGCACGAACTCGCACTTCCTGTTGAACTTGGTGCACTTCAGCTTTTTACTCTTCTTCTCGGGCATGGAATTCTCACTACCATTCATGACCTACGATCTTTTCCAGTACAACTCAGCGCAGAACGGGCGGCTACTTGGTTATGTAGGCCTGGTAGCGTCGATACTACAGGGCGGAGTCACGCGCCGCTTACCTCCTCTACTTACCGTGCGAATGGGTGTGACGGCATGCCTAGTTGCCTTCGTCATGCTAGGGCGCATCAGCACCGTCGGCTCGCTATACCTTGCTGCCACGTGCCTAGCAACCACATCAGCCACAGTCGTCAGCGGTCTCAACACCCTAAGCAGTTTCGAGGCGAACGAGGGCGAGCGAGGCGGCAAGCTAGGCATTCTCAGGAGCTGGGGTCAGCTTGGACGAGGCTTGGGACCGATCTTGTTCACTAGCGTGTACTGGTGGGCGGGCAGAGAAGTTGCTTACAATGTGGGGGCATTGGGAATCTTGGTCGTCACTTTGCTAGTTTTCGCCGGACTGAAGTCACCGCCCGGTTCACTAAAGAAGAAGGCGAAGTCGGAGAAGAAGGAATTGTAAATATGAGAGACATGTACGATATAAATATCTGTTCATATAGGTAGATTTTGGCAGGATGAAGCTGGACATAGATAGGTATCTAGGTAATACCGAAGAGTTGGTTTCGAAGAAATGAAGACAATATCGAAAGATTATTAAACAAACCTCTACAACTATGCAAGAATGCAGGATATACGAATGAATAAGATCATCGAGGTTTAGGCAACAGTTTATTCGATGATCTTGCGATTAAGCTTCGTTTACTCCGTACAAGACAACGGGACTGAAGATCTCTTTGCCCTTGCTGGCCCGGGGTACATATATTCCTAACCCTAGTGTAAATCGAAACATCCACCCAAGGACAACTCCAGCATGGCGCGTCTTTAAGAAGCTCAAAATGTTGATGTTAATAATAGCTTTCCTAGGTTGAGGTACATAAGTGGTCCAATGGCTACTTAAGTATTTGGTAATTAAGCGAAAAATGAATGCCAATTGTTGAAATTAGGACTTAAAGCACAGCCCCTCGTAGTGTTCCTGCTAGTCAACGAACAACTACACATTTACTTCTCATTGGACGTTGATTTAGGTTTTAGTCCTTCAGCCGCACCTGGTCTGGTAGGTTAGGTAGCTGGTAGGGTAGCTGTGCTAGGCAGAAGCTATTCGAGTTCGAGCATAATTAGCTGTTCGTCTATTGGTCAAGTAGGTACCTACCTATGTAGGCACATCAATATGTAGGTAGGTACTACTAGTAGTAGACAGTGACATTTCAGACACGAAAGATTGTAACTCTATGTAAGATAATATGTAGATAAGTTACTGAGCAAGATACTCCAATGTGACGGTGAACGGCCGGGATGGCCCGCTTTGATATAAATGATATTATTGCATAGGTAGGTATGTATCGATGCTGCCTAATCCCTTCAGTCGTGTAAACCACCGCAGTATGTGACAGGTCACTCGACATAATTTTAATGGCTGAGACCCTACCTAGTAGCTACTACATGCAGGTACCTAAGGTAAGTGTACAATAAATAGAATTGTAGTGCGGTAGTCTCGATATCTAATGTACCTAAGTTGTAGTCCGTTAAGCAGCCCTACCAGCTTCCGAAATTCGAAAGGGATCCCCCGCAAACCCTATCCCCAACGGCTGTCTTAGGTGACCCACCCGAGTGGGGAAATCTCTTACTCAATCGGGGAATTCAACATTGACAGCAACGCATCTGATTGGCTGTGTTCATCTGATTACTCAGACGAACAAAGGTTCAACCAATTGGAGTTATTTATTGATAGACTGCTATGTATCGTGTACCTACGTAGGCATACAATTTTAACCCCTATGCCCGACGTGATGAGATGATGCGGAACCCATAAATACGCACAAACTGGAGTAGGTACTTCGTAACCTGTCTCCTTATAGAGAGCAAGTTTGATCCAATTATCGTTTAGCTCGGCGAAGAGCTGAAAGACTATCCCTTCTCATTTATGGAATCTATGGAAAGATAGCACAGCCTACCAACAGGAGACTGCCTTAGGCACCCAAGTATTCTGCACGTGTAGGTTGGACTACTTTCCTGTCCTGTGCGGCGCAGCATGGATCCAACTCCGCGAGACTACCTACCGGGTTGTCTGGGTTTAGGTACTAGGTAATATACTCAGATATCCGGAATCGAGCCCCTTATTCAAATAGAAGCTCAAGTCCACGATGCGTTTCAGATATTATTGTGTCTTGTCATCACAAGTTCAGACACTCGCTTGTCTCACCTTAATAGCACACCCCCCTTTTCTTTAGCTGTTGTTTGTCTCGAGCTATCGAGATGAAGCCCACGATGCAGACCAATCTGTTCCTGGCCACACTCCTCGGCCGTCTTGCTACGGCTCAAACTCCCCCGAGCTTCGATTGGGACTCCATCAGCCCGTCGACTTCACTTGCGTACACGGACTGCTACGGTGCTTTCAAGTGTGCCAAGCTATCTGTGCCGCTCGACTGGCTTGACGAATCGTCAAATGGTACCAACGGTACCGACCGTGTGAGCCTCGCTATTCTCAAGCTCCCTGCTGTCGTCAATGACACCGATCCTACCTTTGGCGGCACCATCATCACCAACCCGGGCGGCCCCGGAGGTTCCGGAGTCGAGTTCGTTCTCTTAGCAGGAAGCAGGATGCAAAGTGTCGCCGACGGCGAAAAACACTACGAGATCCTGTCCTTTGACCCTCGCGGTGTTGGGTAAGCCTTTTTTATCCTCTTTTGCCATCTTTAAATCTTCACATTGATTACGTTTAACTAATCAAATCTATAGTTTCACTGAGCCCAAGAGCGACTGCTACAACGACGAGTTCTCACGTGCTGTGACCTCCATCCAGCAGCGCTCCCTCGGCCCTCTCACCGGCGGCCTCGAGATCATCCGGCGCCAAAGAGCGCTCTACGACGCCTACGGGCGCCTCTGCGAGCGCGGCCCCGACATCCACCGCTACATGACCACGTCCAGCGTGGCGCGGGACATGGTTGAGATCATCGACAAGATCGACGAGCTTCGACAGAAGGAGGCTCAGAGCTCGGTGCCGCGCTATCGTAGAGGAGCCTCGCAGCAGTTCCAGACGCGCCAGGAGAAGGACCTGCCCCGGATCCAGTATTGGGGATTTTCGTACGGCACGGTCCTCGGAAACTACTTTGCTTCGATGTTCCCTGGCCGTGTTGGCCGCATGATACTCGAGGCTGTCGTGGATGTCCATGATTACTACAGTGCCGTAAGTATTTTCTTTCCCGTCTGGTTAACGCCAAGCCCCTGTGTAAGTATTTATGAGCAAGCTAACACGAGTAACAATCATAGGCCTGGGAAAAGAACCTGATCGACACGGAGAGCGACTACAACACGCTCTTCACGACCTGCTTCGACGGCAAAGCCAACTGCGCCCTGTACCAGCCCACCGACAGCAGCGCCTCCGACATCCGCGCGCGCTTCGACGCCTTCCTCGCCTCCCTCGACGCCACCCCCGCGCAGTACGTGTCCCCCGACTCCAACAACATCGAGCAATTCACGCGCGACGACATCCTCGGCATCGTCTTCTCGACCCTCTACCAGCCCCTCCTCTACTTCCCCACCCTCGCCTCGGGTCTCGCGCAGGCCATGGAAGGGAACCTCACCGCCGTCTACCAGACCCTCACCCAGGTCCCGCGCTCGTCCGCGGGGTACTGCCCGACCCCCGCGCCGACCGAGTACACGTGGGCCAGCGACGCGCTCGCCGGCATCGGCTGCGGCGACGCCGAGCCCCAGGCCGCGTCGACCGTCGCCGGCTTCGCGGGGTACCTCGGCACGCTCGAGGCGCAGTCGCCGCACTTCGCCGCCAGCTGGGCGCACATCCACCTGACCTGCGACACGTGGCGCGTGCGCCCGGCGTACCGGTTCGCGGGCCCGTGGACGACGCCGGCGCCCACCGGCGCCAACGCGTCCGCCGAGGCCGGGAGGCCGGCGGCGCCGATCCTGTTCCTGTCGAGCCTGCACGACCCCGTCACGCCGCGCGCGAACGCCGTCGCGATGGCGGCGGAGCACCCCGGCGCCGCGGTGCTGACGCAGGCGAATGCGGGGCACGGGACGCTGGAGGTGCCGGGGAAGTGCAGGGACGACTATGTGAAGGTCTACTTGGCGACGGGCGAGGTGCCGCCGGCGGACACGGTTTGCGAGCCGGATTGCGAGCCGTTTCAGCCGTGCGCGGAGTTGGAGGCGGGGGCGGCGGCGAAGAGGTCGTTGGGGAAGAGGGCGGGTGATGGGGCGCCGGAGTGGCCGCCGAGGAGGCGGCTGCCGTTGAGTGTGGTGTAGATACCTAGTAGAGGTGGAGGTGATTGTTAAGGGGGTAAAGGGTATGAGTTGGGTATTGGGTATCATAGACGGGCTAATTGGGCGCTTTGAATGAATAGGGATGGGTGGACGGATGGATGGAATACTTATGATGGATGGGCAAACGTGTAATTACGAAGCAGTGGATAGAGATATATACAGTTGAAAGTACATACCTACCTACGTACCTTTACGATGTAGGGTTATGTGACATGAACTACAATGAAGGAATTGATAATTTAGTTTGCAATGCCGGTAGGAATTAGGAAGAAACATAGCGAGAAGAGCTTTTTATGTTATGGCCGTGGCTTGATTTCTTGATCACTACTGATGTGAGTAGGTAGGTACCTCATCGAAAAGAGATCGAGGGACCCTTCGCCTGACTACCTAACTAATTAATCAACAAACTGACTGACTGGCCAACCCAGAGCTAGTTGAAGTGGACTGGCGACGACCTCCAAAAAGATACAATAAATGTGGTACGGTTGCTTCATTAACGAGAAGTTGTGGAACATTTATGGTAAGCAGGTGCTTAGACTCATACATGTATCAGTCTCCATATCCTGCTGATGAATACGGTCCAGGTGATACCGGTGCCGAATAACTGTTGTTGTTCTTAACCGACTTGCGAGACGTCCTGAGCAAACTCTGATCTCAATGCCCGGAAATATCACTTGTCCACTCATCAATATCTTCTTGATCCGAAGCACCATCCACCTCGTCCTCGTCCTCCTCGTCCTCCTCTCCGTCATCAGCACTGCTTCCATTACTCTTCCCACTCGAACTCCATCCCGCGTCCGAGAAACTCTCGTCCTCTCCTTCCAGGTTGGCCAGGCTCTCCATGAGCGGGCACTCCCAGTCGAAGAGCAGCGACATCGCCTCCTCGGACTCCCAGAGGCAGACGGCCTTCGGGTCAGGCGCTTCCTCGACTTCGTCCTCGACGAGGTTGAAGTACTCCTTCGCGCCGGCGTCGTTGAGGCGCGCGAACAGGAGATCGACGGCGACGTCCTTGCGCTGCTTCTTGCTGGTCCAGCGCTCGACGAGCAGCTTGCCGTTGCCGATCCAGGCGTGGGCCGCGGCGATCATCTCGGTCCAGTGCTCGTCCGACTCGTACTCCTCGGGGTGGCGGTAGAAAAAATCGCAGAACAGGTCGGCGTGCTCGCCTCGGTAGATGGCGTAGAGGGTGTCCTTCTTGGTTATCAGGAACATGATGGCCATGCGGATGATGTTCATGTTCTGCTCAGTTATCTTCAGGCGGTAGCAGTTGCGGCGCTGCGACCCGAGAGGGCGGTACCGGATGGGCGTCAATGACTCCATGGCGCGAGCATAGGAGGTGCCGCCGTGGTCGTTGCCGCCGAGAAGGCGGACAACGAGTCCTCCATAACGGTTCATGAAAATCGATAGGTTTTGATCCTCCGGAAAGACGACCCAGGGCTATATTTGTTGCCGGGTATTAGTCCATGGTCCTCCGATTGAGAGTGTGTACAGTATACATTGTATAGGGTCTACTTACGCGGTCTGATGAGTCGGGGCGGAGTACCGCTTCGTCCTCGGAACCATGGGGAACCACGGCAATATCGCCAATACTATACTCGTCACTTGGATCAACGTCTGCGCCAATATGCTCATTAATCTCCTCGTCAGCCGACTCAAATTCTGCGTTGATATCGATGTCGCCGTCCATGTAGATATCTGCATGTATGTCTACATCATCATCGGTGCCCTCGTCCTGGCTCGAATCGAAATAGTAATGAAACATGTCAGACATCTCCTCGGCGAGGATGTCCACCGGACCTTCGTGACGGTCAGACATGTTTGAACACACGCCCAAGATTCCAGGCTAGGGACACGATTGCTAAGTGGCGAAGAAAATACGCAATAATAATTATCATCAAAACGTTGCCAGTGTCAGATGGGAATCGGATGGGAAGAATGGGAAGGTTTTCTGCTGTAGAAAAAGCTTGGGGGCCAAATAAAGGATTCAGCGTGGTACTTGGGTATTCGAAGGATATCAAGCTATCTTGCTGCTGAGCTGGGAAGCTTTTCTCGCCAGGGAAAAAGGTGTTGTATGGGACAGAGGATAAAATAAGTCAAGTATTTTGTGGGGAGTGATGAAAGTTGTAAGTGCTTGGTATGCTAGGTGGATAATCACAGTTCCTCGCTCTACCTATGATTATCTTTCTCTGCCCTAAGAGGTCAAGGTAAGAAGAAATGGGGAGGTTGTGCTAGAAAGCTTTTGGGTTGGCCCAGGGAAATGCTGTGATTTATGTCCGGTCTCACTTCCTTGACTTGGTAGGGAAGGAAAAGGGAAGAAGGGAGGGAAGAGTGTTGTAGTGGAAAAAATTTGGAACAGATGTAAGGAAGACTTGGTATGGTCCTTAGTAGGTAGGTATGGAGCAAGCTACCCCCGTCTTTGAGGTGTTACGATATTTCGACCTACATCAAAATAAATGAGTTCTTCTACATATTGGCCATCTAGTTGTCTACAGGCCTGAGGCTTCATCAAGGCAAGGCTAGTCTCTGGGACGAGGGGTTTGCTAACAAGTTGCTAGCTTCAAGTCGCTTCTACGTGTCACGAAGATAATATATTAGTATTGTGAAAAGTCATGTTAAGAAGATGGCACACAAGAGAGTTGTCGCTTAGGTAGGTATGAACTTCATAACAGGCTTATGATAAAGTTGGTGAGCACTGGAGACATAGGGGGGCTCTACTTTGTCGGGGCCTGTATATATGACCCCTAATATTCAGACGTGCAAGCGAGACAAGCTTTAAAATAAGACGACTCAGTTTATCTGTAGATATTGGTAGTTTTGTGCAAGTGGAATGAGTAGGCAGTTTCCATAAGTTGAACAACAGAGTGAGATTTGGTCTAGGTACTTTGATGTCAATGCTGACAAAATGCAACATGTGAACCATGTAGAAAGAGTGAAAGTTGGATTCCAGTACAAATATTTAATAACATGAAAAGCTACAGTGAACATTGCTGTGATTAGGTAACCTATATGTGGAATTATCAGTGCCTTTGGTTGATAAATCTTGAATTCGAATAGAGAGTTGATGCTAGTTACAAAGATAATAGGACGTTCTCTTAACGAATTCCCTCTTGCTTTATATCGTCCTCAATTCCACGTCTGGAGCAGTTTCGTTGAAGCATAAAAAGTCTATGGAGCTACATAAAGTTACCTGATGCTTGGAGGCCTTGGGACAGCACGATATCCTCTCCTTTGACCGTACTTATATATCTATACCAAGGCCAGTGTATAGGGCCTCAATCTTCACCTCGTATCTTCGAGGCTCAGGTCATCTTAAGGGCACTTCCCTAGGACAAGAGCTATCTTCACACCTCACATTTTCCAGTGCTAATAGTTAGGTAGGTATAGTATCAAAGTATCCCTTCATCGATACGCCCGTGAATTGATATTACATATGAACCCAGGGCAGTACGGAGTGACATTATCAGCTCACCTTAGGTAAGCCACCGTCTAAGCCTCTGCTTCCGTTGGATGTATTGGACAAGGCAGGCAACTGCGAATCTCAGCTGAAGTGAAGCAGGGGGTTCCTATTGGAAAGCCAGCAAGCCATGTGGAGTAGAGTGTGTGCGGGTAGGTGCAGATAAGTAAGTACCCCCTGAATGATATCCTTTTTTTCTTTTTTTTCTTTTTTCTCTCTCTTTTCCCTGATCGTAGCTACCGTTTTTGGTACATACCTACTACCTAGTACTAAGTAAGATATGTACCAACGCTACTTCCCCCATTCACGCCTTCCTTCGTTAGCAGGCAACAACAGCAAGGACAAACAAACAATCAAGGACAATCGACGTAAGTATCGTTAATATATGGCTAAGGCAAGCATTACTCACAACCCAAATATTCAAACCCAAGTTGGCCCAGTGGTTTGAGCCTCGCCGCACTAGAGAAATGGTCAACTCGTCGGCCTCCTATTGCAGCTATGATCAATAAGCCGAAGATTCCCGGTTCGAGTCCGGGGTGTGGTGCCCTTTTTTATATTTTTTGACTTTCTTTATTCAATGCTGTCCCTTCCTGCACTTTCAATGTACCTATGTATTCGAACCATCCCATCCCACTCTGACCTACACATGCATAGTACATACTAGGTAACATACCAAGTAATTAGGTACTACATGTAGGTAGGTATAGAAAGATGCCATAAGCACTGTAGGCACCTATCGTTTGCAACTATTAACACATCCATGAATACCACACAACCACCCCAAATCTACAACAGTCCTAGGTACCTATCAGCCTCACAACGTCTCAAAGAACCTCAAAATCTCCTCTACCACCACCTCCGGCTGTTCCTGCTGCACCCAATGCCCCGCGCCCTCCACCAGCCTCACGCCCCTAAAACACCCCCTCTCCACCGTCCTCGGATCCTCATACCCCTCCAGCGCGCCGGGCTGCTGATAAACACCCCAGTCCTTAACGCCACCGAGAAACAAGCACGGAACCTGGATAGCGCGGCCCGCGAACAGAAATAAGTCGCGGCGGGCCCGCGGCGTCGACGCCGTCTGCGCGCGGTACCAGTTCAGCGCGCCCTGGAACCCGGTGCGCCGCCACTCGTCGCAGTACACCTGGAGGTCTTGCCGGCTGAGCCAGCGCTCCCCCCCCTCCGCCTCTTCTTCTTCACCAGCCATATTCGCCGCCACCGTCTCCGGCATCGACAGCCCCGCCCGCATGATGTAGTACTCCGGCATCTCCTGCAGCGCCTGCGCACTCCACCCGCTCAGCGGGCGCGGCGCATTGCCGGCCCAGTCCGCGGACTTCAGGTGGAAGTACCCCCTCAGGAACGCCTCGAGCCCCTGCGCCGGGTTCTCCCACTCGCTCGCCGCGCCGGGGGTCGAGTTGTACCACTTGTAATGCTTCCTCGGCGGGCTTAGCTCCGCGAGCTCGGCTTGTATATCCACCTGTTCACTCTTGTCATCGTGCTGTCTAGGTTCCGGGGGCCGATGGTGCGGATGACTCATCTGGATGGTCGACCTGAAAACGTCCGGGCGCATGAGCGCGGCCATGGCGGAGCTGACAGCCCCAAAGTCGTGGCCCACGATGCTGTGCGCGGCGGTGTAGCCGAGCGCGCGGACGAGGCACACGAGGTCGCGCACGAGGTTCGTGAAGACGTAGTTGTCGACGTCCGCGGACGCCTCGTGCGCCGGACACCCACGCGTGCGCCCGTACCCGCGCTGGTCCATCGCCACGCAGAGGTAGCCGGGCCCTGCTTCCGCTATGCGGGGGAGGATCTTGCGCCACGAGAATGCGAGCTCTGGGAACCCGTGGCAGAAGAGCACAAGGGGCTGCCCCGGCGAGCCGGACGTGAGGATGTGCCAGATGAGGCCGCAGGATGAGTTGCAATCGACGTAGGCGGAGGTGATGCCCGCTGGTAAGGGGAGCTCTGGCATTGTTGAAGTTTGTTGGTCTGGAGCGGTACTCATATTGGCTTGTACATAGGTGGAGTTAGTAAACATTGAAAGTTATATATGTACCTAGGTAGGTTAATGGATCACCTGTAGTCGAGCATGCTTCCCGGAGGCTATGCGAATTGAGTACTTAGGTTGGCATGTATGCATGCACCTGGATGGAGTTCAGGGGGTCATGCATTAGATGTAGCCCCGCAGATGTCGACATAGGCTGCTTACGGGAGTAGTGTGACCTCATGTGTAGTTACGTCAGCGAGGAACATTGATGAACCTCCTGAGAAACATAAAGCTCGCTATTAACTTCAGGATTTCTAGCAAGCTACCTAAACTACATGAAAAGTAGTCAAAAGAAAACTCGGTATATTCGATCATGCTTCTACAACATCAGCGCTAGTTGTATGTCAAATTGCTTGCTTGGTACAATGCTGCTATCATCAGTTCTTATTCTAACATGTGCGGGCATATTGTGACAAAAAGATGTCGTCAAGTAGAGCCCAACCCATCACATAAATCTTTTAAGGAAGAGGAAGGGAAAAAATCCGGACAAAATCGTGATCTCGGTGAAGCGGGATATCCATCTTCATCTCGGCTTGCTGTATTCGAGACCAAAGTTTCAGAGATCCAGCATGCTCCACTCGTCCCAGCCCTTCTTCTCACCAGGCAATCTCACAACTTCCCACTCCTTTCTAGTAACATTCTTCCACTCGTCGACGGGGATCCAGCCAATGTATGCTCTGTCGCCAAAACCACCGATCCAATAGACCTGTGTAACGACCAGCCTTACGAATTGGGATTCGTGAATCTTGTTGCCGGGAAGCCAGTACTTTGCATCGGGGTGTGTATCCACGAAGCACTGCGACATGGCCTTGGTGGCAGCCGGGTCAATCTTTTCGATATAGCCTAGTAGGCTGAACCGCGGGAGGTTGACAGCACTGTAAGGGACAGTTTCTTTAGCGTCCTCAGTCCGTCCAAATAGCCAATCGGACCAAGAGTTGGACTTGATACGCTTGTCAGGTGGATACGGTGGTGTCCATTGCTGAGCTAGACTGATGTTGGAACCACCCTGGACATTTCTGAAAGTGGTTTCGATGTTGATAGCTAGGAAGGTAGGGTTGCCTTCTTCCTCGCAGTCGGCCACATATTCTAGTAGCCCAAGGGGCATGCCACCGAGGCCATTAGGTTGACGATTGCGAGACGTGTCCGGGAAGACGGTGGCTAAGGTTCCGAGCGGAGTAAGAGCCAAAATTCGCCGACCAAGTACGGCGGATTCATACGAGGTCGGAATACGATACTCTGATGCGGAAACAGGAGGGTTCTGGAAGATGTACTGTGGCTCCGGGGCGGATTCCGCTACGCAAGAGCGCGTGGCAGCCAAGGAGAAGACGAACGGCAGACTGCCTGAGAGCTTCATGGTGGAACGTGGTACCGTACGAAAGCTAAACCTTGAATATGTACTGCTAGGTAGGTAGGTGCGGGTAGATAGCTACTAAGTAGGTAGTGGTAAAAGCTACAAGGTGAACGCGTCGGAGCTGGCGGAGGTTGGACGTTTCTTAAAGTCACGAAACGATATTTAGAGATCGGCAAGAGGCTTCCAATACGAGAATAACATTCAAGATTGAGCCTGTGATTTGAGCCCCTAATTGAATGATGGTTTGATCCTTTGGATGGCGTCTAGCGGTCAAATGGTAGTTGTTTAAACGAAGAAACAGAGCTGCGAGGCCGGCGACCGGAAGTCAAACGATAGCCATGTGAATGATGTATCAGGTGGAACCCGCGAACCATGCGGGATGCGGGTCTGGAACTAGGTCAGTATGGTACTAGAGCTTGTCCTTGGTAGGTTTAGTCATCTTTCCAACATTGAACGTTGTAACCTTACGACTTCAAGTTATTACCCTGCCCTACTATGTAGGTATCGTACATACCAAGTAGGTACAGTGTCTTTAGGGGTTCAAATACCATCAATGATGTGGAACTTGATATAGATACATTGATGTCTAATGGAATGAGAGATGAGAAATGAGACATGTCAACTCATGTAAGAGGGCTTGTTGCATGAAAACTATGCAGTAATTACCTGTACTATGATGCAGGATCACAGGTGTAGTAACTGTAACTAGTTATTGGCTTGGAGAGGGGGCGTATCCGACTGTTAGAGCCAATAGATTCAAGTCCCCCTCGGATCTAATCTACGTACTACCGATAAATAGCCGGGTAATCTTGCATTCATCTTTTAAATGAATAGACATAATCTTATGTATCTAAAGCTTATGGCCTATGCACTTATAATTACTTGACTAGCTATGCATTTAAAGCTCAATAGTCACCTGACCAGGGTTTGTTTAACCCTTTCCGGAAATTTTGACGAAAGATTGCTTGCCGGTGTGACTCTTTCTTCCTTCCAACCCTCATCATCCGACTGAGTGCCAAGGCTTTGGAATTCATCACCCAAAATACATAGCGCCCACATTCGACTGATTTCTTTCCACTCTTCTCAACAATCCGACCAAGAATCAGTCTCGACACATCCAAAATTTGACAATATGGGAAAAGTTCACGGCTCTCTCGCCCGTGCTGGTATGTTTTCTTGATGGCATCCTGTTGAGATTATAAATGACATTGCTGACAATATCCTGAATATAGGCAAGGTCAAGTCTCAAACACCAAAGGTTAGTTATGCTATTATGTACACCATCATTCCGACGATCCAAGTTTTTGCGACGAGGAAGCGCGCCTATAATGTCGATAATTAATTCTTCGACTGCGACTGTCATTGCGACCGCGACCGACTCTCCGTCATTCGACTTCGATCTTTTTTTCCTTTTCGCAACCGGATTTAATGATTCGCCACTCGCTCTCAATGAATACCGACCAGCAAAAATTCACCACGATCAACTACTACTTCATCACTCCATCGACTATGCGCTTCCTCCATCGAAATCATATTCTTCTTCAATTGAACCATGAAATCTAAAACGATTAAAAGGGTAATAGACTAATATAAGATATGTCAAAATAGGTTGAGAAGCAAGAGAAGTCCAAGACCCCTAAGGGCCGGGCCAAGAAGAGACTCACATACACCCGTCGTTTCGTCAACGTCACGCTTACCGGTGGCAAGCGAAAGGTATGTCTTCTTTGCCTCACGCTCAACTCAATATAATCCTCCCGTAATATACTAACACGCGTCTTTATAGATGAACCCCAACCCTGGCACTTAAACGCATTAATTGCGCTCACCCGCTAAAGAGCAGCCAATGCCATACTCGGAGGATTTGGAAGGCGATGGATGAGTAGGCATCCACCCATGCCTGGCTCTGAGCGTCCACCTCCGCAACGTATGGCCGACAAGAAACATCTACTCTATTATGATCGGAAATGAACAGGAGATGGAACGGCATGTATAGATGCCCATGGGTTTGCATCTACATTTGGGAGTCATACGGAATTCATCGTTCTGGCTTGGTAGTCACTCGCAAGCCTCTCGTCTGTACGTAAGCAGGTATTGCTCGGAAGGCGAAAATCAGAGGACAATAATATTCTCTGTATATTGATCTTGTTGATGGTGACTGGCTTTTGGCATTCCGGTGATGTGACTTGCTCGTGTGTATCTGGGTCCGTTTGCCATCACATCTGTAATCTTTTGTCTATGTAGATGAGAGTTAAGTACTAGGTACCTAGGTAGGTATCTGCTGGACATGCTACGCTCATCACACGTCTAAAGGGGCTATAACCGCTAGGCTGATATCAGTGGACGAACAACTGTTTTTGTTAGTTGAGTTTCCCTGGTCTGGTTTTATAGATATGCATTCAAGGAACGCTACCTATCATAAGTTTAGTAAGGAACTTGGAAACCCATATTAATATTTCCCCCCTATTATCCTTCAGGGTGGCCTGACATGTTTCTTTACTGAGTGCCTACCTACATGCACATAGAAAGATACAACTTCAATTTCTTCGGTTACATACAGTCTCGAATCGAAGATATATCACTATAGTCTCAAAACTATCCGCAGACCATGAATACCTAGGTAGGCACATGCCTAGTATCTGTGATATATATATCCCCTAGCTAACCCTCCACTACTACCTATCTACCTACTCGCCCATTTTCCAACATAGAACCCGTCTTATCCATCCCTATATCCATCCATCCATCCACCCATAGCCTACCGATCTCATACCTAGATATATTCCAAATTCCCATTGATCCTGATACCCTCCATGCCCATCAGTCTGTTTGTCTGCCTGCCTAAAGCAAATTCCATCGTTACCTAATCCCTCGCGTAAAACCAATATTTTCTTTTCCCTCTCTTCCCAAGCCCAGAATCCTTTCCTTCCCCTTCCCTTCCCTTCCCATCCTTACATCCCTTATTATTCCCTTTGCTATCCCAATCACTATCCCTATCCCTTCCCTCGCACACAAAAACACACCCCCACCCCCCAATTAGTTCAGTAGGGTTACCCAGGTAAGGTAAAGCCTCACCCCTGCGGCAAATAACTAGGAATCTCATACGCAGCATACATGACCACGCCTCCGCCGCCCGCGCCCGCGCCACCCCCGGCCTCGTCCGTCCCCGTCGCCGCCGTCCACTGCGCCCCCGCCCCGTCCACCAGCATCTGCAGGTTGCTGTCGAAGCCGTCGTTGAGCGAGGCCTGGAGCGCCGGGGGGAGGTCGTCGTCTACCTCTTCCACGCCTTGGTCTTCGCCGATGTGGGGGTTGGCTGTTGAGGGGGAGGGGGTGTAGTATGGGGTTGGGGTTGGGGTTGGGGTTGTTGTTGGGTGGGGTTGGTGGTATGCGTGTGGGTGGTGGGCGGATGATGCGATGGTTAGGTCGAGGGGGGTGGTGGGGTAGTAGCTGTTGTGATGTTGGTTGTGGTTATGCTGCTGCTGGTGGTGGTGTTGGTGGTGCGGGAAAGGAGAAGAGGGAGAGAGGAGGGGGTAAGGGGGAGGGTGAGAGTGCGGCGCAACGTTCAGCAGCTGCTGCTGGCGGTGCGTACTTGTGCTCGTCGATGCCGTCGCCGTCGCCGTCCCGTACGCTGGCGCTTGTTGCGATAGCGGTGGTAGACATACGGGCTGCAAGGGCGCATAGCCCGCGGTCCCGGTGGCTTTGGTTTGCTGCAAGGGCGCGAGTCGGTGGTGCTGGGGCGGTTCCTGATACCCTGCTGCCGCTATCGCGTGCTGCTGTTGTTGCTGATGCTCCTCTGTGTGCGCTGCTGCGGTTGTCGGGGGCGTCGAGCGCACACGATTGAAGTCGAGGGCTTCGGATTGCACGCCGCTTGTGGTGGTGCGGGGGTGCATGACGCTGAGGGCGTAGGGTTGAGGTTCCTTCTGTAAGCGACGATGTTAGCTCGCTACCTGCATACTTAGGTAACCCAGTACCTATGGCATGGCTTGATATTGCCCGGGTGTGATATTTCACACGGCAAGGGGGGGGGTTGCCTACTCCATCGGTCATGGTACCGGCTTGGAATGATATCCTCTTTGGATTCGAATCCTCGTACCACTTCTCCAGCCCATTGCACCAGGTCTCGGCGAGCGGCCACGCCTTCTGGCATCCGCGCAGCACGGTCACGATGTGGGTGTACATCTTGCGGCCTTCCGCCTGTATCGTTTCGAGATTTTGTCCGGCGTGGTGGGCGTCCACTATGGTAGGTAAGCCAAAAAAAAAAAAAAAAAAAAAAAAAAAAAAAAAAAAAAGAAAAACATATTGAAGAGCTAGCTGGATTCTCGTTTAAAATATAGGGGGTTGTCCGAAAGGGGGGAAATATAAAAATGTTCCTTACATTGAGGAAATTTGCACAAATACGAGGCCAGTAATCCGCAGCCATATATAATGAAGCCCTATCAAAGTTTCTTAGCATCCTCTTTCTCCCCCCTCTCTCACATTAAGCCATAAGGAAGGGGTGTATGGACTCTACTCACTGCCATCTGAGAGCCGATCTTGTCTATTCCGAACCCCTCGTCGTAGTGGGCCTCGATTTGCGAGTACAGCTTCCTGACGTTGAAGAACAGTTCCGCCGCCATGTCCTTGTAGAACCTGACCTCGGGGTTCGAGGGATTCCCCTCGGCGAATCGAATCATCCTAACGCGGGTGTGGTTAGTATCATACATAAGTACATGCCTGCCTGGTTGGGTAGGTAGGCATATGAAGCGTGTGAACATATGGACTTCAGTTGGGGGCACCTACTCTTCCATATACTCCTTCCGGAGCACAATGTGGCAGAGCCGCATGCAGCCCGTGAGGCCTAGGTACGACTACAAGACACCAAGATTTAGCCAACAAGATCCTATTCGTATCCCAAGAGTCCCCAGTAAGCACAATATCCCCCGCCACTCACCAAATCCTCAGCAAAGCTCTCGTACCCCCGCAACAGCAGCACATTAAACGTGTGCTCGTTCGGCAGATTCCTCTCGAACTCCAACAACCGTCTATTCAGCTTCCCGTACTCACTGCCCCCATCATTCGGCCTCCCGCGTTTTTTATTAAATAGCACGCGTCGCGCGACGATGCCCCAGAGGTTGTGCACCTGCATCAGCGACGCGAAGAGTGACCGCGGGTTCAGCGACGTGAGAGAGGGGTCCTGGATCGCGGGCGGGGTCCCCTCGAGGGCCGACCGCCGCTCGGGCACGGAGCCGGCTTCGAACTCGGCTTCGCTGCTGGGGAGGAGCGCGGTGATGTCGTTGGGTGCGAGGGAGAGGGGTTTGTAGGGGCCGGAGCTGAGGTTGTCTTGGCCTAGAGGGTCGGTTAGGAGATGCTCGGTTTAGGGAAAGGAAAGGGGAGCAGTCCATACTATGTAGCATCCACTGTTGATCCAAAGCTTGATGCATTAGCCCCGGATTCAAGTTCGAATAGAGAAATGTGGAGGAAACGAATTGCACCAAAAAAGGGAGTAAATAAAAAGAAATCAAGGATATTAGCTTGGGTAACTCACAAACGTGCGTCTCGCAGACTCGGCCCTTACACGATGTTCCACGGGCGACTGCGACGTGATCGGGCTATACGCCTCCTCGCGATGGAGGCGCATCAAAGCAGCCATTCGGAACGCGATACCTGCGCTGATCTTTTCTCCAAGCGTGAGCCACATACATACATACATACATTACATCGCTGTCTTTTACTCCCTAGCAGCCCAGGGAGAAGAGTGTAGGTTAGGTATCTTACGTAGCTAGTATTCGACTTGCCGCACCCCTGCTCGGCAATGCTCAGGAGATAAAACGCCTGGCACCTTTCAAGCGTCGGCTGCTGGTAGAGCTCGTGGACGGCGAGGAACTGGGCCTTGCGCATGAACTCCGCGGCGGCGTCGAGGCCGTCGCCGCCGCGCAGCGTCCCGTCGAAGCGCGCCGAGATCGCGAGGATGCTCAGCAGCAGGAACGCGCTCATCGACGACGGGTTGTCCCGCACCTGCCTCGGGAACCGCTTCTTCGGGATGAACCCCAGCTGGTAGTAGTTCCGCGTGAAGGTGTTGATGCCGTCGACGACGACGTCGACGCTCGGCAGCAGCGTCCAGTCGTTTTCGAGCTTGGGGGGCTTGAAGAAGTCAGAGGGGCCGCCGCGGATGAGGTGAGCGGTGGTGGTGGTGGTGATGGGCAGCTCTTTCTTGACTTTGACTTCGGTCGTCGTCGTCGTCTTGGCCTTTTTGTCGGCCCGCCGGCGCGGGTGGCGGAATGACCGGTCTTGGTCCGAGTCGCCGCGGGTTGGGAAGACGCTAAGGTACGTGTGTAAGCTTCGTGGTGGTGGAATAACCCGACGACTGGAGGAGCACATACCATTCTTCCGACACGTTCGCTTCTCGACATGACTTGCAAGGAGGAGCTGCCTTGTCATGGATGCATTTGCTGCGCATCCGCCGACATCTACCGAGGAGTTCTGTTTAATAACATTGGCAATATTCGACTAAAATAAGTACCTCTATAGGTACTCAAGAAAGAAAATGAGATACTATACCTTCGGCAAGCAATAGGAGCTCGGCGCTTGATAGGCGGCGCGCCAGGGTCCGGAGTGACGGCGGTAGATGGCGTAGTCGGGAGTGGAGACGAAGAAGCGGGCTTGGTCTCGGGAATTGGCATCGTGGCCGCTCATGTGGGCTCTCGGATAGGTCGGTTTGCGAGCTCTAGAGTCACACAGCAGTCCTAATTAAGGAACTAGGCTGGGGACTTGCTTGGTCGTGAAACTAACTTAGTAGGTATCTGGCTAGCTCAAAGCCGCCTTATGGGACTGTATCCACGGTAAACTAACTAGTCCGATCCAGGGCCTGGTCTTGGGTCTTGGGTCTTGGATCTAGTTATTGGCTTTAGTATATCTAGTTCCTATTTTAGTCCCCTTTGCTACGGCCTTGGATTAAGGCGGCACCTGAAAATTACCCGTATATGGTTATATATATCTGCCCAGATATATATATATGTATATGTATAGCTGAGCAGTAGAAACCCCTCCAAAGATCGAAGCGGGGAGAATTAAGTTATGAGGTATGATGGCAAATGGTCTGGTTGGACTAAATAACCCGTAGTAGCCTTATAGGATGAATGATCCCGTCGATCTTCGTTTGTGGAAGAAAGCAAGTTATCTATTTCAAACCCCTGACGATGGTCATCTCTGATACCACCTTATCCGACTTGTCCTGATTCCAGGTAACTATGTGTAAGCTGTTGTAGGCTGTAGGTAATAGGCCCAAGTTTCTCCAGAAATTTCATAAAGCGGGAAATAGTTGCATTGTAACGTGATGGGTGATGGGGTTTTATACCTATGCGGTAAAAAGATCGAGTAAGATATGCAATGAATCAATGAATCAATGATTGAATATAAATATGATTGTATGGGCATGGCAAAAGCCGCAACCTTACTACTATGGTACTTACTGTACTGTGTACGGGGCATGTGTGTATGTACAAGACGATACAGCTTACAGCTCGCTTGCTATCTGCTACCAGGCCCATGTAGTATTGAATCTAATTCTACGAATCAGAAGTCCTCGAATTGGGAATTAGGGGCACAGCCAAGCCCTACGGCCCGCCTTTTGGTACGGAAAGGATCCGGTAGTACTTACAGTGGTAGCATGTATATCAATGGGAAACGATCTTGAATTAATGATCCTACAACCCAAAACCTCTCTCTCCTATTGTGTAATTGTGTGAAACTTCTCTCTTCTTTGAATTTCAATTTCATATTTGTTAGAGTTAGTGTGATGGGCCTCCAAGACCCAATCTGGTATTTCAATTCGCCAAGCGGTTGGCGATGTCGAAGCCAACGATCTGCTTTACGCCGCCGCCACTAACAAAGGAATTTAGGTGCGTGCCTAGGGGTACTGATCGCTGATCGCTGAGTGTCAACTGGTTGAGAAGTCCGTGCTCCTCAGGGTGCTTGTTACCTACTCCACGGTTAAACCGGTGAAGGATGATGACTCGCCTGCTTGATTCCAAGATTCATCAAGATAGGTTCAGCCGTCTATCATCCGCCCAGTCGGCACTTCACCGACAGCTAGCTACTGCATACATACATACATGCTATAATAGCTGCCGAGTACCTATGTAGGCAGGTAAGCCAGCAAGGGGTGTGAGTAGGTGCAATAATCGATTTTGCTCTTGCGCACATAATGCCACACCTATCCCTCATGTCCCCGTGTCTATAAAGGTTTGGCCAGCCCTGTTGAACTGTGCGACACCACAAAACCAATCCGATGGAAGCCGAGACCGGTGTCTTAGGGGAGGGGAGGGGGAGACTAGATGGCCTGATGCTGTCACAATTGTGCCTGTCGACAGGGCCCCCCAACGGTGCTATAGCCTGTCACGGGCACTCGTATCACATATAATGACCAGTCATTCGCGCGTGTGCGCAGTCAGCGAACCAGGATTTGTACCTAGGTAGGTAATTAGTTAGTTGACTGGAATCATCACTACGGACTTCCTCTTGGTGCGCAAGAAGTCGAATAGGTCGCCAATTGGTAATGTCGAATTTTAGGTAGCCATGGAGTTGAAAACACGTACCTGGGGAGCCAATTCATACAAGTTGAGATAGCGATTATAACGATCAATATTCTCGTCTTGTGCGAGGTCACTAGAATAAAACCAGATTAGACCAATACAAAACAGCCCTGGAAAAGATGGTTGAATTTTCACGAAAACATCAAGGTATCACGAATCACGGCATGGCATAGAAGACCAAAATTGGAATATAAGTTGTACGGTCATTGTCGACCGTAAAAATATCATATTGTTAACACATCGGATTAAAGTGATTCGGGCTTCGGACCTCCGTAGTCGCGTCCTCGTGGACTACTATGCCCAGGCCTCGCGAGCTCCCCTTTCGAGCTCGCGATGCTTCCAGTTATCAGCCCTATAGTCCCAGTCCCAAGCCGATCCAAAGTCCCTGAGACGAGTCCTCCTAGCCCGGGGGAATTCTACTTGTCCACGTCCGAGACAGATAAATCAATAAACTCCAGAGAAACGCCGGCCCGCTAAAATGCTCCAATGCCGGCACCAACGACCCCTTCGCCGCGGATTCCCAACCGTGACGGAATTCTAATCACTAGTTATTATACATAATGGTCTAAAGTGCCAGCGCTGTGAAGTATGTACGCGCGAAGATAATGTGATGGCGCTAAAGAATGGACCTGGTACGGGGCGAAAAAAAACGAATGGGTTATTATAGTGGTATCATATAATCGTCATCTCGAATATTAATGAGTCGCTTCTTCCTGATCAAAAGCACCAGGGATCGCGAGCGAAAGTCTTCGGGTTGTTGTAGTTTCCGGGGTTTGAAATTCTCCCAGATCAAGAACAGGAGTTGACTGGTTCGGTGCCACATCAACGCTTTGCTCAACAGATTTTTCGGCATGCTGCTCTGGCTGCTCCGGCTGTCCCAGCTTCTCTGGTTTCTCCAGTTGTTTCGGCTGCTCCAGCTGTTCCAGCTGCTTCGGCTGCTCTGGTTGCTTTTCATCCGAGTCAGGTGCCCCCTCCTTCCGAATCGATTCAGATTCGCTGAATTCGATTGAGGGGCCCACGGCTACCTCTATCCTGCTTTCATCGACTGAAGTACTATTTGCATCTTCGCTGTTCCGAATGGATCTTTCACCGAGGCTACCAGAATGCCCATGGCTGCTCGCGGGAACAACGCCACCGCCAATGCGGCTCCAGAACATTTGATCTCGCAGTCGGACGCTTTCTTCCCAAGCCCCTCGCTCCGAATCGGCATCATCAGCACGCCAGTGTCCATCCTTGACCAAGCGCAAGAAACCGAGAAAATCGCAAGTCGACCTTACACGGTCCAGGCAGTACTTGCAGAGAGGATATCGCTGAGCCGAGTCCGACTCGCTCGTCCGGAAGCGGTGATTTCGTAAATGTGGCGTATCCTTACGCGCCTCACCGCAGAGGGAGCAAGGATAGAACTGAGGCTTGCTAATAGATTGGAAAGGAGTATTCGTGGGCACCGGTTCTACAACAAGAGTTCCTTCGATCATTGCATTCAGCACGGATCGACGTGCGAGCCAAGAAAGACCTGGCGCCATGTCAAGGCGTAGGGTGGGTTCAATATCCTCAGCCAAAGCTCTCTTGTAGAATTTGGTGTCTTTCAGTGCCGGCAGGGCAAGAGTAGAGGGAGCAGATTCCGCACTAATGATGGAAGCAGGAGTGTTGGGTGTTTGCGGAGAAACGTTAGAACTTGGCGTCCCGAACGTGGTAAGAGATGCCGTCGAAGAATTTGAAGGGTTCGAAGCATGTCTAGAACCAGTGAAACCATAGAGAGGGTTGAGTCCACTATACGATATTGACGGGGTACGACTGCTCGATGCATTTCTTGACACATGTACGAGTGAGACAAAGTCATCATACGCAGGAAGGTCGGTCCTTAACACTGGGTGAATAAGGTGATGGAGATTTGTTGGGTAGGTGGGCGATAACTCGACGGCACTGGGATGATGCGAGCCTCCCTCAGATATTTGGGTAATGTCGTCTCTTGCGTCAAACCTACTAAATCCTGGCGACGAAGGTGCGGTACCACTATGGTCATCACGCTCAGCCGTCATTTGCTCCATGACGATCTTGAGCTCTATTAGTTGTTCTTGTTGGGATCTTAAAAGGCTCTCGGTATCGGCTAATTGCGCTTTGAGTTGTTCGTTTTTCCGATGAAGGATATCTTGTTCCTTTTTGGCATTCTCCTTGGCCGTGATAACCATATTGTTCGCTTCCTCGAATAGGGAGACTGTGAGCAATTCCAGTTCCTGCTCTATCTTCTTCTTGTCCTTCTCCACTTCAGTCCGCATTCTTTTTTCCTCAACAATACGTGCAAGAAGCTTAGCCTTCTCGGCCTCGGCGCTCTTACGCCTTATCCATACATCGCCTGACAAGGTTTCCTGTTGCCGTGCCACAACATCTTCCAATTCTCGGACTCGCTCTTGAGCAGCTTCTAAATCCTGCCTTGTCGCCGATAACGTGTCGTCGAGGTTGGTTTGGTGGTTGATCGCGTTAATGAGCTTCGTACTTAATGTAGCGACCTCCTGGTCTAAATCGGGATGGTGATTGCTGCTTCCTGAGGTACTCATGGCACGTGTTCTAGGGTCAGGTAGAGTACTATGATCTTGGTCCACCATTAAAGAGTTTTGTGACGGCATCCTCCTCGGTTGTTGTTGGGGACTGTGAACACTGGGGACCATTATCTCGGATACGTTTGACGAAGAATGTGACTTTGCTGGTGATCTAGACCGGGAGATAGCCGTCGGCGGCAAGGCCGAGAGCGATCGAAGATGGCCATAGGTACGCTGCGATCCGGGGCTAGGGCTTGGGCTCCGGTGCTGCGACCAGGCCGCGACATGCATGAAGCTGATCCGGGCCATGTTAGTTCAGCACGCGATAGAATCGGAAGGTTATAGATTTGGTAACCAGTATTATGGAATGTTGAAATACATGTAAAGGGAGTTATGAGGAGAAATAGGTAACAAAGCGCATGGATAGACAGGTGTTAGGACTTACGAATCCAGCTTGACGGCTGGCGGACCAAGAGGTCCAGAAAACGCCGCAACTCGCTCTTGTGTATTTTGTACAATGGGTAGATAATCGAAAGATAGATGTCAAGATAACAGATCACTAAAAGAGACTAGGTTGGCTTCGAAAAGGAGAAGAGCCGTTCATGGGACCGATGTGGTGTAACAGTTGGTGGTGTTGTGAGACCTGGAAAAACCAAAGAGATCGTGTGTCGTAAGAAATCGTAGAACCTAAGACCACCAGACACCAGACCCAGTCGGCAATAGATAGGAGGGTATGATGAATTTGGTGTGTACAGGGCTTTGTAGAGGCGCAGACAGACCCAGGCTAAGACGACTAATTAGTACAACGGTTTATTATCGCAAAGCTCCAGAAGGCCAAGATCCTAAAGGGACGAGGGACGAGTTGATATTATCAGTTGGCCACTCGACTTTCCCATAACCTCCTTTGGTAGGTAGGTTACGAATTGGTGATATGAAGGAGGGGAGATATTGAATTGTCTTTAAAGAGACTTGGCAAGGTAAATGCAATGGTAAATGCAATGTACGTAGTAAATTGAGGGACAAAAGCAGCGTCGAAGGAATTGGAGATTATTAAGTTATTAGTGTAGATTGATTATGGAGATAGATGTAGAAGCAGCTGCAAGTGCGCTCGCTGGTAGCAGCTGCGGAGTTGCTAGTAATCAAGGACCTGGGACCAGGCCTGGGCTAGGCTAGGCGCTCGCGAATTTAACGAGTTGAACCCAACCAGCCTATCCCATGTAGGTAAGTGACCAGGGGGTCAGCAGCCTAAAGTAGAATCAAAGGTGGGTTAGGCAGTGGAAGTGGTACCGGCTAAGGGGGGCTAAGTAGCTGTACTAAAGGGTACGAGTGTAAAAAAAAAAAAAAAAACTAAAAGAAAAAAAAAACTTGGGAACTGTATGATTGCATGTATGATTGCAGTGAATGATCATGTATGTACCTTTTAACGATTTTAGGACCACCCGTGATCCTAACGTCTTGGTATAATTTTTTTCTTTCTTTTTCTCTCTCGTTTCTTCTTCCCTTGCCTCTTCGTTTGTATATGTAAGGCACTCAGGTATTATGTTTCGGTAAATTAAAAAGAAGTAGGAATTAAACGCGGAATGTCTAACCGAATTTAACAAATACGAAACCGATGAAGCCGAGAGATCTCTTTTCGGGGCGTGACAAACCGAAGATTGTTCGAATAGGTCGATTAGGTAGTCGTGTAGGAACGAAAACAAAGGTTCGGAGCTAAAGCAAACTAGGGCCAGACTAGATGCAAACGGGTGTTGTTGGTGTTTGTTGTTGTTACAGTTAGGTATAGTAGTATAGTAGGGTACAGTAGGGGAGGACAGGATATGCTGTGGAATGATAGACTGATAGGTAGATTGGTTAGAATGATAGAATGAAATGTCAATTAAAAGAGAGCGTAAAGCAGGTGATGTTAGTTTGCAGATGATGCTTGTGGTTAGAACTTATTAGGTAGGTAGTAAGGTATTAAGGCAAATGACATGAAAATTGAAAATGGTAAGGTACCAAGGCAGGCTATACGTAGATGCGGCCGCCACCGGGTTTAAAGTCTTGTAAGTAAGACTTGTAAGAAGTTGTTGAATGAAGGAGAACTTGAACTCCAATTACTATCACGTTTGGTTGGAAGTCGCTAAACGCATTGAGTAAACGGAATAACCTATCGGAATTGATAACGCGTACAGAGTATGGTTCGATGTATGTAAGACGGGATCCTTTCCTTGGTGGTATTATGTTATTATGCTATTATGCGCGCTGTTCACATTGTGAATAACATTTATTTGAGCATTCAATGAATTCACAGCCAATTACATAACATTAAAGACTTTAATATGCAGATGTATACCTACATAATGAGTACCTATACTTTGCAATACCAGTTGAGTTGACCTTCAGCATTGAAACACTACATACATATAGTAACTACATATCAACATTGTCAAAGTCAATAACACCCAAGTGATGTCGTCATTGTTCTTCCGCAAGCAATCATAGATGATTTGCGGCATTTGCAGAAATTAGAATAACTATTAAGTGCCTGCTAAATCTCAAGAAGGTATTTCATCAACATCTACCTACGTCATTTTGATCACAACCGCTACAACTTGTACAGTTGTTCTAGGTTAGCTCGTTTCCTTCCAAGGTTTTTAGCCATACACACAGTGTTCTTCTGCTGACAACGCTTCCACTGATAACCCTAGAAGTGTTGTATCTATTGCAGTGATGTACAGTATTTATTACGTAGTGCAGACAAGCCTGACAACACAATCAATATAATTAAGATAAATACCTACTTACAAAGACATACATTGTCCCAGCTGTACAATACAATAGCTGCATAGTAATGCATGTAGGTAGGTAGTAATATGTATATCAGCGGCTGCAAACCGCGGCAGGCTCCGGGCTTAGATAAGGCCCGGCCGAATAACAACCCCCAACTTCAAATGTTGAATACATTGAAGGTTACACCACACATAATGTACCTACCCTATCCTGGATAGCTAACTAAGACAGCATCAAAAAGGGAAGGTTCTTCTTTCTCCAATGATAAACGAAGCGTGAGGAATCAATGATCTTTCCCGCCTAGGCGGATCCTTTCCATGTGCGTTCAGAGCTACCTTGCAAATCGCCCCCCCCCCCCCCTTCCCCTCCCCTCTCACCCACAGCTAGGGTTTAGAAGTCACTGGATGCTGGACGCATACACATTTAGCCTCGGAACTCGCAGAGATCTCTGGGATATCCCATCGTATCAACCCCTGCTCGCCCGCAAGAGCGCTTAACAGGATCACGTCTCACCCGATACTCCTCACTTCGTGTTCCCACGTCACGTTATTCCACGTTACTCGATTCGCTTGGGTTCATCGTCAATTGAGCATGCATGTGGGTAATGTGTACCACTGTATCTACAAATTAGACATTCAATAGGAGGGACCTGGAGGGTACCTATCAATACGACCGATTTAGAAATGAGGGGAACTTTGAATGAATCCTTCAATTGGCAATTGCACCACGTACTAATTACATGGTACCTACAAACCTACAAACGAATTAGTTAGGAATTGTAGGAACATTGAATGTCGGAATTCCTTCTATCTTGAATTCTATCTCCTCTTTTTTTTCTTTTTTTAAATTCCTTTGATCTTTTTTTGGCCTCTCGAACACATACCTAACCTTAGTAATATAAACTCCCTCAACCGATCTTCAGGAGGTTAAATACCCTCAAGTATTAGTTCATAATATTATACCTTGCAAAATAACTATTGACAGTCTGAGTACAACATTTGAACCCATTGGGAAACTGGGTAATTACTATGTATTATCCAATACATATATACCTAGTAATATTGAAGTTGTACCCTCATTCGAATTAAAGGAGCCAAGCACGTAACCGTTCAACTACCCTGAAGTTTGAACAGCTTTGACAAAACTTATACACCGTCTTATACAAATTCTTCCATCCTTCTATTCTCTTTGCCGTGTAGATCATACATAGTTTTGATTCGCTTCCGATCAGATTGCTGTTCAACGGGCTCCATACATAAGGCCTCCATAGGGTCTCCATAGCGGTTACTGGAGCGTCATAAATGTAGGTAGCCTTTCCTCATATGAATTTGGACACGCGCCTCCCTCATCCACTCTTCGTCTCCCCTAAAAGACCCAGTGGTTTTTTAATCTCCACAGCGTTCTCAATTTCCAGAAACTCCTTAACTATCTGGAAAGTGGCTGTGCATGAGATAGAGCCAAAAACTCCATTTGGATCACCTTCGTAGCTCATATCAAAAAGATTATACGTAACTACGCCACATAGGGTGCTTATAAGACGTAGACGGGCCAAGCTCCGACGGCTCTCGCAAGCCGCCATGCGCACGAAGCAGCACATATCGCCAGTAACTATGTAGTAGCAGCATCTACAACAGAGCGAAGACCTAGCCCACTCAATAAGGAGGCCTCGAGAGCTTCAAAGAGTTTAGTCATCCGCCCTCTTAAATTCGCCATAGTAGATGTAACGATGGAATTTGTATTAATACAGTATGAGACTTTTTGGTCACCAGCTTATGTCAGAAGCTGGATTAATACACCTATCCCACTTGCAGCTTAGAGACAAGCATATCTATCTATACCTACCTACCCTGTCCTACGTACATGTCTCTTTGCCGTCCATGTAACTATAACTAATTCTATGTAAGTTATAATGTAACATTCAGGCACCACGATATAAATGCGACACCGGCAGCCTACATATGTAAGCCTATCTAGGTACGGTATAGGGTCTGCCATGCCGCATTAAGCGGGTTGCATCCCGTGCCCGTCCGTTATGTATGCTCGCCTACATGTACGAAGTGTTTCAAAGAGACTACTATTTCTAGGGACGCTAACGCGTGGCCAATGCAGCTGTCATGTAGGCTTTCTAGATATATCACACACTTTTGATTTTTTTTTTTTGCTAATGTGTAAAAATATCCATGGATCTATAATGATCAAGATCATTGGCAGCAGTCGTGCAGCCTACCTAATCGCCCCAGGCGCCCCAACAGTACAATACATAGTTAACAGCCAACAGACCAACATCAGGATACTACACATAGCAGGCTCTGTGTATATGAAGTATGTAGGATCAGAGCCCTAGGTAAGATGAAAATGTATGCGATGTGACTACAATATACTCGTTAGTCCCCTCCAGCGCATTCAGCCTTCCGCGTATCACAGCCAGCAACGTCATCATCGCACTACCACTAACCCAGCTTTTGCCTGCCCAGTTAGTTGGCCCGGCCCCTTTGCAAATCTAGGTTTATTTCTCACGTGGGCTTTAGTGTTCATTCCTCCGTACCTGCGTCTGCCCAAACCCTAATCTGCCAACTACCCACCCTAGTCGTTATAGTAGTATCACCGATATAGCCCAATGGTCTGGGTTAGTAGCTGGAGGTTAGGTAGTAGTACCGTAGTAGTAGTAGTCTACGATGGCGAACTATTTTAGCGGTTGGCATGGCGTAACGCCTAAAATTCTCTTTTTAAGGCCCGGTTTGGTTCGATGGATAACGTCAACGGCTTGTGGGAAAAAAAAGAAAGAAAAAAAAAAGAAAAGTGACCTAATAGAAGCGTCGACTTGGAAAGGTCCGCGTGACTTGATTGGTTTGGTCTGTAGGGCAGCAACCTTACGTACGTATGTACTACATACATAAGTATAAGCCCTTCCGGGCTTTCCAGCTTTCATGATGAGGATGACATCTGGATGAAGCCTATATCTACATATGTAGGTATTGTCTACCTACATGCAGGCATGGATAAGGCTATGTAGCGTACCTAGGTATGTAATAACATGCTACGTATATGTAAGAACTTGATATTAAATGTCATCAAATTGACGTGACGTGGTAACCCGCCCCCCGCCCACCGGCTTGAACAGCGATCTAATGATCAGGTACCTTACAGGTAGGTAGCCAGCCCACTTTGCTGTGTGATGCCAGCGCATACATACTTACACCGTTGCCCATCCTCAAACATAGGTACCTACCTAGGTAGGTTTCTGCGGACACCCGAAGTGAGGGGGCCGTTCAAGCAGTCTCCCGTGCGGATGGGTGCCTGCTTACATCTGTCACTTTCCCCCGCTTACATCACAGGAGCAGGTGACGGGCGGGTGCCCACATGCCTATGGTAGAGGTTGGCCCCCCTTTTAGATTAGCAGTATAGAAAATGCCCCCAAAATGATATCCGAGATGAAATGGTTATAGACCTACATACCTAGTGAGTGAGAGATGGATATCGGTCTTAGTTTTGTAGTCTTGCGGTCTCTTCCCCGATAAAATCACTCATAAGGAACAGTGGTTTCGCGATGGCATCCGTGAACGTGACACCGCTCAGCAAATGTACTAAGTCCAGACCCTCGCGCCCCGGGGGAGTGGCCGGGGGTTTTCACAACTGTTGAAGGTCTCATGATACATACCTTATAGCAGCATCAGGAATAAGTCCATCCAACATCAAAGACACGCGAGCGGCTTCTGTCTTTACGTCGTTTTGTGAACTGTGAACTGCTGATAAGGATGGATCTCTACGTGCCCAAGAAACAAGCTGTGATTATTCTATTGAGTGCCCAATCTAACCGCTCCTATCCAGGTGGCTATGATTCTCTTTGCCGTGATGTATATGCCTAGGTAGGTAGCTATTTAGACATCTACCTACATAGTAGCATATACTTTTCCCCCCAAAAAAAAAGGAAGGAAGGAAAGAAGACAGAAAGAAAGAGCAACGTCATCATCTGTGAGTGTAGAAGTGCGTAAACTTAAGTCAACTGTTGTTGTGTCGATTCACACATAACATCGCAAATCCTACTTCGTATCTATACCGTAGGTAGTCCGAGAAGTTGCCTTCTGTCCCCTTTATCAAGGTGGCCCTACTCTTGCATTGACTTCAAGCTTTCACATTTCGTCGACGTATGTATATCACACAATGTGACTCAATGCAGCAAACCAGTAAATTGTCGAGGATATTAGGGATAGCTTTTGTCTCTCTTCTTCATTCTTTTTTCTTCTTAGTCAAGGTTATATACCCATCCTCCATCACCCGTCACCCCTTATTTCATCGACATACAACTCTCATCATCTCCTCAAAGCAACGACTTCCCCCTAAATTTCCCACCTCACCACCTACCTCTCATCCCCATCCCCAACAGCCCCCTCAACCCAGAACCCCCCCTTCCCATTCTTCTCCCTCCCCACCTCCTTCTCCTCCAGCTCCAACAGCGGCCCCTCCTCCCCAAGCACATACCTCCTATGCCACGGCCCCGCAAACAAGCCCTCCGGATCAACACCATCACGCACCTCCCTCCACCTCCGCAAATCATCGCCGTACATCCCCTCGATATCCGCCCCGCGCGTCTCGAAGTTCTTCGCCCAGTGCGGGCGCCCGCCCATCTCGCGCATCAGCCACTCGAACGCCTCGTAGTAGCGCTCCGTGCAGGGGGGATCCGTGTAGTAGGGCCGGTACAGCGTCGCGTTGAGATAGAGCGTCGCGCCGCCGTCGCGGACGGTCGGGTCGAGGAAGGGGCGGGTTTTTTCCGGCTGCGACGCCTTCTCGTTGGCCGCGGGGTCCGTGTTGGAGACGCGCACCTCGACGGGCGCGTGGACGTACAGGCCCTCGGCGGAGAACGGGATGCCGTGGGGCACGTAGTCGGGGTCCGAGGGGGGCAGGCGGTTGAGCCAGCTGGAGAGGCGGCGCAGGGCCTCGGGGCCGCGGCGCAGGGGGATGGCCCACTCGTTGACGAACTGCGAGTACAGGCAGTTCATGAGCAGGGCCCTGCGGGACGGCTGGACGGCGCGGCTGCGCGTGCCGTTGCGGAAACCGTACTGCATGCCGAAGACGAACCACTCGATCCAGGGGAGCGCGCGGGGGCAGAACTGCGAGAGGTAGAGGAGGTTGTGGTAGATGTAGTAGCCGAGCGCGCCGTCGTAGTAGGATGTTGGGGGGTCGACGAGCGGGGAGGAGTCGGTTTTTTCCGCGGTCCAGACGACGGCCCGCCGCGTGTACGGGTACCACCACACGCGCACGAACTCGGTCTGCGTCCAGAGGTCCTTCTCCCACGCGTTGAGCATCTTGGAGTCGGCGTCGATGACCTGCTGCCACCTCAGGATGAACTCGGGGACGGCGCGGAAGGTGACCTCGGTGATGATGCCGAGGGCGCCGAGCGAGATGAGCGCGGCCCGGAACAGCTCGGGGTTGTCTTCGGGCGAGCAGAACCGGGTGGTGCCGTCGGCGATGGTGATGCGTAGGGAGAGGACGTCCTCGGACATGAGGCCGTGGCGGAGGCTGGACCCGTGGGTTCCGGTGGATATGGCGCCGGCGATGGACTGCTGGTTGATGCTGCCGAGGTTGGGCATCGCGAGGCCGTGCTTCTCGAGCTCCTCGCACAGCGCGTACAGCCGGATGCCTGACTGCATGACGATGACGCCACTCTCAACATCCACATTTAGGATACGGTTGTACTTGTCAAGGTTTACCAGCCAGGACGAAGTGCAGGTCAGTGAGCTGGGTGAATGGCCGCAGCCGGTAGTGGTGATGCGGCGCCGGCATTGATGGGCTAGCTTCACGATCTTCTCGATCTCGGGCAGGGTCTCCGGTTGGAGGTAGAGCTCCGGCCGCGACAGGAAGGTCTTGGCCCAGGTGCTGTGGACATGATTGGCCTTGGCGCGGAAGGGAATGTCATCAGTAAATTTTTCGAGCTCTGCAGCAACCAAAGGATCCATCGCGGCGGCTGATGGTGTAAGAACCATGTGATCCAGATGTAGAAGATGGTAGCTGTCGTATATTTAATTAAAAAGCTGGTGGGTTTTAACTACTTCTTATTTTTCCTTTTTTTCCTTTTTTTTTTCTCCAGTTTGACCGTACGATTCTCAGTCCTTCTTTAGAGCGGTGGAGCTTGATGAGACTTTTTGTTCCTCAGTCACCACAAATGGGTGCGAGATTAGTTAAGATGGTTTTGACATGCCGAATTCATAAGCTCTGGCATTCCTTGTGATGGATGCTCTAAAATGTAAGAATGAGAATAAAATACTAAACTACCTAGGTACGTAAAGAAAACACACAAGACATCGATGAGCTGTTTAATCGCCAATTGATAATGGTACATATGAACTCTACTCACGTAGTACCGGTACTTACCTAAGTGCATACTATCTCATTGATGGTAGGCTAATACATAATACATTTTATTAAATTTAGTACTCTAGCACTGAATACTTGGCTTGCATTTGTAGATTTTCGTCACCGTTAACATTTATGATTGGTTCATCTAGATACTACACTACCATTTGCATATATACAGTATAATATAGTTATGTACGTGCGATGAAATGCCTCATACATAGTCACATGCATCTATGCGTGCATGTTTGTTATGTATGTACTGAAAGATTTGCTATTAGATAACTATCTCTAAAAGTTTAACTAAAAGCCCCTCTTCATCATCCCATAACTATAGTTATTGGATTAGATAAATGTGTCTGAATGGCTTGCTACCTAATAGTAACATCAAATAGGAAGCTATATGTACCTCAAAACTTCCCGCACTGCCCCAGGTGGTGGGAATGTCTGATTCGATATCCATAATATGCATCTTACCGTACTACTTATCTGTATATCGGGGCACCCCCTTTTTTTCAATTCCTTAATCTACCAACGCTGGATAAATCAACTCTACCAGACATTCCATCTCTAATTTCATCGCACATATTAATAGTAACCAGTTCATTCCAGGTGACCAAGTTACTTAGGACGATGGTTTGAATGATTCATCACAAAGGCTATGAATTGTTCTCGAAATAGCATTGATTATGGTATACGTAACTAATTTGGGGCACTCATCTTTTTTCTCAGGCTTTTTTTAGACTTTTGCCTCGCGAGAGTGTTGGAACTAATCTCAGACTCTACCGTATACGCGGGCCTACCCCTAAGAGGATCGACCTGGCCCAAGATGAACTCATCCCTATAGTGGTGTTCTCTCTTTTCCACGGGGTGCGGCTCGGCAAGTCGAGTTTCGCTTGACTCGCTTGTCCTGCTGGGACACCTCTTCCAGCTGTTGTCGTGGTGCTCGCTCGCCGTGCTCTGAAGCTCGATCGTGTCATCTTCGGATGATGCGCGATGCGATCGTCGGTTTAGGGTGATGATGACCTCTCTGGTGACGAATATGTCCCCAAGGCGGGCCTTCAGACGAGGCCAGAATATTGGTACGGAAGCACAGATACTCGAGATGTTGACCTCTAGCGCCCCCAGTACCACGCTGATCGGGCTGTACCATGTCGGGTCGAAAGTTGGGCTGGTCGTCGCTCTATGTTGAACGAGGGTTGCGAGCCGCCACATGCTAAAGGCGTTGACACTATTCGGGGTCAGTAAGGTTCGGTCTAATACCAGAAGATTCATGCACGTACATTATGCCCATGATGACTAGCCCGACTAATCCAAGTCTGGTACGTCGATGCGTCCCACGCTGGAAGTAAAGTGGTATGGGAAGAGAGAATACAATCATGTCCAGTGCTGTATTGACCACGGTATGAGACACATAGGTGTTGAAGAATTCTTCAACATGCATAGAGCCAAATGCATAGCACCTTGCCCCACCGGCACCCAAGCCCCAATATCCCGAGATGGGAAAGCAAGGCACCCAACCCATGAACGAATACGCAAACCCCCAGAGGCCGATGATGACAAGCATCACAATGCAAGTCGTCCGCAGCTTGCCGCTGCGATAGACGCGCAGGTATTGAAATAATAGGGATATCTTGATAAAGCTAGTCGAGAGGTTGTAGGATGCGTTTATCACGTAGAATATCTAAGACTTATGTGAGCCAACCAGAATATCCGAAAAAAAAAAATCCTCACATATCGACTGCCTTACCCTTAGATACGCCGCCATTCCTTCCGGTTTCAAGTAAAGAAAGTGCTGACCCAGCCCAAACTGAGGGGCTGAGAAAATGGTCAGTGCCTTGCGGGTGATGCGAGTTTCAGATAGGCGTTGCTTACCAAAACATAGTGCTATGCCACCCACCAGTCCCGATAGCTATTTCGTCTTGCTGTCAGTGGAAAGTTCGTATCGAAGGAAAAGAAATTCCTTACGAGATAAAATAAGACGAAGACATCATCCCAGCCGCCAGCGTGGATAACCCAGAGTCGGATGTAGAGGCGATACGTCACGCAAAAGGTGGAGATGCACTGGCGTTGTAGAGGTTAGAAGCACGGAACACAGGCCCGAAAGTTTTGTTATAGGTCTTTTATCAAGATGTAGGTGTAGGTAGGCATTACTTACGAGCATTGTAGCCGCAACGGATGATATGACCTCTGGGCGGTTCCATGTTGGTACCGGGTCGTCCAGATTGTTGTACACGCCAAGTCGATCCGTCAGGGTCTCTCCTCCAGCCATAATCTCATAGAGTTCTCCGGGAAGCTCTTAAGATTTAGACATTCTACGCTTCAGTTCCTTGGTAGAATTTTTTGCGGTGGTTGTGATCGTCCGTCAGTTGGCCCCTCTCTCTCTCTCTCCTCTTATATCCAAAAAACAACAAGAAAAAAAAAGTGCTTGGCTAAGTCACGAATCAATCGAAACGGAAGCAAAAGCAAGGACTTTAGCCGTCCCAACCATGGCAGATGATGGACGAGCTTTATCAAGTTCAGCTTTTTTCTCGCTTCTTCTTGTTTATTATCCCTCCTGCTCACTTTTAAATTTATTATTCCCTAGCCTAGAGTAGGCTGACAGCTCCGTTCGTTAACCATTAGTCTAGTGGGCTCCAGTTCTATAAATTTGTAATCCAGTAAGATGTGCTTGTCTTCGATGGAAAAATCTCCCCGGCAGCTGTCCGGGTCCGTGGTTTCAAGTACAGACATGGGAAAGCTGGGGGATATCCGCTCTGTAAGCCAGCGTATGCTCGCTAGAGCTACTGGTGCGGCAGCGCTATCGCTCACTTCATGTTTCTGCCTTCTAGTTCTCTCTAGCATCGCGTCATGACATTTATCGCGCCGCATATTCTCACGGCGCTAAATCTCTAGAGGAGACATACGGGCCCACACCGTTTCTTCAGCATCTGCCACCATTCCGCTGAACCTAGCAGCCCTAGTAGTCCTTATACCTGCCTGCCTATACCATTACTACACAGTACATACATATTAACATACATATTACACATCTGGACCGTAATCAGCGCACCCTAACCTGGTAAAGTTTCATGGACCAGCACCTGTGGCGCATTGCTATCCAAGGCCTGGAACCATGCCATCGTCGATTTAACTACCCGCGCTCGTCTCACCCTAATGTCCCTGTCCCTAGCGGCTGTAGCTAGCCATTTAGCCCGTAGATTCCGTGGCAGGTATTTAATTATTCCTCAAGCACAACATCATCGTCGACGAACACTGGGCTGAATCAGGCGATAGCTTCATTGCTAGGTCTGAACCCAAGAAACTATACAAAAATTGTATAGGCGTGCGACAGGGTTTACCGTAAGCTACCGAAGGATTCAAATCTTACATAGAGATTGCTTACATGCACTTGCTGTCTGTGTGAGTTCTATTTCGCCGATATTCAAGGCAGCTTAATATACATCATCCTATTCCATCACATGTCTATCATCCAATCTTGCAGATGAATGGACGAATGAGCTACTGCTATGACGAAGTATTTATAGATATTCTATTTTCTGGCTGGGATCGCATCGAAGGAGCCGTTCACGTGGCTATTATGTATACTACATAGCAGCCACATGTGCCCATGAAGCGATAACTTTTCCGCTCCTTCCATGCTACGGAATTTCGCTACATGTTGACCGGACGGCGGACTGAGCCGTAGCACCGAGATGTGGTTGCAAAAGGTTATTCTCGGCAGCTGCTCAAATTTAGATGCGGCGCAGCGTGAAGGAGCGGTAGGAAGCGAATAGACCCGGCTCCTTGCATCTTGAATATCGGGGCCGGTATGACAGCGCATGCTCGTAAGTTAAGGGGCGGGAGGGGAAAGAAAAAAATGTCTGCTCCGAGGGAGAATAGGGTAGATGTAGGCACTTAGTACGCAGGGACGATCCATATAAAAGTGGTAGGTTACAGTAAAGTCTTCAAGTGTACCTAATGGCACTCGGAAATAGCGCGGTAACAACCTTATTCTAGGCACGATAGCTAGGTCATTCAACCCTTTTATTTACAGCTGCAGAGCTATGCCACTAGTTACGTGATACGCTATTCATAGGCTCGATCGATATCGGGAGACTTGATAATGCGCTCGGTGTTACACGCTTCACCCTGTCTCTCTAATTTCAATATATAAATACCACGTGCCGTCATAAAAGGGGAAGCCCTAAAAACCACACCGTTCATTTACCACATCTTGCCTACCTAGTGTCACATGACCAGACCGGAAGACATGGAAATAGCTAAGTTGTTACGCGAAGAGCTGTAGACCTATACGCGGGGAATGTGGTCTATACCAGACCCCTAACACCTAGAGTCGTATAGAGGTAACTAAAATTTGGTGTAAGACGATTGGAGGAGCTTGCTGACTCATTATAGTCCTTCACAATTAAGGGGCTCAGAGTATAGAGGCACGCTATACCTACTACGGATGACATTACCATATGGTACATGTACTGTAGGTATCTACTCCTTCTAATCATATAAAAGAAGCAAATGTATTAAGTCGAGTTTATTCTTCATAGTAAAAGCCAGAGACTGTATGGCATATGCTTGTGTAGCATGCACCCCTTTAACGACATCTCTTGCACCTAACTGTATAGTAGCCAGGGAGGGACATCAAGTGTATGTACGTTAGACAAGATCCTAATAAACTTGTCATTCAAGAATTAGCTATGAATTCGGGTGTGAACAGACTATTACATCGTAGCTTTGACACGTTAAGCACCTAAAAGGGGGTGATCTGTTCCTGTACATGTCCTCTCCTAGCAAACGGAGGCTTAGAGACTGGATGCTATATTATCAAGCCTTCTGCAGATATGAAGAAAGAGTTGATTTATACCTAGTCACAAAGCAATTAAATCCAACCTTATACCTATACCTGCCCAGATAGTGATGCCTAAGTCGGCAGGCAGGTAGGCGTGAAACATAAACACTCAGTATAAACGGAGATAGCAAACAAACCTCCTCATCAACATGACCACCTTCATTGTGAATTGCTTATACGCCTAAGCAACGCTGTTCATGATACCTTTCATAAAAAAAAGGGTTACCTAATCCCCACAAATAACGAGCTCAGTAGGCCTTCAACTTGAGTCAAGTGATGCATATCGCGAAGTCTACTTTACCTACCTACCTAGCTACACAAAATATCCATTAGTAAAAATCACACCACCGATAATCCACTCCTGTACTTCATAAACCAAGTAAAATAAGTAAGAAACAACTCACAACTCATTTACTTCGCATACCTATGTATAAGACCACAAACAGCACAAAGAGAAAAAAAAATCTCTCTCAAAAATGTTTGATAGTGGATACTGTGACTCACAAGCAGTTTAGGCGCACATATAAACCGAAATCGGGGACCCTTTTTGCACACACCACACCAGTGTCTAGGTGAGCTTCATGGCGCAGTGGAAGCGCGCCGGGCTCATAACCCGGAGGACCTCCGATCGAAACGGAGTGGAGCTAACAATTTTTTTTCTCATTTCCTTTTTTTTTCCCCCGCTCGTTCTCACTCTTGATTCGAATTTTTTCAGTCGTAGAATTCGTTTGTAGTCTTAGATTTGCAGAATACTATTTTCTCTTTCTCCCCTCGCGCGCGGCGCTACTATGTACTACATAGTATAGTAATATGGCTCTAATTGACGCCCGCCAATCAGGACCGCGGCGCCATTCCACATTAGGGAGGCCCGGCGGTTTTGATTGGCTAATGCACAGTCGCAGTTGGGAAAGAGACTGTGTTACTTTATCGATCTACATAGTTAAATGAATTTCTTCATTGAAATTCAAACGTCAAAAGTCAAAAGTGTAAGGTGTAAAGTAATTCTAGTCTACCCTAGTACCATCATACCATCATCTTCACCCCCAAAGAATTTCTTCTTGTTTGAGTGCGACATTTAGCCGCTTTTCACGGCTAGGAGCGTGAGATACGGACGGGCAATGCCATCCATTTTTCATTCACCTTAACCTATGCTATGCACATGACTGCGTGATGGGAACTTCATACTAGGTATCAGACGAACCATCAACCTCCCAAGGCGACTAGTTGGGTACCTAGGTAGCTATCCAAACAAAACAATCAACGCTCTAGCGATAGTTAAGTCAATCTGCCTACCAACACTCCCAATATAGTAAGCAGTTCATCATCCCCCGAACGCCGTAAAATCAAATTCCCAAGCCATGACACCCCGTTGATTTAGCCCTTCCTCTTCCCCCTTCCCCCATTTCCTCGCTCACCCATCCCCCCCACCAAATCCAACCACAGCGAGCCCAGCCCCACAAAACGCAACTGCCGTCCCGTCCGTTCAAACAGCGCCTTCGCGCGCAACCCGTACACCACCTCCGCCTGCCCGCCCCGGCGCGCCTCCAGCTCCGGGGCGGAGTACGCGGTGACCGTGTCCGTGAACGCGGGTGGCAGGGACGCGGCGTGGCGGGAGGACGCGAGGGCGGCGGGGATGTCGCCGCGAGGTGGTGCAGGGTTGCGAGGGAGAGGTGGGTTAGTTTGGTGTGGCTGGGCTTGGTGATGGGGGAGGAGGTTGTTGTTGTTGGAGGGGAGGATGGGGAAGGTGGCGGTATTGGTGGTTGCAGCACTCAGCTCGTGCAAGATCTCCTGCGCAGCGCCGAGCCGAGCGCACGCCAGTCCAGCGGGCGTTTCTCAATGCCGGCTTGCATGGCCTTCGTCAAGTATGCGTTTGCCAGCGCGATTGTCAGCCGCTTTGTCCGGTTGGAGGAGTAGGAGTAGGAGTAGGAGTACGTGTGCGTCGTGTTCGTGTTCGTGTTCGTGACCCCCGTGCTCAGCACCTTGATCCCTTCGTCGCATCTGTGGAGTTCGCAGAGAAGGGTCCCGCGGAGCCAGGTATATTTCTCGTTATCGTCAGAGAGGAAGGGTCTATGGAGCAGAGAAGCTCGTACGCTTCCTGGAACCGTCCTTCGAATCGCAGGATTTTGGCCTGCGTTAACATTACCTGGTTCCTTTGTAGCATCCCCAGTGATGATATGGTCCCTTCCCACGAGGGGTCAAACGCGGTGAGGTATTTCACGGCAGTTGCTAACGTGTTTAGACGAACGCATTCTTTGGCACGCAAGATTGTTGCGAGATCTGCGGAGAGGGCGTTGGATCTGTGGTCAGTTATAGGGAACGTGATGTCTTCGGTCGTTTTGGCTCGGTTCTTCGTATAGACGGAGGGGTGTCAAGTCTCTAATTTGCACTTTTGCTGTCAAGACGGCGCCATAGGAGGAGCCTGCCAGTGCCAGCGCCTTGGCGGCCTGGGCCGCGGCAGAGATGGCAGTAAACTTCCAGTCTTTATCCCGAAGATAGGAGGTAGACAAGCACGCCTTGACGAGCTGCGTGAGGCATGGCTGATTCAGTAGTTTCTCAAGTTGCAATGGAGGCAAATATGACAAAACTGTCTTGAGGTGAGAAAGAAGTGTTTCACAGTCTTTTCTATAGCTAGCCATGCTGTGTTAGCATAAGACGCTGGACAAACATTGGCACAGCGTAAGGTACCTTGTCGGTTATAGCGAGCGATATATGGGAAACGCGTGGGCCATGATTCTTACAGCGTCAGCAACCCAGGTAGGCTGTTCGAAACGTCCTTGCAAGAATTCTGAGATACGCCGGTCGAGGTCTATCTGCTCCCCTGAGACCCGCACAAACCCGACGTATTCTAAGAAATAGAGGGCGCTTGCGAACACCTTCTCGCTAGAAACCGTGACCGTCAGAGTCCTAGTCTCCACCACGCCATCCTCGCCCCAGGACCGCGAGGGCTCCCATACGCGGCGGAACAGAGCCATGGGTATAGAAGAGGAGCCCAGGCACCGCAGTATAGATGCCAGGTTCTGCGTGTCGAGATCCAGCTGGCCCAGGATACGGAGAAGCCAGTTGTTTATCGAGGGGTTGCACGGGAACTTGTGGATTCTGGCAAAGAGCTGGTGCTTGGATTCGAGCGAGAACTTCACGAGCAGATGCAGAACCTCACGATTACAAGTGTTCCGGTGCGCGTCTATCGTGGCATAGTACGTCCAGATCAAGGCAAGCGGCCCCCCGTGCTTCAACGACTCACCTAGCAGGGCTGTTCTGGGGCTCGACAGGACACGGGAGTCCATCGTGCGGCTGAGCATGTAGCTACGTATGTGCCTGTCCTTGTCGGCCTCGAACCCGAGTAGCGCATCTCGAATACCTCGTTCGACGGGTATGAAGTTGAAGGAGTCCGAGAGGTGCTGCTGGCACTGGAAGAAGGCATCGACTAGTAGCCCTCGGGTTTCATAAGGCTCCTGCTCGAGAGCGGTCTCAATATCTAGGTTCTCGCCCTTATTCCCGACGCACATCAACCGCATGTTGTCGTCGTCGTCGTCGTCGTCGTCGTCGTCGTCGTCGTCGTCGTCGCAGTAGTAGTGATAGGAATTGTTGTGAAGAGGATAACGCGATGAGCGTCTGAACCCTCGTGAAGAACAACATCCTTAAACCAGAGGCTCTACCACGTAGGCATCGAACGTTCATCACTACCTACCTCGGCATTGTGTAGGCCATTTGTAGGCGATAGGCAACAAGGCTCCAGGATGGGGTCTATCGGCAGCTCGCAGTAAACAGTACGGCCCCCTGACCAATGAGAGCCCCTTGACGAAATGATATATCATTTTACTACAGATTCGATTATGAGTCAACCGTGGCTGGCTTTCATTGTCCTGGATTTTTATCCAACCAAAGAGGCTTTTCAACAAAGGTATAGTGTTGAAGAGGTGTTGATGACCTAGGAAGAGAGTAATGGGTGCGCCACCAATTAGATGCTGGATAGGCATCCAGTGATGAGTCGACTTGGCACTTGCGTCAGTGTATAAGACCTATAGGCAATTCTCGGTCCGTGGATTGGAGCTATGCATTATATCTTGACCTTATCGCCGATACGAGACTTGAGATCTGGTATGTACTATGTATGTATTCCATAGAAGTTGAGGTCATTAATGATTATCAAAGTGGTACTAAACTCGTCTGCAAGGTTGAGTTGTCTAACTACTATGTAACTACATAGTAGCGCCCGATTTAACCTAGTTCTACATATCCTCTTGAACTGGTAACTCAACTAGGCACTCATCTCGTCGCCTTCTACAGGTCTTGGCATACATATGGACAGGGGTATGTTATACCAAAGACCCGGAAACCAAACAACTCGACTATAACAGTAAAGTCCTAATGTAGGTAGTCTACCTTACTACCTAAGATACACCCTAGGTATGCAGGATTCAACGTCTTTTGAACATGATTCAGGGGGGGTATATAACCTCGTGGAGCCTCTGCTTGGGGTATAACGCCAAAAAATCAAAATGCCATCTAATGCCATCTTTTTAATGCGACAATCAAACCCATCAATTAATCTTTTCCGCTCCGATCTGCATGCTTCACATAATGACTACCACCTAACACAAAACACTTTGAGCCGTCGAGATGGTGGGCGAGATAGCAAAGGCCCTCGGTTTCGATTCCAACCCAGCCTTCGTGGGACCATGTCGAACCGACGACGTAGGATGTGGGAAAATTGATGCCCTGGCGTATGAGACTTGCTTTCATGTACAGTAAGGTGCCTCCTACACTATCAAGTTGTATGATGTCGTCGTTGGACGTCCCCTTGATAAGCTCGTCCACGTACGTCCTGGTCTCGACTAGTTTATCCGCAGCTATCTCAAGGTCTTCGTCACGGACAGGGCCCATGAGCATAGGCACTTCTCTATTCAAAGCCCAGGCGTTCTTGTCGTAGTTTCGCTCCAGAGTCTGCTTACAGATAGACGTGATGATGCCCACGTCCTCGCGACTCTCCCCATGTCCAATCATGGTCTGCACGATGCCCTTGGAAAGCTTGACAATATCGGCGTCAACCCAGATGACGTGGGTCTCGTCTTGCAGACTACGGGCCATCAGGTAGTTGCGGGCGCTGGCGATCAGGTTGCGCCGCTTCCGCTGTACCTCCGGGCGGTGCCGATCCTCGTACGGGATCTTGGAGGAACTCTTACCGTCGCTCTCGCGGTAGAGTAGCGCGACACGTGCAAAGGGCACGGACGCGATGGCCTTTTTGGCGGTGTCGAACTCGTCACGCGACGCCGTCATCAGGGCCAGAGAGACCCGAGATAGGTCGATGTCGGTGGCCATGATCATATCCAGGAAATCATACACAGTGCGGCGCCGTATGGACAGATAATTGCTACTCCAAGAATGCACGTCGCGACTCAATGCAAGGATCAGCACGTCCGGATTGGCCTTGGCCATTTGCCGGTGGTGGAGTACGGTGCCATCGTTCAACGTCTGCTCGTTGTCGTCGAGAATGGCGTCAAACGATGGTTTATCCCAATGCTTGAATGTGGTAGGTAAACAAGGTTGAGCTTTGGGTTCATAGTTACGATAGAGCACCAGGATGAATAGAATAAAGGAGATGCCGATTAAGACCAGGCGGTGATGATGAGCAAATCTAATGCGAGTAGCCATCTCGCCATGATTAAAAGTTGAAGCAGCAGTTTGTAACAAGAAAGAAAATAATCTTTTTTTAAGAAAAAAGAAGATTTAAATCACGTAAGAAAAATAATCAAAATAATAGTAGTGACATTTGACATTGACAATAATATGTAGTTAATTTTAATAATAAAAAGATGAGGAAGAGGATAGACTAGGACGGAGGCGGAGCTTCGCGTCTATTTCGTTAATTTTTTTTTAGGGGATCGAGGGAGTCCTACAATGTACCTGGCTAGGGCTCATACTAAAAGGCTCCAGTGGATCTTGTGTGCTGATTCTTGGCGCATTTGGCGTATTGCATTTGCTGCATTTGCTGCATTTGCTGCCTGCGTTGTGCTTAGTCGGGTGGAACTTGGCGGAACTTTACTTCAGCCTCGAGGCTCTAGGTTAGCATCCTTCTACACTAAAATTGCCCCTTTTACTTTTTACTTGAATGGAAAAAATACTTATAGATACATGGGCACGTGTTCATAATCACTTGATTGACCACATACAGGGCTGCTAGGCTAGATTTTAGGCAACATTGGGTGATATGCATGTGTGCTTTCTCGGTATTGCCCATGTATAATACAATGTAGTATGTACTATCAAGTACCAAGTGACCACTGTCGTGTCCTCGTTGTTACAACTTACCCCAAGTTACAACGGACTATGGTTTCACATTACGGCTACTGCAAAGCAACATCGAAACAAAAACGATACTTGAAACTTATTGGTTGTCTGTATTCTCCACCATATTCAATCAATCCTCGGGCGCTATAGTAGCCTAACTCTTCAAAAAATAAAGATAAAATAACGTTTCCATCTTTCTAGGTTAAGAGACTTCAAATTCTATGTACCATTGATATTAAGTGTTGTAGACTTCGGAGTTTGTATTGCTATAATCCCGATCGGCAACCTACCTTAGCTAATGTTCATTGGTGGGAAAAGGCTCACGCGTTTGTGGTTACAGATTACATGTATTATGTATCACCCCAAGTACTGACAATGTGACTTTTAAGTTCAAATGTTTGTTCTTCATTCCTTCAAGAGGAATTCATCCCTCCAGGTATAATTCCTATACGCCGTGTCTACTACTAGTAATACTTAATAGTAAATGATCCACCAACGCCAAGTACATCCATGAATACATACATCTATGTTCTTTTCCATGCCAATTGCAGTTACATACAACACCGGCCTAATTATAACCCCAATGACATCGCCTATGCGACGCTGGCTGCAACCATATGCATCACCACCTCATGGTGGAAGATCTTCAGCGCCGTCATGAGCGCTACCACCGCAAACCTATCCCCCAGCACCCCCGTCGCACCGCTCTCCAGGAACTGAAGCTTGAACACCTTATTCGCGCTCCAGCTGTTGTTATGCGACCACGCCGCCACCACTTCCTGGCCGTCACTCGTCCACCCCACCGCTCGCTTAGTGCGGTCGCTGCCGCCGCCGCCGCCGCCTTGCTCCGCGTTGTTCCCGCTTAGCCGCACCAGCTTCCACCCGTAGCCCGCGTGCTTGTTCAGGCCCCTGACCTCCTCCCCACGGCTCTGCCGCCACTCGAAGTCCTCCGTTCGCAGGTCCTTGCCCGTCCCTGTTTGCACCGAGAAGCGGTACGAGACGTGCAATAGCCCGACCTTCATCTTCATGACAACCCGCGTAGAGCCTGTACCACCACCACCACTATAAGAGGATCCCGCAGCATCATCGCCGAGCGCAAGCAACTCGACAATAGTCTCTTTCGCGCTCCCCCACTTGCTCGTAAACGCCGCCGTCGCGATGACGGGACCGGCGCTGCTGCTAGCCCCCGCGCAGAGGTCCAGCTTCCCGGTGTAGTCGCTGCCCAGCGCGACGTTGTAGAGCGGGCTGTTGGCGTGCTCGCCGAGCTGGATGTTCCGGGTCGTCCACTTCTTCTCGTAGTACCCGTTCAGCGCCTGCGGGAACCGGTTCCGCGCACCCACGATGCTGCTGCTCGTGTTTGTAGTACTAGTCTCAGGCACTGCTTCGTACCACGGCGCTAAGCCGGGTGCTGCCGCTTGTGGGGGAGCTGCATCGGCCGCGCTATGATTATGATAACTGTAAGGAGGTGGTGGTGCTGCACCATCATCGTCTTGTAGCGACGGTGCGTAAGTAAAGTCGGTTTCTGTTGAGTAACTCATTCTCCTTTTCGTTACCGATTTTAGTTTTGTCTTTTTTAAATATTTTTGCGCTTTTTTGTCCTTTGGCGTGAAAATCGAAATCGAACATCGTTGTTTGGGCTTTGATTCCAACTTATATCTCACCTAATTCTAGGGTTCATCACCATGTGCTAATAGTAGCTGCCTATCTTTCGGCCCTGCCGCGCTGCACTGCCATTGCGCAGTTACATAGTTAGCCAGGCAGCTCTTTGAACTAATTGCTGGGCTACGTCACCTGTTCTGCACCCGTATCTGCAGATCTATACGTATAATGTTTTATTCGCTGAGCTCTTGAGAGATCCCTCGAGCTGAATGAATACGTTTTATTTTATTGGTGTGTGTAATACAACGTATCATGATCAGCATCAACACCTACTTGATATTTTAAGAGAGTAGGGTCACATTACTAGAATGCATGAAATCAACCGCTCGAAGTGTCAACTCAAACTTTCTCTGTGATAAAGGCTCGTTTGCTTACAACTGGGTAGGGAATGCTTGACAAGGTTATATGAAGACCTCGAAATAGAGGATTCGATACAATACCAAGCCCCTATCGGGGGGTAGTTAACCTTAAGGAGCTATTACCACAACGCCTTCGCCTTCGCAAACGGCTTGTCAGGCTCACGACAAATCATTCCTATAGCACACGCATGCCCTTGAACTCTTCCGGTAGCTCCAGAAAAGACAAGTTTGAGACTAGTAATACGACAGAGATACCGAATTCCATGTATACGAGTTTGAGTCCTAGCATAGGTATTGAGTATAGCCAGAAATCACGACTCGAGTTTAGAAGGAAAGGGGAAAGAGGGGGGAAAGGTATCTCTACCCGCCTCGCTCTAGAGTCCATCTCCTATCCTCGATACCACAGCGCGACTCCCGGCAGTAGGTACGCTTTGGCTCATCGGCAAAAAAAAAGGTGCACGGCTGAGATGGAAACTAAAAAAAAAAAAAAATCTACTCCTTTTGATACCCTATAGCCGGGAACCTCTTGTCTAGTTACTGAAGCCTGGCGGGGATTGACTTCGGCAACACCAGCCAGGCGCGATGCTTCCTCGCACACACCATCAAAATAAAGGATCTCGGTTCCCAGGATCTCCTCGACGGATGGAGTGCCAGGGCCAGAAAATCCCGTCCTCAAGGCTGCACACAGCTTGGTCTAGGCTGCGGGGTACATTCCATGAATGAAAGAATAAAAATAAAAGTAATTAAGAGTATTCGCAGAGTCATGGCCCTAAGAAGAATGTGCCAGCTATACTCATTACTCGGGGAAAGATAGGAAGAGGACATTCCCCGACAAGCGTTACCTATAATCATCTCATCGAGCATACCCTCATTCCGCGCCGAATCATCTAGGGGGTTTCCCAACCCTCCTGGCTTCGAGGGCCCGGCGTCATAGCACGAGATCCATTATGCGGAAACTTCATCCGCCGCCAACATATCCCCCTCAAGCCGCTGAAATCTCTCAACTGCCCTGTGCAAGGCCCGGGTGATCTCGTCACTCCCGGCCTCCTCGCCGATTAGGGCAATCTAGATGGGCATCTACCATTGCGTGGCGTAACATGGAGGGCGAACAGGTCGATCGACATCAGGGCCTGGTCGAACTCACTCCTTGTTCCGGCGCAGCACGATGTCCTTAATCTCCTGCTAGCCTTCGAGAATGCTCATCGGCTTGTCGCGGATGCTGGGAAACAGCAGATGTGCGATGTGGCGCGTCCAGCTTCCGGGCCGTGACGGCCTCGGAGAATTCCTTGAGCTCCAGGATCACCGGCACCAGCACCAGATCAGGATTGCCGTCGGCTGTCCGCTTTGCGGGTTCCTAGTTGTAGGCGATGGCCCGGATACGGCTACGGGTAGAGAATGCGCCGGGCGAGGAGAGGAAGCGTAACGAGAGAGGTGATGATTAAACTGTAAAAGATCATATTGGGTACCAATGTCGATTTTGTTAGTGGTAAGATTTCTGAGGAACGAGGTTTGGCAACTAGTTGTGGTTGGAGTGGACTATGACCCATGCCCCCCCCTATTGTATCGCTATCGTACTACTATGTCGCCTGCCTAGAAGGGGGGCAAAACAAGGGACCCCCAAACGACAAAATATCGTTATCACAATTGACTGTCGAATAGGATTCCATGTAGTATAAACGTTTGTTTACCTTCTCTTCGCCCCTACTGTGTATGTATGTACTAGTGTACTATCAAGATATCACGAACCTCATCGCTGCCCCTGGGTAGTAATCAACAGTTTACCTAGGTACCTATGTATAAGTTGTGATTTACTATTAAACCAAATGTAAAAAAGGGCCCTCCTTATACTGCCGCTTTGTTGGCAATATGTTCCGGTTGCTTTGGCAATTGCGAACCTAGGTAGTCACTATACTTACCTAACCTTCGTGCCAAGCTGCATTGCTTGAAGTGAGGTAAATAAAGGAGATTTGGCAGGTAGATACTCAAACTAGAGGTATACTGGAGACTCCGCTCGAAGGCCTGTGTACCTAATTTACACCAGCTTCACCATGAGTGACTGGGTAGATACCATACATGATGGGACCCTTTCATGGTTACCATCAAATCAAGGACGATGTGGTAAGCATTTAGGTATCGTCATCTCCATTAACGATCATCTGGGATTTCAAGGAAAGGGGCGACTAAAACGTTCTGTTGAGAGTGTTGCGGTGCTCCTTTGACATGACGTTCATATTAACTGATGAAATAGCCGAGTCCATAGTCCGCATCTCAATCAGTGAGGGTTTTGCACGTCTCCATATAACGGTTCGATGGGGCAGCGAAACCACTCATAGTCGAAGAATGGGAGCAGCGGGGAATAGAGAAGAAAGTAAGTGGAAAGTTTTTGGGAAATGACAGAAAGGGGATTGATTGTGCTGGAAACTTTATTGGAAAGGTAAGGTTCCATTTCTCTCGAGGCCAGTCTTCATTTCAAGTTGATAGTTTCTATACCCAGATATTCGTACCTAGTGTCTACACATGCCAATAGTCTTTCGTGTATTGGTAAAGCCAGCCTTTTAGTGGTTACCAACAGAAAAGAGCTCTTTTCACTCTCACCAGACCAACCCCCAAAAATGGCTTCAACCAAACTGGTATACCGAACTTCCATGCCGCTATTCCCGGCCCTTCCGAGACAGGCCGAGCCTCATCCCCAGGGTGTCACGCGACTACCTACCTATGTACGTTGCAGCAAGTCTATGTGAGGTGCCTTGACAGGGGCCACAACAAGTCGGAAAGGCGGTCTTAGGTCCATTGGGAATTAATAGTCGAAATGACATGTCAACAACCTAGGTAAGATAGTGTAAGTGTTACTCCAACTAAATACTTGTAGGTATGTATGAGGTCGTAGGTACCCTATGCGTGATGTGTGTGTCGACGGATGAGTAAAGAGGTGAGACATATGATTGCCATGTGCCCCAATAATAAATATGTAATGCGTTATAATGACAATGCATTTTATTGAACAGTAGTACGATTCGACCGATTGGGGTATTATTGCATCTGCAGTTGAGCAGTTTCGGGTTGAAGAATAACAAGAAAAGACAAAGAAAAAGAAAAGAGAAAAGAAGAGCACCCCGAGCGTTCCGTAACTCTCCTGTCTCTCACCTCACACAAACGGGCTCAAGGAACATTGACTGTAGAACCAATAAGCCTTCATCTTAGAGCCTTAGAGGGGGCTTCGGTAATGCGGGGATTAATGGCTATCGGGGGATGGTCCCCCCTTTTCGCAAAAGGGCAATGGGTTGCGTGTTGCCATACATGGAGTTGCCCTGCATGCAGTATGCAGTAAGTGTGTACCTAGGTATGTATGATGTAGCGGGGTTTTTCGTTTGTTTGTTCTCGAACTTCCATCAACGTCCCTCCTCCTCCTCTTGCTCGGTAACCGCTTCAACCACACACCCCAGAGATCCGAATAAAGACAAAAAAAAAAAAAACTCAAATATCGGCCTCCTACGTAATCTCACGCAAAGCTAGGATGGCCCGGATCCCTCACCTGCCCAATGGCGGAACGGCCTTTGGACTTCCTGCCGTCAGCTTTTCTCAACCCCAGTGTCACCTCACGGCTTTGCTACGGACAATGAAATTCTTTCTCTCTCTTGTTCTAGGCCTACCCCCTTTTCGCGTCGCGAGATAACCGATGCGGGAAGAACGGTGAGAGATGGAGAGACATACACGGAGAGAGACATGGAGACAGAGGTATTTTGGAATAATAAATGCCTCTCTCACTCTTGTAAAAAGGGCGCAAAAAAATCTCAAGGATTTGCCTACGTACTTAGTGTCTCTACACGGCACATTTTTCAGTTGTACCGTGTGTTGTCTCAATGGATAACATAACAGACACGCTCCAGCACTTGCCTACCTGGGTATCCCTCGCCGTTGCGTTCAACTAAGGTGTTTAAAAGTCTGAGCGGGAAAAGTCTGTGAGGGGACCTCGTTGCACATTACAGTTGAACCTAGCCGAATCTTACTTGCTGTGTTCGGCCGGTAGATGGTGTGGACGTCAGATCCGAGAAGAAGAAGCAGCAGCAGAAGAGAAGAAAAACAAGGGTAGGGGGCGGCTTGTGTCTTTGTCCTTTCATTTCCCGCTGCGGGATTTTCCTCCTCTTCCTCTTCTTCTTCCTTTTTCGAGAGGTGTGACAAAGGAAAGGAGGCTTGAGCCCAAATTCCTTAGCTAGCTTTGACCTGAGATATCTGTTGCGCACAACCCGAAGAGAAGGGCCCAGGATAGTCAGTCAGCCAGCCAGCCAGCCTTAACATTTCTTAAGGAAAGGCCGTGCTAAAAAAGAAAAATACATTCACACGCACATACGCACGCACCCACTCACTCAGACTCGCCAATATGGACTTCCTGACCCAGCAAAGACATGGGGATAGCGTGGCGCCCGACGACGTCGAAGCTCAGGGGGCCAGCCACTCCAATGGCGCCAGCTACCCGACCGAGCAGGCCGGCGGCGAGGCGGGGGCGGGGCAAAGCACAGGGCTAAGTCCAGAAGCCGCCGCCGCCGCAGGAGGGAACAACAGCAGGCAATCGGGGGCGGGGCAGAGCGGCGAGCACATCAGGTTCGGGGAGTACCGGCTGAAGGAGCCGCCCAAGAGCTCGGACCTGAACGAGTACGACGCGCTGGACCGGTTCATCACGAACTTCGACCAGGAGCGGCGCGCGAGTCTCGCGAGCGCCATGGGCAGCGGCAAGCGCAAGCTGCCCAAGTGGTGGCAGTTCTGGAAGTCGAGCGAGGGCGAGGGCGTCGAGGGCCAGCAGCCCACCGACATCGGGAAACCCCCGGACTCCTGGCTCGACACGGACATCCACACGGGCATCACCACCGCGCAGGTCGAGGAGCGCCGGCGGCGGTTCGGCTACAACGAGCTGACGGCCGAGAAGGAGAACATGTTCGCCAAGATCCTGGGCTACTTTCAAGGGCCGATTCTTTATGGTGAGCAAGCTTTTTCCCTCTTCCCCCCCTCCTGCTGATGCCCGTTTATTCGTGTTGGCAACTGCCTAGGTATTCTGGATTAATACCTAACAATTGCGGTTCTTAGTTATGGAGATCGCGGCTTTACTAGCCGTAGGTCTCGGCGACTGGATCGACTTTGGTGTCATCATTGGCATTCTTTGTCTCAACGCCTTTGTGGGGTTTTACCAGGAGAAGCAGGCGGCGGACGTTGTAGCAAGTTTGAAGGGTGATATTGCTATGAAGGCACATGTCATACGCAACGGTAACGAAGAGCAAATCTTAGCTAGGGAGTTGGTACCAGGCGATATTGTAAGTTTGTGTTTTTTTCCGTCTTTACCCTTTTAAAACGCATCGCCAAGCTAACCGTATATTTAGGTCATCATCCAAGAAGGACAAACAGTCCCAGGCGACGCCCAGCTGATTTGCGACTACGCCCGGCCTCAAGACTTCGAGCAGTTCAAGGAGCTAAGAAACGAAGACAAATTTGGCGGCGAGGAGGAGGTGACCAACGGAAAGAAGGACAAGTCAAAGGGCGACGAGAAGGACGATGAGGGAGACTACGAAGAGTCAATCCACTTCGGTGACCCCCTAGTAGCCTGCGATCAGTCCGCCATCACCGGTGAGTCGCTCGCCGTGGACAAATACATGGGCGACGTGCTGTACTACACCACGGGTTGCAAGCGCGGAAAATCCTACGCCGTCGTGACCACCACCGCCAAGTACTCCTTCGTCGGGCGCACCGCGTCCCTGGTTCAAGGTGCCAAAGACCAGGGCCACTTCAAGGCCGTCATGGACAGCATCGGAACCTCGCTTTTGGTTCTGGTCATGTTCTGGATTCTCGTCGCGTGGATCGGCGGCTTCTTCCACCACCTCAAGATCGCGGAGCCGAATGTCCAGAATCTGTTGCATTACACTCTAGTATTGCTCATCATCGGCGTCCCTGTCGGTCTTCCGGTGGTGACAACCACGACCCTCGCAGTTGGTGCCGCCTACCTGGCAAAGCAAAAGGCCATCGTCCAGAAACTCACGGCTATTGAATCCTTAGCAGTAGGTTAGCCCCTTTTCAAGTATATACTTGCCAGACTCGAATATTCTTTTACTAACAAAAACACCATCCACTAGGGCGTCAATGTTCTCTGCTCCGACAAAACCGGCACCCTCACCGCGAACAAACTCAGCATCCGCGAGCCCTACGTAGCCGAAGGGCAAGACGTGAACTTCATGATGGCTGTCGCCGCCCTCGCCTCATCACACAACATCGCCACGCTTGACCCGATCGACAAGGTGACCATCTCCACACTAAAACGCTACCCGAAAGCCCGCGAGATCCTGCGGCAGGGGTGGGTGACGGACAAGTTCACGCCCTTCGACCCGGTCTCCAAGCGCATCACCACCGAGTGCCACCTCGGCACGGACCGGTACGTGTGCGCCAAAGGAGCGCCTCGCGCCATCGTCAACCTGGCCAACGTCAGCGAGGAGACGCGAGTCCTGTACAACCAGAAAGCGCGAGAGTTCGCGGCGCGCGGCTTCCGCTCCCTAGGCGTAGCCTACAAGAAGAACGACGAGACGTGGACTCTGCTAGGCCTGCTGTCCATGTTCGACCCGCCGCGCGAGGACACGGCGCAGACGATCATCGAGGCGGCGCACCTGGGGGTGCCCGTCAAGATGCTGACGGGCGACGCCATCGCCATCGCCAAGGAGACGTGCAAGATGCTGGGCTTGGGCACGAAGGTGTACAACTCCGAGAAGCTGATCCACAGCGGCTTGACGGGCACGGTCCAGCACGACCTGGTGCAGCGCGCGGACGGGTTCGCAGAGGTGTTTCCGGAGCACAAGTACCAGGTCGTGGAGATGTTGCAGCAGCGTGGCTCGTTGACGGCTATGACGGGTGATGGTAAGTCTTGACCATCCCATTCCATCCCGTCCTTACCCCCCTTTTCAGAAATAGCATAGCAGTTCTACGCGAAATTATCCCTTGCTAACCATGTAATCCCCTACTACTTCTATAGGTGTAAACGATGCACCCTCTCTTAAGAAAGCCGACTGCGGAATTGCCGTTGAAGGATCATCCGAGGCCGCCCAAGCAGCAGCCGATATCGTGTTCCTGGCTCCCGGTCTTAGCACTATTATCTTGTCTATCAAGACCTCTCGCCAGGTATGTATACCCAAGCTACACCACAAGCTGTCATGCACATACCGTTTATAAAAAAAAACCCTAAAAAAAAAAGAAGAATAAAAACTAATCATGAACTTGTCACAGATCTTCCAACGCATGAAAGCCTACGTGCAATACCGCATCGCCCTCTGCCTGCACCTGGAGATCTACCTCACGACCTCCATGGTGATCATCAACGAGACGATCCGCCCGGACCTCATCGTCTTCATCGCGCTCTTCGCCGACCTCGCCACCGTCGCCGTCGCCTACGACAACGCGCACGTCGAGCCGCGCCCCGTCGAGTGGCAGCTGAAGAAGATCTGGGTCATCAGCGTGATCCTCGGCTCGCTGCTCGCGGCGGGGACGTGGATCATGCGGGGCACAATGTTCCTGACGAACGGGGGCGTGGTGCAGAACTTCGGGTCGATCCAGGAGATCCTCTTCCTCGAGGTCGCCCTGACCGAGAACTGGCTCATCTTCGTCACGCGCGGCGGGCAGACGTGGCCGTCGTGGCAGCTGGTGTTCGCGATCCTCGGCGTCGACGCGCTCGCCACCATCTTCGCCCTGTTCGGCTGGCTGTCCGGCAGCGGCGGAGGCCTGATGGAGACCACGCCGACGACGCACTTCCGCAACTCGCACAACGGGTGGACCGACATCGTCACCGTCGTGGTCGTGTGGGCGTACTCGCTCGGCGTCCTCATCTTCATCGCCATCGTCTATCTTGCGCTCAACAGCTTCTCCTGGATCAACAACCTCGGCCGCAAGGACCGCAACAAGAAGGACACCCAGATCGAGAACATCATCGGCCACATTAACAAACTTGCCGGTAAAGTTGCCGCATTTCATATTTCATTCCCTCTATTCTAGACTATATAACTAACTCACTCCTTTCTCAGTTGAACATGAGGTCGATCCCAAGACAGGTCGCGACAAGTACTTCATCGTGGAGAAGACAGCTGACGACGATGACGACGTTTAAATGCACCTAGGCAGGTAGCGAGTCGTAGCGATGAAGAAGACATTAACACTAATAGCTATCTAGTTACCTAGTATAGCATGTCACGTAGGTATGTAGATAGTCTTTGCTGGAAGATTTGGCGGGGAGGTAGGAAGAAGTACTATATCAAAGTTCGTATTGGTTATAGGTATTACATTATATGTAGGTAGACATCAAACTGATTAAGGGGGAAAGCTTTATTATAAAACGTGTGTTCATATTAAGGATGGCATATGCAATAGTGTGTGTCCTTTCTAACAAGCATAGGTATCAATCTGTTGATTATTGCCTGGCATTTCTCTTTCAACTTTCAACTCGAAGAAATACCACGAACTGAACATCAACACCAATCAAATCTACCGAGGACATGCTGTCAGAGGCAGCCATATATACTCATTACCTGAGGTTACCATATATTCAGTTTATGAAGGTTTCGAGCAACAGTCATTCACAGCATTCACCAGTCCGCATAGAACACCAATTATTAAAGAATTTCCCTTCTAATAGGTACTAGTAGTAGATCCGAAAAAGGAACATGGCCTGCAAAATCTGGCCGGATATCCATTTGAAATGAAGACGCTCGACCGCGCCAGATGCGTGCCGTAGAAATAAATATGCAACCTTCTTTACCCTACCAACCCCAAGAATACTCAACTGTGATCATGCAGTACAAGTCAGATAGTGCTCATTATTGCAAGTCTCCGTCTCGATCATTGCCATGTCGTACCATTTCGTGACCTCTCATTTCTCCATGTGCCCGCTATTAAGTAACATTTCCAGAACAATTTGCTGTCCTGCAACCTCCGGGTGCGCCATGCATACCTTGACAGTGCCCTTTGAGTCGGGCCCATTATCTACGACATGGGCTGGCATTCTGTTTTCATTTGCGCTGGAAGAGCCCCCTGTTGGTCCTCGAACACCATAGTCTAACACTCTGACGTCCCTTCCAGCAATTATCTGACGTAGTCGCCCATTCTCGGCGTTACGCACCTCGACATAGTCCTCGTTGAAAAGGAGTAAGTATTGCCCATACATTGTCGCACCCCTGGCTTTCTTTTGTTTGCCCGAGTACTCCATGATGACGCTACGGCTCACATCACCGTACTTATCCACGTATACGGCGCAGTCCTCGTATGCTAAGAGAAATTCCTGGTCGTTAAGGCGGAACATGCCCAAAGGTCGCTGATCCTTGATGCGGTTTGCAATATTGGCAATAGCAGGCTGCCTAACGTCGGGAATTGACATTGGTATTTTCTTGTCGAGAGTCAAAAGCTCAAAGCCTCTAGCCGTAGCGACAGAGATGTATGTATGGAAAATATTGAGCGAGTAGCATTCCGTAGGGAAGAAGAACTCGTCATAGTCTCGAAAGCTTTCGGTGACTCCTACGCCCGCTTTTCGGCTACCTCCAAATAGTCGGGATTTTTTCTCCGTTGCTTTCTGAAAGACGGGCTCAAGCACCTTAAAAGTACTATGCAGATTTTCCTTTCTCTTGTAAAATACGAGCATCCGATCTTTCATACGGGCGGTCGCGAAAAACGATACATCTTTTGCCAGTCTCTGAGGAGAACGACGAGGGTTGTCGTTAGCTGCCCCTGAAAAGGTAGAAGACACAGCTTCTAGAGGATAAGATACAAGGTTCCGCTCCGACAGCACGAGAACAACAGAGAACTCCTCGAGTACAGCGATTTGTGTGACTCGAGTAGTTGTTACAGTCTAGAAAAGTAGTTAGCAATAAATCCATCGTATTTTCACGCGTAAGGTGTAGGTTATTTTACCTTAATCCAACCCCTTGAGTCGCTAACCGCTGATACGCATATGCCCGCGTCCGTTCCCACTGCAACCATATTCTTGCCGAAGGCCGTAAACCCAGTAGCACAGTTCACGCCTGCCCGTGAAATTGGAGGAGGCCCGCGGCCGGAACCCCATGTCTTCTCCACGTCTCGAATAGCCCTATCAAGAGGAGTCCCACGTATGTGCACCCCCCCAACATATTTGCCGATGGCCGCAACTGGGTCGTAAGCGAAAGCACTGTCAGACATTACTCGCAACCGGAACGGCTCAGCATTTTGAGCATGCAAGGCCTTGGCGTGGCGCGTTTTTGCTTCTATGATTCTATCACACCAATCTTGTCGTGTCTGGGCTGATTGAGCAAAAAGAGTATACACTTCGTGTCCTAGATGTTTGATACGGAAGGGATAAAGAATTTTACCCTCGTTATCCCCTACATTAACAGGGTTCAATCTAGTGACAGTTCCGGAGCCAGTAGACGCGTTCGTAGCCGCATGATCCAGACCAGGCCGATCACTGTTGTTCGTTGACACTTTGCTCATCTTGCTATCCGGCGGAGGATTCGCTGCCCGCGTCAATGGAGTAGCGATGCCTTTTTGTTTAGAGATTGGGTCATCTTGACTACTTTCGAGGAACAGCAAAGGCATAGGAATAGGCTAGGATTATTAGTAGATGTCAGAGTTCAAGATAAAAGAGTTACTCACTTCTTTCGAGACATCATATTTTCTATCTTGCCTCCCATCTCTTGATATAACTAGCTTTGCGAGAATCAAGTAGTTATCAAATAATAGGGCATGCGTATCAACCCATCGTACACCCTTTGAGCTCATCCGTTGAAGGTCTCCTTGAAGTATGAGCTCGCGACCGAGGTGATCCAAGTGAAGATCGGCATGGAAACCAGGTCGGAGAACAAGCATCTGGTCCAACTCAATCATCGTCACCTTCTTTTGCATCTCGTCTACCTTTGCGTCGCATTCGAGAGTCATCAACTTAACTTCCTCGATAGCCCTCTTCAGATTTGCTTTTTCCTCGCTATCTTGAACCATATGCTTCAGTACTGTTTCCAGGAGAAGCGAATATCTTGGCAGACGTGTGATGGGGTCTTTGAGGTAGCTTGTCCAGTCGAGGCGCTGAGAACGAGGGTGGGCTCGGTTGTTTTCTAAGAATTGTCGAAATAAGAAGTTTCTCTCTGCTTCCTTCTTCACTTGATAACGCGCGTATGGGAAGGCGGACGCATATTCAACATACGCTGTCCTAGCTTTTCTAACCCATTCTCTAAAGATATCACTAAAGCCCACAATCCAAGGGCCTTGCTCTTTTTGTCGATATTTCAGTTGAGCTAATAGATGATCCATATTCACCTGCTGGACAGCATCGGCCTTCCCAAAGACATTGCTAACAAATTTATCGAGCCTGCCTTCGGCAATAATCTTGGGTTGTGCATGAAGGAGCTGGTCTCGGTAGAGAACCCTGAGCACGTCAAGGTGGTCCATGTAAACTTCTTCTGACGTGATAATTTCGTGCAAGACATTTTGCCGTCCAACCTCTTTCTTTGGCTTGCCCTCTATACTCTCCTTTGTCATATTATAATATGTCGACCAGTCGAAAGTCTTAACTCCATGAGACATGAAATCGTCCAGGTTCGCTTTCTTTAGAGTCCTGTTGCAATGATGCGAATAGCATCTTACAGGTACCTCATGCCCAGTTACATCGTTGTCATATTCATGTAACTTCGGCGCGTAGCAGCCGGAACCAATCAATTGCCATAGCACACCAGATATAGATCCGGGACCGAACTTAAGCCATTCCTCCTCGGGAACAAGAATGCCAGCTTTCAACATGGAATCCGCGACCTGTGTACTAAGTGCTTCAGCATCCGCAACGTTCATCGTGGGGACTTTCAGGCAAAACAATCTGACCAGGCCGTCTTCGAGGGTCTTTCTTTTTAAGTCAGGTTCACCGTCAGCCATTTCTCGAATCCATCTGGCAATGCCACTCAAAGCCCATGGCTCTGCACAATTACGAACATCAACCACGGTAAGCTTTTCCGGTTGAAACTTCCGCCGCCGGCCGCTTGGGAGGGTTATGACATCGTAGTTTATAGACGATGCCGCGCCAGTTTCATAACCATCATATGGCAATGCTTGATTAGGAACCAGCTGGTGATTTCTTAGATATTTTAATCGCGTGTTTCGCTCATCGGCGGCATCAGTCTTTGACCTGCCGGGTGGCTGAACGATAGGCGAGGTACTGTGACTCGATAGCGAAATAGAGCGTTCCACTTGTATCTGCTGGGCATTTTGTCCATACTGAGCATCTGGTCCAGTGTATGGACGTGCATCTACACTGAGAGAATATCCGTGTTGATATTCAGGTCGAGCTGGTGACTGAACAGACAGCATTGAGCTGCTATCCGATCCAGCGGGAATGGCAGGGAGTGGCCGATTCGATAGACCAGGGTGATAAAACATATCCGGATAGTCTTCTCTGGGAGGAGAATCACTGCCACTTTGTCTTGAATGAAGAGAAACATGCTCATCTCCTTCGTCAAAACTCAACCGATGGGCCGATGGTTGTTGTAAGCCTCCAGTGCCCTCATAGTCTACGTCAGCCTCCTGAAAAGCAGGATACTTGTTGCTCCCATGACTTCTTTGAGACGTATGATTAATGCGGGAAGGCAAAGCCTGGGTCTCCTCGGCGACGATGTCGGAGGCAGGAGGCGATCCAATTTCGTTGCCATAGGTAACATTTCCTGCGTAACCACCACCCATAAGCCCGAGGTCCATTCCAGCAGCATAGTCACTGTCACTGCTTGGCTCTTCCTTGTGAGTCGGGAGGGTGGCAACCTCCGGCGGACCGAAATATGGTATGTAAGTTGAACTAAATAGGCGATCGTCTTCTTCTGCTTGCCGCAATGCCTGGGCCCCAGCGGCACCCTCAGGATCGCTTTCATCTCCGTTGTCTCCTTCGTATGCGTAAGGATCGGTGGAACGATTTTTGTTTAACGTCGATGCATTGGAGGAATACCGATTCACCCCAGAGGGCTCTTCTTGGTTAGTGAGTGTTGTGGCAGTTGAATGATAGCTCGCGTTGGATGTTAGCCGGCGGAGATTTTGAAGGTCATCTTCGGGTAAAGACCCGTTGCGTTGATCCAATCCCGATGGCCGGTTGGTCAACGAGCCATTCCTTCTCCTTCCAAGCTCTGCTTCAATATCCTGCATGATATTATTTTGCGCAGCGTACTCTCGGGATATATCAAGTGTTAAAGCACCATTAGTTGGAAAGGGCTCGTCCGCGGTGTCATCGACGGGGCGACTTGGCAGTGGTGCGTTAGTTGGATGTCGAGCCAAGGCGGTCACTGGTTGCGAATAGGCTGAAGGCGAAGGGATAGGCGATGCTACCGAGTTGGACCTGGATGGACCATTCAAAAACGAATGCGGATCGTTGACAGAGTAGTTCGGGCCTACAGGTATTTGCGAATGACTTGGATACGGTACCAGCGAGGTTGTAGAGGAGTCGGACGAGTGGAAAAACGTAGCAGGTGGTGTCGCGTCGTCATCGTTCGAAGGAGTCGGAGAATATCGTGTTTGCGAGGAATCGTAATTGGTGGTATGGGCCGGGGCTACTGAATTTGTAGCAGACAGATAAGTCGAGCTATATGTGGGTTGATCGTAGCCGGCACCGTAAGGAGCTGGTGGAGGAGACGATTGTGCTTGCTGGGCATTCGTAGAGGCATATGTAAGCTGAGATTGAAAATAAGGCGATTGGTTTACTGCTGGTGAATTATAAGACTGATTGTTGTAATTATTAGTATAGCCGGTGTAAGTTGGCTGACGCTGAGGAGGTGCCGGTGCTCCAGAATATGCAGCAGGATTGTATGGAGCGGGCGCAAAGCTATTAGCTGTCGTCGAAGTAGGACTATAAGGAGCAGGAGCAGGAGCAGGAGGCAGATTTTGATGTGTCCGCCTGTGCGACGGATGTGGGAGATAGGGCACTACGGTAGATTGAGGGCGAGCAAATGCCTGAGGGTTGTAGGTTGATGGCGTAGGCGGCGTCTGGGGCTGATGGTGGTGTTGATATCCGGCCATTGCGACGTTCGAATTGCCATAGTTAGGTCTACTAGTATCGGTCGGGCTTGCTAAGAACAGCTCATCACGGCTACCGAGCCCTGCAACAGACGTGTTCACTGTCGGTTGATAGCTTGTGCGAGTTGTATTCGAGGCAAAACCGCCAGAATCATCGCCGTTGTTGAAGCTTGGCTGACGGGTCGGGTAAGACGACTGGTCTTGTGGAGACCGATTTGCGATAGGATATTGAACAGGAGGAATGTGGCCGTAGCGGCGCTGGTCGTTATCTCGAAACGACATGATGAGCGGCACAGCCAAGAATCGTCGCGCAACGGCCGAATCTCGCGTATGAATCCCAGAAATTAAAGAAATTGAGTTTAACGGTAATGTCGCATTGATAATCTCGACGGATTAAAACTCTACTGTGGCCCGAATTCGACAGAGTGCATCCTCTTCATAAACTCTCGAATTTCAAAAAACTCGGGAGGTCAAGCAACAAAGTTTGTCGACCGGGAATTCGAAGAACGCTAAACGATGAAAATGAAAGGCATTCGTACGACGTGAAGGCTTTCCATAGAACAATAGGCAAGCCTGGAATATACTACTGTCGATTATCCGAAATGGAGGGGTTTAGTTTATTGTAGGCCGGTAAAACCCAACGCTTCAAAGTCAATCGTCAAACGGTAGTCGCAAAACTCTACCACCTCCCGAGGCTAGAAGTATCCAAGATTTCCGTCTTGATAAAAAAAGGCCAAAGCCAACTTGAATGTAAAGAAAGAAATTGTATAATGATACAAAGCCAGACAGGGAGTCAACGGTATCTAGGTAGCTGCTAGGTTAATAGGAGATAGAAATTGTCAGGATGAGCAGAACCATTTTTGTGCTCTCTTTCTTTTTCTCTCCCTCTTTCTTTACTGTATAGGTGTGTGTGCGTGCGGCTTAAAGGTTAAGAAATGATTAGGACCATTAGGTAGGTCTAAGGCAGACAAGGTTATGTGAAGGGAGGTTTTGAAGGAAGTGGATAAGATGATTTGGGATTATTTAGGAGTTTGCTTGAGGTGGGCTGGGCCGAATTGAACATTTGGGGGCAGCTTCTCCAGCTGTACAATTTTTGGGGAGGGACGGTAAGTGCATGGTCCGGTGCATTTACAGGCAACATTTGAATTGTATTGTACAATACATACATAAGTTACATACTGTACTATGTAGGATGCAGATGGTAGTAGTAGTACAACATAACTACACTATCCATGGATACACATACATAGCACATGTACACTACACAAAGTGCGGGTTGTGCGATGTGGGATTTAACGGCAACCTTTTTGCGGCAGGTCAGTCCTTCTCCATTAAAGGTCCACCTATTTAACCTAGCACACCGTTGACCCCTGTTTTCTATCCTAACCTGTCCATGTGCTAACTGAACCCGACGAAGTTAAATCACAAAGAAGCTAACTAAGCCACAACCCTTACCAACTCACTATGCAGCATCGAGGCTTTTAAGAGGGCTGAGCTCTACTGCGACAATCAATCTTTAGTGTATGAGATCATTGTCTTGAATTTCATGGTTTTTCATGATTTTAGACAATATTCTGCATTGTTTATGATCTCCTACAAAGGGAGAGGAAGGGGAGGGGAAATCAAACCAGGGAGTTTGACCTACAGTACTATGTACAATACATACCTACCCTAGATACCCTTGTAGATACTAGGTTAGATACATATGGTCTCCCTGTCACCAAAAGACGACGAATTTTAAAATCGAACAAACAAAATGGGGTACAGTACATCACTACTTGCCTAGGTTAGACCTTGTCACAGTGTGTCTCTTTCCAGAACACTGCCATGTGCCTTAACTTCTTCGTCTGTTCTCAAGATTTAAGATAACATTGACTATTAAACTATTTGAACCTGGAACCATCCTATGTAACTACCTACCTACGAATATATATATTATATCCTCCATATTTTGCACCATATTTTGCAGACGAACACCTCCTATCGTGTAGTGTATGAGGTGATACAAATAATCACCATAATCGACCTCAATCAGATCAAAAGCCCTGGAGAGTATGTACTTGCACATGCATAACGAGCCGAAGGGCCTGCGAGTGTAAGATAAAAGTTACATGAAGGTAGTAAATCCTCCTCTATCAAAGTGCTTGGACCGTGAGGACCGTGAATCCCGACAGCTGGTGCCCGAGCTGAGCTGTCGGCGAATAGCCAATCGCGACTCAACGGTAGCAAGTAACATTACTTACCTACAATAATATCACCATCATACGTTATACGACATTCCTTTATTCCTTGGCGAATCCAAAGAGTGCCATACCATATTACTACTTTGCTTGTGAAGATTGGGCTTCTCAAGATAGGAAATTAGTCGCCTAAGTACGAGAGCAGTCAAGAATCTACACAGGATCATTTCTATGAGTTATAATAACCATGTACTTAATTATTGACAATAATAACTACTCTGCAGATTTACTCATGAGCTCAGTTAGTTATTATCTAATTACCTATTATCTATCTACCTACTTACCCCATAGGTAGTAGACCCTTGACACAACAATTCGGCATATCCGGATCGGCTTCATCATATGCAACAACTATACAAGTAACATCTCCAGTAATACGTGGCCACGTCTTACCTGTCCTATATCTAACTTATCTTCGTTATTGCCAAGCCATTCTCCCTTCATGAACTGTTTACAAACCACCCCATGGCCCGCAGTTGGTCCTCATCCGTTATTACGGCTTCGAGGAGATTGGCTAATTGTCCCGTTCGGGGATATTTAGATGGTTAATTCTGTATACCTATTAGCGCGCATAGGACCGCATACCGTCCGTCGTAGGGCTGAGCGGGTGATCTAAATTTAACGGGCTCCAGTCTAATTTTCGGTATCCTCAGTTTCTTCACAACCGGTTGATTCCGGTTGATTGATGCGGCGCCGAGTGGACCGCATGCCTACCTGCTATGTTGGTAGGTATTGTGCAAACTTCCCGAATCTCAAGGGTGGATAAATATCGCGCCCATGCCAGAAATAACAAACATTTGAAGGCCCGTCGTCGCCTTGGTCTAGCATACATATATATAATAATTATATATTGTATATTGCATGCCTAGTACCTACCTACATATGTCATAGGTACTTGCATATCCAGGATTCCAGGTACATGTATATACCTATGTACAAGGTCTCAGTACAGTCAGGATTTCAATGTTTTTTTTACTGATAGATATCCATCTATTCTAGAAATCTGCGTAGCCTCCAATCTGCATAGCAACTGCTACGTTGTACCGCGCAGAACTTTCGACAGCAATGAAACAGTTACAAATGTCGTCATGGCCCCCAGTGTCAAACTAGATCCCGATCCCCCAAGCCATATGCTAATCATCATGGATCATACCTCAAACTAAGAAGCCCCCCTATCAACCATGTGACATGAGCCGCACATATGCGTAAAGCATATTCCGAGATTCACGAGTCTAGAACGTCAGTTTCGACTGCCACAGCTGTTTAAGAGTGTGGGCTTCCGTTACACATGTCCGTCGTCGCATATCTTGGCACTTATCCAAAGGCTTTCCCTCTCATAGGCTATTGCAATAAAACTAAGCCGCAATAGTTCAGCTGATGAATGCAAAGAATTTCGCCTTGTCAGGTAAACTTCAGATGTTACTTCTGGACTCCTCGCCGACTGTATTACGCGGCAACTTCGAATGCCGGAACCTTACCCTCTACATCCTGCGAGCTACTCATGCGCCTAGCAATGCAAGGAAGCTATGTCTAGGGTAGTTAATAGGCTTCTGTACCTGGTAGTTGAGCATTCTTATAATTCTTCGTGTCTTTCGTCACAATCTTAAAAATCGCCATTCAACTCTTTGAGCGCGATGTTTAAATAACAAGTGCTATGCTACTTCTCGAGTAGATATACAACGACGCAATACTTGATATACTACTAGGTAACGTACACAGCAATCGATATGGTTGTGATGCTTCAATAATCAACACTCAACTACATAGTACATACTACATAATAATGCTTACAACGACGAAGCTCGGGACATGTCTTAAAGCAAAGGTTGTCTTACTAGTAACTGCTTGGTTCGTTTCATCCTGTGGCGGTTACTTGGTCTCAAGTGATGAGCCTCTCAACTCGGCCAGACCACATAGACGAAATATTGGACATACGATGGTATAGACCTAAGCTACAAACATGTGCTTTCTATATTCCTCCACCCCCAACCTACGGCACTATCATATACCGAGAACGACAACACACCTGGGCATGTATAAATTGTTATCAAATATTATAAAGACTCGCACGCGTACAAAGTGGCTCAGGAAACTGGGCATAATTTGAATTGGTGTCGGTTCCGACACTCACAGCTGTCGCATACCACTTCATCACAACTATTATGGCCATGACGTGATCTAAACGAAGTGTTACCCCAGGTCTCCTCAGCAGCATGCTTCAGTAACAGGGCAACATAATGCTGATTCTCTGGAGGCTAAGAAAAGACAATGGGATCTGGTTCAGCGTTGTTAATACCATATAGTCTCTTGCTATAAAATAAGCGCAAACTACCAGAACAGGAAATTCCCAGAGCAGGAGAGGATTCAGGAGAGGATTGTGTATTTCGAACCAAAAAACGTCCAGCTCCGTCTTCGCTCTAGCATAAACGCTATTTAAGTCCGAATCTAGTGATAAAACCGACTTTCATATAACTATCTGGAAAATGATATCATTTGTAAGCAACCACCTAAGCAATACTATCCATGAATGTACCGATATTATGACGGCAGCGTGCGGGGCTAACGACCATTTTCTATAGCATTCTAAGGAAGAACCCCCCCACCTGGACAAATATAGGTACGACGCAGTTAGTACAGTACCTACCTACCTAGGGTACCCTAAGCTCTCTGGATAGCGTGCTTGCGGTTTAATGCTATTAAAGAAGAAAGCTCTTGCCTAGCGAAGCAGGTTATGTAAGACGTGCTGCTGTGCGGCTTTTAGTCGGTGGTAGGAGAAGGGCAATGATAGCCGGTTACAGGCTTTCCGTCCGATATCCCCTCTCCTCTTCAAATACAAATTAGAGGGAAGTAAGCTCCCCTCTTCTTCTTCCCCTCTTCGAAAAATCGACGTTCATCCCACCACTCCGAATCAACGAATTTCATCAAGAATTATTGTCCCAAACACATAAAAAGATATAAAAGTAGTCAAAATGGTCAAAGCAGGTACGTGGAAGAGTCCCCGGTATTTAAACTATCAATTTCCATCATTTCCGCATTGAGCATGGCTGCATGAGCACGATTGAGCGCATTTTCTTCAACTAGTACACCCTGTTGTGCACCAAAACTGCGATGAGATGAGCACCTTGTTGGAACACCTTGTTGGACACTACACGCGGGAAATGATCTATGCAATAAGCCAAACCAGACTACTGGGAATCATACGTACCTACCGTGGACCCGTCTAGGAGCACTGAAGCTTCCTCTACTCCATGTCGGGGCTTTCTCTCCTGCAGATCCCCTGCCATATGTGCCCTTTGAGTTCAGATGTTTTATGGTGGCCCGAGTCATTGCTAACCTCGAATGTCTTCTTTTTAGTTGCTGTCGTCCGTGGTGACTCTAAGGTCAGCGGGACCGTCACCTTCGAGCAGACTTCCGAGTCTGCCCCTACTACCATCTCATGGGATATTACCGGTTATGACCCCAATGCCAAGCGTGGAATGCACATCCACACCTTTGGTGACAACACCAACGGCTGCACATCCGCCGGCCCTCACTGTATGTTTGGCTTCTAAGATGCGGTGTCGATCCGAGTCAAAGTTAAATGGCTAATCCCGAAATTAGTCAACCCCCATGGCAAGACCCATGGTGACCGAGTCGATGAGACTCGCCACGTCGGTGACCTCGGAAACGTTGTTACTGATGCTCAAGGCAACGCCAAGGGTTCTCTCGAGGACTCTTTCGTTAAGCTAATTGGCCCCGAGAGCATTATTGGCGTAAGTAACATGGATATTCACTCTACGCATTCTTCATACTTAAGAAGCGTATGCTAACCTGAGATGAAGCGAACTGTCGTCTGCCATTCTGGTACGGATGATCTCGGCAAGGGTGGTAACGAGGAGTCTCTCAAGACTGGCAATGCTGGCACCCGACCCGCGTGCGGTAAGATATCTACATAACTGCCATTTGCTATTGAAAGAAATCAAAACTAACGAAGATTGTTTCTCTAGGTGTTATTGGCATCTCCAACTAAGTATCTTCCAGATGAAAATGAAGATAATAGGTAATCCAGTTTGACTAAAGGGGGTTTGAACGCTGCATAGTCGGTTGATGATAGCTCCTGAAAATAAATGTCACTCTATCGCACACAATATTACTGCCTGCTGATGACTGACATCCAATTGCGTAATTGAAACCATTGCCACATATGCAATCACTTACTACTAGTATGTGCTACTAGTATGTACTACTAGTAATAGAGGTATAGCAAAATAGTAAAAATATCATGTCGTAGGTAACAATGAAGTCTGCGTATACATACTGCCCCTCCTTCCTGACCAGGTAGCTAAATGCTAAATGCTATTTGTGGAGTAGCGATGCAAATCACGTCACTGATGGACCCATCTCTCCAAATCTCGGTCCCTCTCAACATTCTTGACCTCCATTGACCCATTTCGGGGATTTTGTTGTCGATATTCCACCTAGTAACTATATTCATTTGCAACTATTAAGTTGACAATATGTGCATTATGCTGTATGTCCCTTTCAAAGTCATAAGTCCAGGAGATACAGTACTGGTTATAAATATACCTGCCCTTGCCTAGGCAGCCTAGATAGCAGAGGTACTAGGTAGTCATATGCATTGTACCTAGTACCTACTACATGGTACATGATAGCAACATTGAACCTCCCCTCACTTCAATGTTCGCTTAAGGGACTACACAGTACAAGTACATAGTACTAACTACCTTAGGCTTTTGGTTCTCCAGCTCTCCACGAGCACGAGTCAAAGCTTGGACTTCCCCACAAATTGATGAAAGTTGTCAAATTCGAAAGCGCACACGACATATGCATTTTAGGGAATTTGAGCTTAAGTTCAACGGATTTCTAATTGAGACTCTGAAGTATTGGCTTCATCTAAACTTACACTTGGGTTACTAGCACTCAAATCTGAATGCTCTACACTCACAACACACGCACAACATAATACTATCAAGTTTATCTAAGAACTTGAAGTATACCTACCTACGCTAGGTAAGTTTTAACACATAACCTATAACAGCACTGGCAACACCTCTCCTTTAAAGCCAACCTTTTGAACACCCAAGATCCAGATCCCTCCCCAATCAAGCTCCTATCCAATACCCCTAGCTCTTTTTTTGCATCACCCAACGGACCTGCCTGTCATTACCAAGCAAGCGCAAAGGCTGTGTCCCTCGCCTTGATCATGTAGCTTGATCATGTAGCTCCCCGGGCTGCACATGGTCTAGGATCATTCATCATCCATATACCTTTTCCCACCTTGCCACACACTTCGCCAGCATGCATGAACAGGTAACGCAAGCTTGAGAACTACGTTCGTGCTAGTGATATGACATATCACTTGTTTATGATATTGACCTATTAGGTACCTAACCTAATAGGTAGTATCAAGCAGCTTCGCTTCTTAGGTGGCTTTGTTCGTGGTGAGGATGATGTCCTCAGCTGAGCTCAGCTTCATTTAAAGGTATAAAGCTGCACAAACACACGTATTATTCTTTTGATGGTGATTCACCTATATACTGGATACTCGGGTGGCATCTTATCACTATATAATATAGCATCATCATATTCCTCGCTGCACTATTACACATATAAGCCGATTCCTTCTCTAAAACAATACCAAGATGCGCTATCAAATCATATCTACTAATCTATGCACCATCACCTTTTGGCATTCCTTTTTTTTCTAACTATTTTAAACAGATTTCTGGGAACTCCCACACTCCTTGTCTACCTCTCTCTGGTCCTATCGCCTTAATCAATTTCGTTACCGGCAACATGGCGAAACAATTCTTTGCTAACGTGAAGTCCGTCCTGAGCGGTGACACTCTGGTCCTGACCAGCCAGAACAATCCGAGTGCAGAACGAATTTTCTCATTGGCATTTGTCACCGGCCCTCATCTAAAAAGAGAGGGCGACGAGCCATTCGCCTTTCAGTCACGGGATTACTTGCGCAGCCATGTCGTTGGTAAGGCTGTTCAATGCACCATCCTCTACACCATCCCTACATCTGGAAAGGAGTACGGCATCGCCCAGCTTAAGGATGGAACTCAGCTACCGGACGAGTCAGTCAAGGCTGGCTGGCTGAAAGTTAGAGAAGACGCAGGCCGAAAAGAGGAGGACGAGGAAATTCTGCAACGACTTGAAACACTTCGCTCATTGGAAACGCAAGCTAGGACCGAAGGAAAGGGACTTTGGGAAGGCGTTGGTGGGGTGATCGAAGTCCAAAACGACATTAGTTCCCTCGATATGGGCCAATGGAAGGGAAAAACTGTTGACGGCATCGTTGAGCGCGTCTTGAGCGGTGATCGCTTGCTCATGCGCCTGAAGTTGTCTGACAAGAAGCACTTGCAGGTCATGACACTTGTCGCCGGTATTCGAACACCAACTACGGAGAGGGTTAACCAGTCCACCGGCCAAACTCAGCCAGCTGAGGAATTTGGAAACGAAGCGCGACAATACGTCGAAGTAAGATTGCTCCAACGTGACGTCAAGGTCGAAATAGTTGGCACGAGTCCGCAAGGACAGCTCATTGCGTCTATTCTACATCCCCGAGGTAGCATTGCGGAATTCTTACTCGCCGATGGACTAGCAAGGTGCAACGATTTCCATTCTACTTTGCTAGGGCAGAAGATGGCTTCTCTCCGAGCGGCTGAAAAGAAAGCCCAGGCTAGCAAGCTACGTCTGCACAAGGATCACGTCGCCAAGGCCGAAGGAGGCAGTTCGTCTGACATGATTGTCTCAAAAATTCAAGGAGCCGATGCGATATTTGTTCGTACGAAGAACGGTACCGAAAAGAGAATCAATCTTAGCAGTGTTCGAGGTCCTAGAACCAACGAGCCGTCGGAGGCTCCTTTCAGAGATGAAGCGAAAGAATATCTCCGAAAGAAGCTCATTGGAAAGCATGTCAAGGTATCAATCGATGGACATCGGCCTGCGAATGACGACTTCGAGGCCCGCGATGTGGCGACAATAACTGAGAAGGGCAAGAACATTAACCTCCAGTTGGTTCAAGACGGCTGGTGCTCCGTGATTCGGCACCGTAAAGATGATACCGATAGAGCCCCAAATTATGATGAATTGCTTGCGGCCCAGGAGACTGCGAAGGAAGAAAAGAAGGGAATGTGGTCTGGAAAACCGTCCAAGGCTAGAACGTACGTTGATGTCTCGGAATCGGTACAAAAAGCAAAGATTCAACTCTCTACTCTTTCGCGTCAAAAGAAGGTGCCAGCCATAGTCGATTTCTGCAAAGCCGGTTCTCGATTTACTGTCCTGGTTCCCCGGGAAGGTGTCAAGCTCACCATGGTGCTCGCCGGTGTCCGTGCCCCACGCGCACCCCGATTACCCCAAGAAAAGGGGGAACCATTTGGACAAGAAGCGCTTGAACTTGCTAACCGTCGGTGTAATCAACGCGACTGCGAAATTGATGTCCACGACATAGACAAAGTTGGTGGTTTCATCGGTGATCTATATATCAACCGCGAAAGCTTCGCCAAAATATTAGTTGAAGAAGGCCTCGCATCTGTCCATCAGTATTCGGCAGAGAAGGCCGGCAATGCCAGCGAACTGCTAGCTGCCGAGAAGCGTGCTAAAGAGGGACGCAAAGGCATGTGGCACTCTTGGGACCCCTCACAAGACGAAGAAGCCGAAGAAGAAAACGCGCCCGTGGAAAGTTCGAATGACGCTACGCCGCTGGACAAGAAGGCCGCCGATTATCGGGAGGTCGTCGTCACTAACATCGACTCAAATGGCAAACTCAAGATCCAAGAGATTGGTAAGGGAACTTCAGCACTAGAAGTCATGATGAACGAGTTCAAGAAATTCCACCTCGACTCGAAGAACAACAAACCCCTAGCCAACCCTCCAAAGACGGGCGAGTTTGTCGCGGCCAAGTATTCTGCTGACGGTCAGTGGTACCGTGCGCGTGTGCGCTCGAATGATCGAACGGCCAAGGTCGCCGAGGTTCTCTTCGTCGATTACGGTAACAGCGAGAAGGTCCCGTGGTCTAGCCTCCGACCACTGGATCAGCCGCAATTTTCAACGCAGAAGCTCAAGGCGCAAGCTACGGACGCAGCGCTGTCCTTCATCCAGCTTCCGACCGCGTCTGATTATTTCAATGACGCTCTGCACTTTATCAATGAAGTGACAGACGGCAGAACGCTGGTAGCCAGTTTTGACTTCGTCGACTCGAAAGAAGGCCTTAGCTATATCACATTGTTCGACGAGAAGGCGGGCACGACCTTTGCAGATTCGATCAACAAGGAGGTTGTGGCTAACGGCCACGCCATGGTCCCCAAGAAGCTGAAGGCGTGGGAGCGGGGCCGCGCATCTGAGGAGGTGCTCAAAAAGTTGCGTGAGGTCGAGACCCAGGCAAAGGCTGACCGCTTGGGTATGTGGGAATATGGTGATATTACTGAAGACTAAGCAGCCCCCCCTTGGCTTCTCACTCACCAGAGGCATTCCCAAGTCCGATCTCATTTTGCTCGGAATTTCTTGATTTTGAAAATCGGCGGCATCTTTTGCACCGTTGCATGGCATGATGGCATATGAAGTCTTGAGAGTTACCTCTTGGCACAGGATCTTCAGGGGAGGGGAAAAAATCAAGATATATACATGGGCCAGGTCTACGGTAAATTTTATAAAAAGGGGATGGCATAAACAATGTCTAATCTGACCTCAAACCAGTGCTTTTTATATAAGGGAAATGATGATTGTGATATGTCGTTGTGTCCTGGTGTGCGATTAACTACCACTAGGCCCCTGTTTAAATACATCCAATCTACGGATGATCTAACATGCTAGTGTTTGTCCTATGCAGATGGCAACGACCGTCGACCGATTACATATGTGAACATTCGTATTCCCAAACTCCAGAACCTGAGTTATGCCATATCGGTGGACAACGTCATGGGTTGGCTTTTTGGTTAACTACGTCAAAAAGGGAGTTCGAACTGAACATGAATTTAGTAGTACGATGACTTTCATGGCGACTTTTCACAGGTGTCCTTTAACTAAGCTTTTTCTTATACCATTTGATACCGGGATTTTTTTTCTGTTTGTGTACTACCCCGATAGAGTAGTCGCCGAGATTTCTTTCTTCTGCATGGGTAGGAAAACCAAGAACTTTGATAACCATAGGTGTGCTTTATCATAAGTTTCCCAATCACTGCTAACGCAGGTACTATTATAATGTACACCTATGAAGCACCGGCCGGCCCGTCCGCCTGAATCATTAAGCAAAGAGACTAGCCAAGCTATACATGTAGGGCCAAAGGGAAGATACGTATTGATATGTATTAGAGGATAATGACTGGCAGGACCCCTTATGATAAAAGATGTGTGTATGTATGAATGTAGATACATATATGTGAGGCATTTGATGTCGTGGAATATGTCTTGGCGGAGGGCATCAAACAGACTCTCATGTCATGTCATGTCCTGGTGGTCAATAGAAATCACACGTGGAAGGGTGACACATCTCGATATGGCAACTTGAGCTGTTGGGTTACATATAGCTGAGTAAGAACCTTGTTGGAGGAATTTCAGCCATGAAAGAAATACATGACCCTTCTCCTAGGGCTAGTAGACTGTAGCTGGAGGGTGTTATTGATTTAAGACTTGCAGTAGACTTGATGCTAACGGGAACATTGAACCTTGCAACCTTGTAATCTTGAAGGCGACTTTCGATAAACGGATCGGCGGATGCGGGTGGAGGGGCAAAGAAACGTTGAAGCTTTCAGGGCAACATACTACTAGTACCTAGTAGGTACATAGTTAAGGAAATTCGGGGCGAAAAAAGAAAGAAAATCAGGTGCTCCGCTTGGTTTACTGGTGCAAGTATCCTACTACTAAGGTACACGGTACAATACACATAACTACATGTAGGTGGGTATGAAACTAGGCGATGTGACAGGTACTCGCATAGTCACTGTGGGCATATGACGCTTCCAGTAAATCCCAAGTCCCTACATTTACTAAGGGGAAGGTCACTAATAGTAAGGTACATGTAGGTAACTATGTAGATGTTGCCCCGCCATCGCCATCATCATAGGCAAAATGTTGTAATATGTAGTAAGGAGAATTCCTCCCCAACATCCTTAGTCACCTGCTATGTACTGCCGACCTTGAACATTAAAAATTCTACAACGTAAATTGAAGATCTGGAAACTTACTACTTCATACTTCCCATTGTTCTTTATACCATTATCGTGACTGCTTCTATTACAACTTCCCTAGAATATCATAATACCCAAACCCAAATATGTCTACCTCACTCGACCAGCTCAAGAGCACTGGCACTGTAAGTATTTCTTTGGTCACTTACCTTTGACCTTTTGGCTTTTACCCCTCAGTCGTCATGGCCCCTCCATCGTGAGATTTTCAAGATTGGGCGGATACGCTGGACCCTCCTCTTCCACGCAGTTTTGTGAACATTTAAAAACGATTATCACATAATCTGATATTCAACATGGAATATTTGCTAACGTTGGTTTGTTATGATAATTAGGTCGTTGTCAGTGACTCTGGTAAGTCAAAATACTATCAATTTTTTTGAAAGAATGAATAAAGGAAGCTGACAGAAATACTCTTTAGGTGACTTTGCCAGTCAGTATATCCCGCATTTCCAACCCAGCCGTGGGCCCCGATACGAAATCTACCAATTGATTCCGTTCAACTGGATCAGCTCACAACGTCTTTCGTCGTCCAATCAGCAATACTGACAAAATATCTTAGGCATCGGAAAGTATAAGCCGCAAGATGCGACCACCAACCCTTCTCTTATTCTCGCCGCTTCCAAGAAGCCCGACTACGCCAAACTGATCGACTCTGCTGTCGACTATGCCAAGGCCAAGGGTGGAGACATTGACAGCCAAGTTGATGCTGCCCTAGACCGACTTTTGGTTGAGTTCGGCAAGGAAATCCTAAAGATCATTCCCGGCAAGGTCTCGACCGAGGTGGATGCTCGTTTCTCCTTCGACACCAAGGCCTCCGTTGACAAGGCCCTGCACATCATCAGCGTACGTCATTAGCTCAACCACATGGAAGATCTATATGGCAACAATACTAATACGAGATTCTCTTTAGCTCTACGAGGAGCAAGGCATCTCCAAGGACCGTATCCTAATCAAGATTGCCTCAACGTGGGAGGGTATCAAGGCCGCTGAGATCCTACAGCGTGACCATGGCATTAACTGCAACCTTACTCTCATGTTCTCGCTCACTCAAGCTATTGCCGCCGCTGAGGCTGGCGCTTTCCTGATCTCTCCCTTCGTCGGCCGTATTCTCGACTGGTACAAGGCCGCCACAAAGAAGGAGTACTCCAAGGAGGAGGACCCCGGTGTCAAGTCCGTCCAGAGCATCTTCAACTACTACAAGAAGTTCGGCTACAAGACTATCGTCATGGGTGCCTCATTCCGAAACATTGGCGAGATCACCGAGCTTGCCGGCTGTGATTACCTTACCATCTCCGTGAGCAATTCCTTACTATTAGACAAATCTCAGATTGACGAGACTAACTCAATATATCTATAGCCTAACCTCCTTGAGGAGCTATTGAACTCGACTGCACCAGTTCCCAAGAAGCTCGACGCCTCTGGCGCGGCCGCTCTTAACATCGCCAAGAAGTCGTACATCAACGACGAGCCCCTCTTCCGTTTCGCCTTCAACGAGGAGCAAATGGCCGTTGAGAAGCTACGTGAGGGTATCAGCAAGTTCGCCGCTGACGCCGTCACTCTTAAGGACATCATCAAGGAGAAGATCTCCGCATAAATCACTACACCGACGTGGAAGTGAGTTTCAGATGACTGCTACTGCATAGAGAAACCGGCTGTTTTTAAGAGGTCTCTAGAATGCATAATAAATTTCAGCCTCTCTCGTCTCGTTCCCGCGATGCTTTTTTACGGGGCATCCATCCATCATTGATTGGTACGGAATCTAACATGGTCCAAGAAGAAAAAAAATTGGCAGGTTCTGCGTTCTGCGTTCTGCTGGGCGTTGTCCATTAGGTAGTCAAATAAGAAAAAAAAATAGAGTTGATTCATGATCATATTATGTCTTGATGCTACATATGTGTTTGGTAGTGAGATTGGTGAATTATCATTGTTCAATATTGTATTAATTTGTAGAAATTGCCAAACGCCGTCGCTATAGGATCAATGGAAGTAGGCACGTATATAGTACCCCCCATCCAAGTACCTAGTATGTATGTATGTAGGTAGGTATGTACCTACATACATCATGATACATATGCGATTGGTATCAAACCCGCCATTGTCTACTGCAGATGTACATGTATGTACCTATCATGCAGCTCTCGCTTTCGCCTTTCGCCTTTCGCCTCCCTACTACAATGTAGGTAGGTACCCATCCAACCAGACTGTAACATTACATAGCTACCCACCCCTTCTTCATCTTAAACAAACGAGTATGTATGTGTGTCCGGATCGTACCTATATGTATATGTATAGTAACGAATCCAAAGCATCCAGTCCAACGCATCTATACATACATACATGTAGTTATAAGTCTTCCCATGTTTCTTCTACCTTGTTCTCCTTTTTACCCTCGTTCCCCTTCCCCTTTTGCTTGTGGTTGTGCTTCTCCTTTTTATCTTCCTTCTTGCTCTGTTTGTCTTCCTTCCCCTTCCCCTTCCCCTCCCTGTCCTTCTGACTGTCATCGACAGAGTCGATACCGGCCTTGCAGGACACGCTGACGAGTCTATGCTTTATGCCGTGTTTAGTGGCGCCGCGTAGTTCTAGGAGTGTTTCTCGGTTGGGATCGGCGCTGTTATCTTCGCTTTCGCTGTCGTTGTCGTTGTCGTGCTCTTCATGCAGAGCAGAAGCACCAGCAGGCTCAAAAACAACCGCCGTGAGGTCGCCGCCCCGAACACAGCTGCTGTCGAGACCGATGGCGTAGCGGCGCACACTGAGGCCGGTCTTGGCGTCGTGGCCGTAGACGACTGTTGTTGGTGTTGGATCTCCCTTTTTCTTCTTCCCATCTTTTCCCTTCTCCTTTTCATTTTTCCCCTTACCCTTCCCCTTTTTGTTTTTTCTGGTTTTGTCTTTTTGCAGCTCGTTCCAGACCTTGGACCAGGGGCGCCCCTCGCGGCCTTCGCTGGGCATTAGGAGCATCTTGGGTTCGGAAGAAGACTCCGAGGTAGTAGGGGTGGTGGAATTTATGTCTGAGCTGACGAGGGAACGGGAGGAGATGAGCGTCCGCATGGTCATGACGACGCGGGGGTCCTGCTTCTCGAGCGGGACTCCGGGGACGAGGCCGGCGTGGACGACGACGACGTCGCCGAAGCGAGGCGACACGCGGCCGACGCGCAGGATCACGGGGAGAGAGGCGAGCCAGTCGATGTGTTGGGGGGACAGGCTGAGGGCGGTGGCGAGGTCGGCCTTTTCGGATTTTCGGCGCTTGCGCTGCGCTTCGAGTTCTTCTCCTTCGACTCCCTCTTCTTCTTGGTCTTCTGTCTCCTCCTCCTCCTCCTCTTCATCAATCCCCTTACTATGATGCTTCCCCTTCTTCTTATCCTTCCTCTCCCTCCTCTTCAGCTCCCGATCCCACGCGCGCAACACGCGATCCTCGTGGTTGCCCCGCACGCCGTACGCGCCGATGGCAATTGCGCGGTCCACGACTCCGGGGCTGTCGGGCCCTTTGTTCACCATGTCGCCCGTGAAGACGACGTGGTCGCCGCGCTCGGAGGAGAAGCCCGCTTTGGAGAGCAGCGCGTCGAGCGCCGAGAGCTGGCCGTGCACGTCGCCGATTATGAGGAGGCGGGGGCCGGAGGGGGAGTCAGGGTTGGGGAGGGCGGAGGAGGGGAGGGAGTCGAGGAGAGGGGGGTGCAGGAGGGAGGGGTGGTGTTGGGTGTCGTGGCTTTGGTTCGTGGTTTCTACGTTCATGGTGGGTGGTTGTTGTGGTTGTCTACCGAGGAATGGGATGGTGGAGGGGTCGAAGTGAGGGTGACGCAATAAGGTGATGCTTAGGAGGGTGAAGACGGTGCCTACGGTGAGTAATATACGTCGTCGTCGTCGATGTGGTCGAGGCGGCGGGAATGCTAGTAGTTGACCCATTGATGGGAGGGTTGGGTGGCCCTAGGTGGCCGCGTATGACGTCGCTGTGGCGGCCGAGAGACCATATATGCAAGCACTTAGGGATTCACAGGCTTGTTTGTGTACAACTTACATACGTGGTAAGTAGTGTAGTAGGTATAACCTCAGAACTTTGATATCTCCAATAGATCAAAAATATCAATATACTATCGCATACCAGGTAGGGGAGATATACATATATAAACTCTTGATATTATAAATCCTTGTTGGAGATCTTCTGTTTCGCAAGCTATGTATGTGTATGGTATGTGTATGTGTATGCGTATGTGTATGTGTAGGTGTATGTAAAGGGAAAGGGTTGTATACAACTACATGAAACATTGAACGATTGATGTAGAGTCACGAGTCCCAGAACTATCGCTGTCACGTCAATGTTCAAGGATCACCTGAACTGTAACAGTGTATGTAATACGCGATAGATCTCAAAAAGGGGCAGAATGGATACACAGATGAAAACTTTCGTCACGGACCCTTGGCTTTTTTTTTTCTGGTCTTTTTTCTGGTCTTTTTTTTTCTTTCATTTGCCAAGACTGGCCGATCTCGCATGGGATTGTATAACAAACTACCTTGACGGCAAGCCCGAATAACTAACGTACTTGCAGTAAAAGTGCTAAAGTCTAGGTGACCTTAGTGCTTGTCGCTTCTTGATTTTATATTTTTTCTTCTGTTTCTCAAAGACTCGAACTTAGAGGTGCATAATTAAATGTTGCGCGCTAAATGTTTCTTGCTTTGCAGAACATTAGCAGAGTGATTAAGTTGCACTATTGAAAATGACAGCTGCAATTCATGGTCTAGGCACGGCACGAGTAAAATAAAAAATGAGGTGTGAGATAATACCAGACCACGATATTAATATTGACCGATCGAGAGGAATGCACTGCCATTGAAATCCCTAGAAAGGAACTTCGGTTTGATTTGAATATGAAAAGAATAACTAACCCCAACGCCACCCAATGCCTAGGTATCTTGAAATATACCTACCTATCCATTTTTGTTCATCCTAGTTTTTGCCTCATCATAGACTCGTCAACTCTTCTTTGCCTCCTGCTCTTTCCGGTATTTCTCATTCTCGACCTCTCGCCAATCTGGCGCTTCCGGCTCGTCCCCGTCTGTCTTGCGCACAGAGCCGGCGAAGGCGGATTTGCCAGCATATAATTGATACCCCTCGCCGGACTTCTCGCTTGTCTCGAGACTCTTGAAGGTGATGGGCTGGTTGCCGCGGAATCGCTTGCGCATGTCGATCATGCCTCGCCTGCAGTCGCCGAATCCCTTCTTGAGCTGTTGGCATTTCGTCGGAAGGGTTTCTGAGAGAGGAGAGCGCAGGCAGTCGGCTGCTGTGTGTCGTTGTACCATGACGCACTCGGACTCTTGTAGGCATTCGGCCAATGCGGCTCCTAGTAGTTGTGATGGAGATTAGCTCTAAGTTCAGATTATGTCTATGTGATATTCTGCAATATGTTGACTATTGAGGCATACTACTTACTTATTTCTTTACATGAGCTCGGCATACTGAATTGACTGAGGCTGAAGGATTATATATGTATATTGGATATTCAAGGTATGATGTATGGTTATCATGGGTAGTTATGTCGCAAAGCAAAATAGCCCGGATCAGATGTTCCTATCGCGATTGGAATATGGAAACTTACGAAATGGTACGTGGTCCAAGCTTCAAAAATAACCCAATTCTAATTGGTCAACGGAATGGGTATTAGTTACAGCATCAGAGGATTCAGAGCATGTGCCATAACGCAGGGGACCAGGGGTAAGCTAATTCTTTCCACCATCCAAGCAGCTGCCAGCCTACTAGGGTCATCCATAATGTGGAGAAACAGGGCGTTCGAAAGAGAGCAGCTTCCCTCGTCGTGCTTTGAAAGGAAATGAGCATTGGCAGGAAGTTTAATGACTTCAGTATTATCAATATCAATTCTTTCTAAACTCTAAAATATTTACATATTACCTAACCCATTCTTTATCTTACCTACTAGGTACCCTATCTATTAAGTACCTACCTATATTATTCTTCACACAATTCTTATCTTCAGCATTCATATGTGTCTTTCCTAGTAGTCAATGCTCTTCTATATATCCTGTTCGAGAGACACCGGCTGTCCCGTTTCGTTGTCTAGCTGACTAGCTGTCTAGCGTGACGCTCCAATTCCCATTCACATGTGACATCACCAACAGCTACCTATACTTCCACAGCTGATTCTTTTCCATACAACTTGAATCCCTTCCTAACCCTTTTGGAACTCAAGACCCTTAAAATTCTACGGTTCACTATCCCTTCGCAGCCCTGGAATCCTATATACGCGAGCAGCTTGGGTTTTTAAAAAAAAATGAACAGCTTGTCGCGATAGCGCAGCGCTGGGCTTAACATCGCGCTTCATTCATCTCCTAGCTTCTAAGCTTCCTAACTTCCTACTTTGGCTTAAGTGTCGTACACGACAGAAGACGACAAGATGCCTTTACCATTCCTTGGTCGTTTGAATATGTTGGTTATTTCTGCACAGTTAGGGGCCTTTTATCGCCATGTATAACTAATCAATGGGTGGTGAAGTGTAGAGTACATTGCCCTTGTAGGGTCCTTTTGTCTTGTCGGTCTTGAGGCCCTCGTCCGAGTCTTGACGCTCGCATTACGTATGCTAACACCAAACACCAAACACCATTTTACCTATTATTTTTTCGTGTTACCAGTACTAACACATACGTAAATTAGCTTCGACTTTGATAAATCTCTTTTACCGAGCGTCGCGACGGTTGTTTAACAGGTTAACGTCGCCCGCGCAGAAGAGAGCCGAGCAAAGGAGAAAATGTACGGCCCGTCTATCCTTCAAATACCCAGGTGATCAGTAAAACTAACCCACTATATTAGCCGTCTCGACGTCGATCCGGAATGCCTCGGACTTCGTTGATATCTGTGCCATGTTTGGCTACACGGCCGAAGAACATGTGCTGCAGACCAAAGATGGGTATCTACTCGGAATACACCGCCTCGCATGGAGAAAGGGAGAGGAAGATATGAAAGTCAACGACGGACCCACTAGCATAAAGAAGCGGGTCGTCTACCTTCACCATGGCCTTCTGATGAACAGTGAGGTCTGGGTTTGTCTCACTGATGCTCAGAGATGTCTACCATTCATGTTGGTAGAGAGTGGTTTCGATGTCTGGGTATGTTATACATTGCGTCTCCTTGTGGCAGTGAGGATGTGTTAACTAACCATGCATATCAGTTGGGAAACAACCGTGGTAACAAGTATTCCAAGAAGTCAATCAACTACCCCCCTACTTCTATCGAGTTTTGGAACTTCTCAATCGATGAGTTCGCTTTTTACGATATACCAGACACCATCAACTACATCTTGGAAACTACCAGGCAGTCGTCCCTATCTTATATTGGCTTCTCTCAAGGGACCGCGCAGGCATTTGCTAGCTTGGCTGTGCACCCCGGACTCAATGAACAGATAAATGTTTTCATCGCATTGGCACCTGCTATGTCGCCTGCCGGTCTGAACAATGGCATTGTCGACGCTCTCATCAAAGCTTCACCTCAGGTCCTCTTTCTCCTTTTTGGCAGACGTTCTATTCTTAGCTCCGCGACCATGTGGCAGTCTATCCTGTACCCGCCGATTTTTATTAAACTTATCGACATGGGCTTGACTTTCCTTTTCGGTTGGAAAACCAAGAATATCTCTGTCAGTCAAAAGCTTGCTGCCTATCCGCATTTATACTCCTTCACCAGCACCAAGTCGGTTGTCCATTGGTTCCAAATCATTCGCAATCGGTCATTCCAGATGTACGACGATGACGTACAGACTCCCTTGTCTATCAACACGTCGAGCAAATATACGAAAGTTGCTAGGTTCCCGACTCGTAATATTCGGACACCAATAGTCCTTGTCTATGGGGGAAGTGACTCTTTGGTGGATATTAAGGTCATGTTGAGAGAATTGCCTAACAGGACAGTTGCTACTGAGATTCCACATTACGAGCACTTAGACTTCCTCTGGGCTCGCGATGTCGATACTCAAGTGTTCCAACACGTCTTTGATGCCCTGGAGAACTTTAGGGATGCGGCACATTCCTTAGAGGAGTTTGAGAGCTATCAGCGGGCGCGCAGTGTCAGCATGATTGCTTCTAATGCTTTCAAACAGTAAGCTCATATGACCCTGAATACCAAGTCATACTGGTTGCACAGAATTATAAACTAATAAGAACAGCGTGCACCGCAATAGCGACACACTCGAGTCTGACAGCACATCCGTCGTGTCTAATGCGCAACCGGAGAATGGAGGCGAGGTTAGTCTCAGAGTGGAACACAAACCATGCGAAGATCAAGAGAATCACTCCTCGATCTCCCAAGTTGCCACTCCTCCAGCAAGCTCCACACAGACACCGACTCACACTCACCCCATCACCAGCATTGATGAAACCGCCGTGGCAGCAAGTGGGGACAGCTCCAAAACAAACGGCCATGACGGTACGACAGACCTACCAGACCCAGTGACCCCGAGTCCATCGACCAGGCATAGGCCGACTCGCAGGAGTGGTAGTGTGGCCAGCGTCCTTAGTCTAGACTCGATGAAAGAGGGCCGTGGTATTAAGATCGGCGCCGCGAAGCCTACTATTAGTAGTAGCAGCGACGAAGGCCGGAGGTATGCCCAGCTCAACGTTTAAATAAGTTCGTGGATTCCTAAATAGAGTGTATAAATCAGGAACACGGTTAGACGGGCGTTTTGCCACAACGGGTAGGTAGGCTTATTTTTCTACCAACACTTGTTGATTCACTCGCAAGTCCGAGAGCCTGTATAAATTCATAGAAGGGATGCATACAAGTTGTATAGGCCTTAGTATATATATCAGCATCAAGTACCTACCAACCTAAGTAGATGTCTCGTCCTTGGCGTATATGAAGAAGTGAATATGAATCATAGCAGTGCTCCAGTAACTACCTACCTATCTAGGATTGCACTGCCTGTATCGTTAGGTTCAGATATACCCAAGCACCGACAATTTCGTATGGATACTGAGGCAGATAGTTATAGGAAATAGCCAATATATTAAGATAGTACCTAACTTTGAAAAAACAGCAAACCCCAGTGTTCGCAGAAAAATTCCCCAAACCAAAAACTCCGTGTGCCTCGCCTAGTCATCCAAAAGTTTACAGGTACTTAAGTGACAAGATAAACCGACTCTACTCTGCTCTACTCCGACGGCCAACCTCAACCCAAGCCCCTTCTCTACTTCCTCTTCCACTTTCAGACCCTCTTCCCTTCGTAACATCATTATTAGTAGCAGCACCACCGCCCGGTCTCCCATCCCACCGCACCCTCAACCCCGTCGGCACCGGCGAAAACGCGCCCTCGTCCGCCGTGAGGTAAACCCTCAGCCCCGTCCACTCGCCCCCCGCCGCCCCCCGCACAGCCTTCCGCCCAGCCTGGCCCCGCCACTCGTGGAAATCGAGGCCGCGGATCTCGCCCCCGCTTCGCCGCAGGTTGGGCAGCTCCCGGAACATGGCCTTGAATGCCGCGGCCAGAGCGGTGCGGGTCAGGGGTTCGCCGAGACATCTGTGGGCGCTGCCGCCCCAGGAGAGGGAGTAGGAGGTTAAGGGGCGGGAGAGGGAGAGGGTGGAGGGGGAGGGGAAGAGGTGGGGGTCGTGGGAGGCGGTTGTGAGGGAGAGGAGGACGCGGGAGGAGGGGGGGAGGAGGTAGGTGACGCGGGAGGCGAGGCGGGAGGGGGGAGGGTTGGGGGTGGGGATTAGGGAGGGGGGGTGGGGGGGAGGGGCGAGGCAAGGGGTTTCGTCGATGATGGTTTGGGGGGTGCTGGTGCGGGGGATGGTGCGGGCGATTACGACGGTGCCGAGGAGGCGGATGCCTTCTAGCATGCTGGGGTGGGGGGGAGAGGGGTGGTTAGTTTTGGTTTTGTTTGAGGGGGTAGTTTTCGGGTAAGAGGTAAGGGGTAAAGGGTAAAGGGTAAAGGGTGGACGGTAAGCAGGCAAGTAGGTAGGGTAAAAGGGGGAAGGGGGGGACTTACTAGTGCATGAGGGCTTCGTCGGCTTCTTTCGTGTCCAAGCGGGCGAGACGGTGCAGTTCGGGCAGATGCTCACTTCCGGTTCCGAGAAAATAATCGAGGCATTGCGAGAGGAGGCCGGACATGATTGTTGCTCCGGCGGCACTATAGGGAGAGGTAAGTAAGGATGATCCAATCACCAAGACACATAGGTTAGGTGGTAGGTTCAAGGAGAACAGCTACCTGGAGAAGGATGAATGGAACGGGATCAAAGCAAAAAGTTGCCTTCTCACCTGATAGGCATGACAGTCCCGGCAACACACTCCTCAACCGTCTTGCCCTTCTCCATCATCCGCAAAAGCAGCTGTCTACCGTAATCCGGGAGCGACGGCCATTCTTCCTTTTTCTCGGCGCCTTTGCCCCCCTTCGTACCTATCACCCCACCCACCTTACTGTTTTTGCTATGATTATTAGCACCAGCAGTCTTGATCCCCAGCCGCGCAGCCACATTCGCAACCCAACCCGTCCTCGCCGCGCCCGCCTCAAGACGCACGAGCTGCTCCAGCCCCAGCGCGAGCTCGCGCGACCGCGTGCGCAGCTTGAACGAGTTGGCCGGGTCGCTGTCGAAGAAGACGGCGGAGAACATGCCCGTCAGGATCCCGTACAGCTCGTGCTCCGTGTAGATGCCGTGCGGCGCCGTCTCCGCCGTCTTGATCGGCAGCCCGAAGAACTCGGCCACGAACCGCGTGTTCAGCGGGACGATGACGTCGCGGATGATGTCGACTTCGAACTCCTCTCCAGGCAGCCCCGGGCTGGGCGGTAGCGCCACGCCGGCCTTTTTCAGGAGGTTCGTCGTGGTCAGCTCGAAGAAGCGCCTGATCTCCGCCTCCCACTGCGTCGGCTGGTACAGACACCGCTCGACGTGGATCCGGCTCTGGTGGTTGGCGGGGCCGTCGCCCGCGAGGCAGAAGTCCTTCCCGAAGGTCTTGCCCGCCGAGCTCACGAGGTAGGATATGCTCTCGCCCCAGGGGACGTGGAAGTCCTGGCTGTTGGCAAGCACTTGGCTGACGGCCTCGTGGGATTTGAGTATCACGGGGTCCATCTGTCGCGTTGGCTTCTCCCACTGGTTAAGCACCATGTGTATCAGTATCTTCCGTTACAATGGTCGAAGGTGCCAAACAAAGCCGGCTGGGAATCACTCACCGAATATAGCTCGGATGTTCCCAAAGCATCGTGGATAATCTTGTTCTCTGCCGGCACGACGAAGGGGAAATGCGCCATGATGCTGTTATTCACAAAGTGAAAGGGGAAGGCGCGGAATATCAGCTTGTGCATCACATGTCCTTGATTCACCCCTAGGTCGAAGTTGGCTTCGTTGTATCTGAGTAGACGTTAGCCCCGGTACCGTATACACCTCCAATAGGGGTAATGTGTAACTATGAGGGAACAGAGACACCTCACGTACCCCCAGTTCGTCAAATTCGCCGGCGTATAATCAGTAGTGTAAAAGCGATCCCCACGCACCAGCGCCACCGCATCAGACAGGATCGCCCGGCTCGTGGTAACATTAACGCAAAGCCCGCTCCCCGACATAGGAGGCTTCGGCTTCTCGGCCACGATGCCGGGGTACAGCTCCACGGCATCGGGGGAGTCGTACAGCGCCATCAGCTTCCGCGCGACCGCCGGGTCCGGGTTGATGTCCTCGAACGCGGCGTGCTTCTTCAGCCCGAAGTGCTGCCGGAACTCGTTGAGCGTCGCCACGCGCCACCCCCTCGCCTGCGCGATGCCCAGCACCTCGATCACGCGCAGCGCGGCCGGGACCTGGTTCGCGCCGAACGCGCCCGCGACGTCCTCGACGGACGCGGACAGGATCTCGACCAGGGCGTCGTCGGAGTACGTGCCGTCGTCCGCGTCTCGCCGCAGCCCCGCGAGCTCGCGGTCGGCCGGGTCCGCGGGGATGCCGAGACGGTACCGCGCGAGGGCCTGCAGCGCCTCGTCGACGCTCGCGCTGGCGGGGTCCGCGCCGCCGAGGTGCGTGCGCAGGTCGTCGGTCACCCACTTCGCGTCCCGCGCCGACAGCGCGCTGTGCCAGCGGTACACGAGGTTGAACTCGACCGAGACCTGGTTGCCCGTCGCCTGCGGGGCGGGGGCGCTGTTGAGCGCGCTCTTCTTTTCGCGCGTCCGCGGGTCGAGGTCCCAGGCCGAGGCGGTGCGGTTCACGTTGAGGATCGTGCGCACGTAGTCCTTGAGGATGATGTTCACGTACAGCCCGCAGGTGATGAGACGTCCGGTTTGGAAGAGGTCGTTGTCGTATTTCTCCCAGGCCTCCCAGTTGCTGCTGTCGTTGGTGGTGGTGGTGGGCTTGGAGAAGCGGCCTCCTTCGTTAATCCTGGCACCATGACTGTCAGCATAGAAAAGGGGATATCTCTCTGTTCATGGGTTCTTACGCTGCAAGGTTGGTCACAACGTAATTGTGAAATCGATTAAACATCTGATTAGGCACTCAAGTTAACAACTACCTATATCATTTACTTCACAAAGAATGGAGGTATATTATCAGGGGCATAGGTCAGGGGTACAAGAGGGGGGGTTCTTTTGAATACTAAGGCACAACACTCTGACTTACGATCAAAAACACGCCGACACCCGGAGGAAGTCCGAACAGATTCTTGGACGAGAAGCAGTCCGGCTTCAGCAACCCGTCTTTGAATGTCCTCATGGCTTTCTGCTCTTCCGCATTCCTGCCGTACAGAGGCGAGAGGTCGAGGTATGACGAGGTCATGTTGACGTTTGCGTCGCGCGGATCCTTTTCGCTTAGTATAAGAAACTGTACTGCCTACTAAATACACAAAGCTAACAAAAAAAAAAAAAGGGGGGGGGGGGGGGGGGGGTGTCAGCTAAAGCTCTCCGACTCACAGATTGAAAGATATCGTGGGTGATTATTGTCGCTAGATAGAATAGCATGCTAGATATTCTATTTGGGTGTTCGCGGAATGAGTTGTCGTCTCTAGCCATGAGGCTGTCGAAGATGAGTCCCGCATCTGGCGGATTCGGCGCCTGAAATACCAAAGCGGGTGTGGTTCGGGCATAGCGCGTGTTGGCAGCGCCCATGGAAGGGACTTTCAGGTTGTTGTATGACCCGTCTGCTTCGCGATACCGAGTCTTCTCACTCCCGAGCTGAGCAGGTGGGTGTTCAAGCGAGTCCCAGAGCGTGTTGATGAAAGCGTCGGTAGCCTGTCTGCCTTCGCGAGAATGGGGAGGGAGTTTGGCTAGCAAGGTGACGACCCGCTCCTGTAAGAGCGAGTCATCGTCCTCCTCGCCGGTAGCCGCGGTTTCCAAAACATCTTTCAGTGTCTTGTAGTCTTCGATTCCCAAATGGTGTAGGTCTTTGAGAATGCCGGTCTCCTTGGTGGTGTCATCATTTCCTGGAGTGAACTGATACTTGGGGATGGGACTGAGGCTTTTGGCTATGACTTGGATAGCCTGAGAGAAAGTTGACGGCATGGTGTGCTGGTGTCGAGGGAACTTCTCGGTGTGGGCGAGACTGGGCTAGAGACAAGCAGTTTGGTCGACTTCGGAACTGGAGGTTTATAAAGCAATCCTAGGTTCCTCGGGACTTTTGTCTTGTTAACTCCATTAGCATCCATCCTGACGGGGCGTATTAGCGTGATCAATACTTGATGTCTTAAAAGTCATGTGGGATGGCCACCACATCGCGTGAGCCTGGTAGGCTCCAAGAATAGGGATGCAACCCAACAGCCAGTGTAACACACCTTTTTGAACAAGGCTATATATCGTATTTCTACACTTTACAAAGGTAGGTGCTTACCTAGGTACGAGGGGAAGAGAAACGTGATAGCTCAAATGCAGCTAGTTGTGATACCCAAGGAGAAGATTTAATTTTAAACGGGCAGTATTGATACCTATCTGCAATGTTCTTTTTTCCCCCTTGACTACTATTAATGGCGATTTACGAAGCAGATGATTCCTTAATTTCCATAGCTAAGTTTGTACATATCACGGCGCAGCCAGTAACGCCACGAAAATACTGGGAATAAAGTACCAAAATTTCGGAGCCGATAGATACAGCCTCGAACATTCAAATCCTTTCTCGATACTAGTAGTATATTTGGATGATTATAAGCGACGTGTGTAACCAGATACAAGCTGGAGACAAGTTCAGGTGAAGCTGGGTACACCAGAGGATTAACTACCTACTGGGTATTCTCGCACATATCGAACGGTTATGTAGAAGACTTCAAGGCCCCCCTTAGGCACACAGGTGGCAAGTAGGCGCTCGTACACTCTTAAATACCCCTCATCATTCTAAAGTGGGTGGCTATGAAAACCATGAAGCTGTAGCATACCCAGAGACTATAGATAGTTTGAAGCTGAACTCATCTCTTTGTACCTGGCTAACTACCCCGGTAGTCATCATAATATGCCGATTTGTAGACTAAGACCAAGAGCCGCACGGCCCGAGGACTCACTCCGGCCCCTATCACTCATGCATGGCTTCCCTCCATCACTACCTAACTAGTACAGATATAAGGCGCCTTTTGATTTAGCCTGTAGATAGCAGGATTGCTCAACTATAAACTATTCGTATTATGTATCTAAGTTAAGTTAAATGAGTGGGAAGATGCAGTATCCCATCGCGTATGTCAAATCGTTAACCGAAAAGGGGCTTGGCGAGGTCTGAAAGGGGTGGTATATTTCAGGATATGAGGGTATATCACATCAGGTCTTGCGTGTAGCCAGCCTGTGAAAATTCGCGCAGTGTGATAATTTCGATAATTGATTCCCAGTTTTGCTGTTTATGTGGGCTGGACAAGATACCCTGGACACCGGATTATCATGATCATATGTAGGAGAGCGATTACTCGGATCTCGCGGTACATACCATAGCTCACAGGATGGCTTTCAACCCTACGTTCCTTTGAAGCTCAGAGGGGTTTAAGCATGTGGACACCTGGTATAGAGGTCTTCGAAGTCCCAGCCAGCGTTGACTGAGTTGGGTTCAGAAGGTACCTACTATAAAAGAAGATATATCCCCAAGTCTATCCACTATGGCTCCACTTACTCGTGCAAAGTTCACAGACTTCCCAACCGAGAAAAACCAGCATCCTGAGAGCCAACAGCCCCTTGTATAATGTATCCAACAGCTGAACCTCCCTTTGATATAAGAAGTTGAAATGGGTCAAGTCCCAGACAACAGTGTCATATCGCCAGTAGTTAGAGGCGACCCACCACATCATTTTACCACGCAACAAAGTGTGTGGTAAGAACACTATATTTTCTCCTACATAACTAGTACCTACATACCTACCCAACACGTGCCTATCAAAAGTACCTACCATATCTATTGACTTCGAGAACCAAGCACCTCGGACCAAAGAACGAGTTTCGCTTTGACCATGGATAGAACGATAAAAAGGAACCTTCAACAATATGCCAATGCTTAAACAGGTAATTATCTAAGTACCTACCCAGCCTTACGACGTGGATGGGTTAGGTACATACCTGTTTGAGAGTATCACGACCCAGGAGGATCAAACGCGGCCTAGCTAGCTAGATATGTACCTACCCTGCCTATGTAGGCCATTTAATGCATGGCAGAACAATCTCAAAAAGCCACCCACAGTGCAGCAGAATTGCATAGTTATCGAATGGTGGATCCGCAGCAGATACCACCCTGATCATGGTAGCATTTTACCGGAAGGGAGACCGAGTAGCTTGTCATTGGGTGGCGTGGTACAATGCCTACACACATAGGCCGCATCACAGCTTATCTACCTATCTGCCTGTCTACCTAGCCCAACTGATGTAGTTCATCCGTCCTAACTCCACTGCGCCGCCACGGGATTCGGAGGCAAGCCCGTCTGCGCAGCTTAGGTGCCTGGGTAGGGTAGTTCCCAAAACGGACCGCATGAACCGGGCCGTACACGTGGCACTCGTGCTACCTCTGAGATTGATTAGGGCTCCGAGCTGAGTACGCTCACCTCCGACTGCTGCCGCTCTGTGCCTGCTCCTTCACCGACTCCTCGCCTAACACCTTGCTTGCGGCCATGAACCTGTTTGCATTAGACCAGTTAGTCTACATTCACACACATATATATATTAGGTATGTATGTAAGAACCGCCGGCGGCAACGGCTCCTAGGTGTCGATATCTAGAGCAACCCCTCATACGAATATATCCGGAGCCAGAAAAGAAATATATGCGGTTAGGTAAGTCACACGAACGAAAGAAGAGAATAAAAATAAGACTTACATCCCGCCATGCCAGCTCCCCAACCCCCTCATAGCCTCGGCCTGGACACTCGTCATCCGGAGGAGGTTCTCCGTGTCCGCGAGGTTGGCCGAGAGCTGCGCGAGCTGCGAGTGGAGGTGCGACTGTGTTTTCGTTAGCTTAGCCTTCCTTTCCTTCCTCCCTCAAGTCCTTCCTCGATAGTGAAGCATAGTAGTAGTACAGGTATCGTAAAGAATACGAGGTGGGTAGATAGATGGAGAGATAGATATAAATGAATGAATGAATGAATGAATGAATGAATGAATGAATGAAGGGGAGAAGAGGAAGATAGAAGGAAGGGAACGCACCAATTGCCGCGCCTTAACCACGCCCCCCGACCCCGTCCCGGACCCGGAAGTCTGCGGGGCCATGGAGGCCCTCGTCATGCCGGCCGAGCCATGCATGGCTATGGTGCGGTCGGCGGCGCTTCCGCTTCGGGTAGCCATTCTCTCTCTCTCTCTCTCTCTCTGTATTTGCCTGCTACCTAGTACCTAGGAGATGCTAGGCACGGGTTGTTGAAAGTTGCGGGCTGTGACGTAGACGTAGACGTAGACGTAGATCGTTGGCGCGCAACTGAACTAAATAAACAAACAAGGGAATTGATTCCCTAGATCGTTCGCGAAAGAGGAAGAAAAAAAGTATGGTAGATGTAGGTACAGTGAAGAGTATAGGATAGTTATTTACGTAGATTTACGTAGGCACGTATACAAGAGCTCGCTTCCTGGTGGCTGTTCTTTCTTTCTTTAGATGATATGTTGATGTTGTGCGATTCTGTGAGGTATAACCATTGATGATTGTTATGTGCTTAGGTAAATACTTCCAGTCCCCACAACCTGCCGCGCCCCCAATTAAAATCCCCAACTTCCAATTAACTACATCCAATAGTTATCCTGGAAATTCAAAAGGACTCTCTGTAACAACCACTTCACTACCTAGTACCTTTAATGTTGATTTCAATTTTCAACACTTTTTTTGCCAATATTTACACGGGTATATACATATTATACAACCTTGAAATACACACATGCACCATGCACTACTAGGTACATAGTAGCAAACATCAACGGGGACCGGGTACACACATACATACAACATGGCATATAGCCCTAGGTAACAACTTGGAAGTACGACGTGACCGCGTTGAAATAAAGCTTCGGCCGCGCGCGGGCGGGACGGACGGGTTACTACCTCATCTACCTAGGTCCTAGGTAAATACTTGTACCTACTATCGCCAAGAAACCTACAGTCTTAAGCATGTGGCTGTCAACTCTAAAATAGACTTTGAGAATATCTTCAGTTAACAAACATGTGGATGTCTATAAATTCATCCATACATCTACCTAACTTATACCTCCATACCTAGGTACATGAAGGTAGGTACATATCTCGATACACGTGTAGCATCATCGTCCATCTTACTACCTAACCTAGTAGCATTACATAGACATGCCCGGGTAAGCAGTGCGGAATCGATATTATCATTGATAGCTCGAGGCTGCTCTTTCCATGTTTTTGGTTGTCGCGAATAACCGGCCCCTTGTTAATTAAGCTTAGCTCTTAAAAGAGTCGCATTATGGTGATCTCCTCTAATTCTTGACGCCATCACCCTAGACCTTGAGCCTTTTCCTTCTCATGCTTGCTTTACTGCTTTACTGGCTACTTTTCGTAGCCTGGTACTCGAGCCCCAGCCTCACACGTACTGTGCCTGTCTTTACAATATTAAAGTCCAGCGAGAAACTGACAAATAAAACAAAGAAACGGTCCTCGCGTGTATGGTCATGATACCAACAATCCTTCCCTCTCCCGGCTCTTGCTCCGCCTCTTATTGCCACGCAATTGTCCGCCCCCTTTCTATCTTTCTATCCCACACACACTGCACCCTGACCTGATGACCAAGCCAGTTCAAGTATCATCTGTAAACAGTGCCCTGTCTGGAACTGGTTCCACAAAGCTGGATACCAGCCATTTCCAAGTGTGGGGAAGTGTCTACTGCGTAATAGAACACGACTGAATATCTAGCGGACAACGCGCAACTGAGCGTTGTGTGGGAACTCTATGCACATTCCTGTCATGGCGTTTTGCTTTTTTGATACCAGGCCAAAGTCGAGGTATCCCACGCCTTCTAGACAAGTCCAGTCCTTCTCATCGAGATTTGTTGATATTGCCTGGCTGGCTGCCTGCATGTTTTAATTAACACATCAACTGCAGACGCAATTACTTGATCGGTGCCGAGTCGGAAAACGAAAGCGGAGACTTTGCGATGTAGAGTCGTAAATAGAGAGGAATATATGTGTTCCCTAAAAAAGGCGACGGCAGACCCCGCATCCCAATGCAATATTACCGAATATGAATACCACTGCTTTCAACCTTCCAAGAAAAATGCTTATGTACGTGGTTTTCCCTTGCCGAGACGAAAAGAATTATGTGTGTACGTCGTTATGTTGTAATCCAACCCGATTCCATCTAACCGTATCGAATGCGCCGTGATCCGAATAAAACGAACTCGACAAATCCTGATACCACCGCAATAGCGGCAGCCAACCTGCAAACAAGACAAGACAAAAACAAAACAAAACAAAAGAGAAGAAATCGACTGTCGGGTGAGAAGGCCGTAAATCAACCCGGCTTTAAGAAAAAAGGGGGAGGATATTATTCGCCCCCATTAGCGAATCACTCAAGAACCCACCCTTTTATCTTTGACTTCGCTGTTCGTGGTTCGGATCGTTTAGCGGACTCCGATCGGAGGTCGGGGACCGAGACTACTTTGACTGCTGTGAGCGGAGGGTTCGGAGCCTAGGTGCGTTGATTCACCACTCCCCGCGCTAGCGCTCGCACTGCCGGTCAGACTTCTGGCTGTCTTCGTATTTGGTGGTTGGAGAGAGCTCACCCCGACACGTTGTTCAACTTGCTGTGGCGCAACCATGTTGCCTTGACCAGGAGGATACCTAGGAACTGGCTGACGTACACCATCTGGAGGCGACGGGCGTCCATTAACACCAGGTCCCCCAAAGCCGTTAGGCGGCGACGGTCGCCCAGGTGCCCCTCCTCGAACTGAGGGGCTGTACGGCTGTCCCGGTGATTGACTAGCACGTCTGGGATACGCTCCACCACCCATTCCGGGACCGGCCTGAAAATCATGTATATGCGTTGCCGTTAAGGAATTCGCCCTAGATCCCGCTTGCATCTGTCCCCGGTCGACATTACCGTACCGATTGGACGTGAAATTCATCATCGGGTCATCCAGTATGTTGTCGTGAAGACCAGGAGCAGCAGTTACGATCTGACTAGAACGGTTTCTGCCAAATCCTGGCCGCCATTTACTGCCACGAGACGGCATTCCTCCTCCGGGACCTTCAGGGTTCATCCGTATGTCGCTCTGGCTCTGGGGGACTTTGCTTCGGTTTTTCCTAGATGTCACACTCATCATATCGAAATTGTCAGGATCAATCATGGGAGCGACTGGCCCCGAGTTCGGGTCGAAATAGTCGTCCTCCTCGTCTTCATCGTCGTACACGCCACCTCCACTACGCACTGGGGGGGCACGCCTCCTAGCACTAACAGGTGGTGGGCCACGTCGCATGCGCATCTCCTGCTCCTTTAATGCCATCTCGCGCTGTCGTAATTGGAGTTCTCTCTCGCGAAGGGCGATATCTGAAGTGTCAGCATTATAACCCGCGTCAGCAGCGTCCGTCGAATCCTCGTATACAACCAGGTGGCTGAATTCTCCAAGGTCGGCCTCGTCAAAAGATCCACGCCTGGATGCTGCTCGTGAAGGAGGGTGGCCGTTCGGTGCGCCATTCATAGGAGGTCTGTGTCCGTTGGGAGGGCCGCCGTTCATCGGCGGAGGTCGACGCATACCTGGAGGTGGACCACTAAGATTAGATGAATTTCTAGGCCTGGATCCTCGCATTGGCGGCATACCATTCCCGTTGGGGTGGCCGTTGGGGTGGCCGTTGACCATGGGGCGGGGTGCTGGGCCTGATGACATACGAGGCATCGGTGACGCTGCGGTTGGTGAACCAGAAACAGCCGGTAGTCCGTTAGTCTCCTTAGGTCTGGACTGGTTGACGATGTTCAGGTTATGGAAAATGGCGTAGAGCGTCTCAATCCGGGGCAAACTGACGCCAGAACTCTGAGCTAGCTTGATCGGTGAACCGAGGTATGTTTCTACTTCCATTGGCCTTCTAGCCACATAATCCTGCCACATGATGCTTGGGCTATCCGAAGGCTCGCATTGTTCCTTAATCGTGTTCTCCTTAAACTTGGCGTCGAGTGTGCATCCTTGCGCAGTGGCAAGCGCAATAAGTTCGTCAATTACATCTGAAATTAGTTGTCTGACGCCAGCTTTTTCTAAAAGAGCTGCGTGGGAAGGCGTATCAAAAATGACGCTGGCGGGGTGAAAAGCAATAGGCCTAATACATTAGTATACAATTATCCAAATTTATCCAAATAATGACCTACCCAATAACTCGTTCGAACTGTTGCTGTCGTATATTTTTGGAAACTTTGCAATCGACACGACCGGAGCTTAGCGTCATGGCAAGGGCCTGAGCCATGTCTTCCTGTATAGCCAATGGAATTTTGCCGCTTTTATTCGCAGGACCAACCCAGATCTCAGTTGAACCACTATGCTCAAATTCGCTTGATCCCAGCTGGTTCAATTCGGCATTCGAAACGAGCGACAAGACGACATTGGTCGGAAATCTTTCCTCCAGGGCGGCCTCGACACCTAGAGTGTGCGTTGTGTTGACAAGAATGCAAGTATGTTGAGGTGTAACAACGGCGTCGATAACGGATGCGAGGTCATATACATCGGGTAGAGCCTTGATACAAAGAATGATATAGTCGAATGCCCCCTCTTTGAATTGCGCGGCGTCTTCTGGCGTTCGAACAACTAGGCAAAGGAGGGTTAGGCTAGCAAAGACAGAGATTATATACAAGAGATTGGCAAAATAGCCCACTTACCACGTCGAGGCTTGAAGCGCTCATTGCCGAAAGATCCAGATTTGAAGGAGATGCCATATTGGTAGACAGTCTCGAAACCCGACTTCCAAACGAGGGTTACGTCGCATGCATTAGTAGCCTGAAGTCTCCAAGACAGGAAAGCAGAAACAGCATTTCCACCCACTACACACACTCTCATTAGCTCACTGTCACCCATGGTTCGGCTTCCCAATGGCATCGAGGCATATGCCAGCGCGCCGTGCCGTTCGAGTTAAAAATGGGGAGAAATGAGTGTAAGGGATGTATTTTCAAGTGAATTTAAGGAACGAGGGACAAGCAATGACAAAGTGAGAGGCTCTCCGTCTCTTCCGATGACGGTAGTACTGAAGGGAGAAGAGGTATTGTTCAAGAGATAAGAAGAAGCTGAAGCGGGAATTGCAAGTAACAGAGATGAAAATTAACGAACCTGAGAGGATCTTCAGACGCGGCGCTACTGGTGCCATAATGGAGACCAGTCAAAAACTAGCGGGATAAAATGTCCCTGCGAAATTCCTGTGTCTCGGTGCCTGTGTATCGTGCGGGCGTACTCACGATGGCGTCGGAATTAGCCCAGGTAGCCTTGTACTACAGCGACCAACCCAGACACGGCGTGGGTGTGACGGCTTGTAATAGCTGTCTCACGTCCCTGAAAACCGGCTTTTTTTATTATTACTATCCTCTCAACTCACGATACTCCTAATCTCTGTACACTCCTTGCTTATTCGAACACCTAGCTGACGAAACGGCGGCGGGACGAATGTATTGGCGCAGATCGGGCTTATTCGTTTGGCGACTCACAGGCCCATTCCAGACGGCCGCTAGAAATGGGACAATGAAATTCGATAGCGTCTAATTTAACCCTAGTCTTCACCTAGCAAGAGGCTTGCAGGTAATCCAACACCTTTGGAGAGATTCCGATCCACACAGCAATTGAAAATGCCCAAGAAGCCAGACGTTGAAAATTTGTAACGAGCGTGACGAGCCTGGAGACAGGTCGTGTGGGATGGGAGAGGACAAAAAAGGGACAAGAAACGAGGTTCGAGGGAGCGGGTCGGAATAGATGGTCGAACGTAGGACCAGGCGGGGGGAGAGGAAGAGGGAGGATGAAATTCTCGAAGTCGTCAAAAGAAGTAGGGGGGGAAAATTAATGAACGGACGCGACGACTCTAAAGCAACTAGCTGTAGCGGGCCCTGTGGGGGAGTCAAGGTTGTCGTGGTCGAACGATGGTTGGACGAACGGCGGATGACGGGTACGAGGGCGTGGCCAGCAAGAATTAGACAAGACAGATAGCGTAGTGCATAGAACGGGCGTTGATGGAAGAAATGGAGTTACATGTGTAGAGGTACTGGAGTTACTAGAGTGACTAGAAGAGGGACTAAAGTGAAATGGAGGGGGGGGAAAGAAACAGGGTAGAAGAATTGAGTGAAGGATGAAACCGAGGGTAAAAAAAAAAAAAAAAAACAGACCAGTCAGACGCCAAAAAAGCTGTGGTACCTACTGGATCAATAAAATACAGGCCCAATTAGTACTACGTACATACATTGCGAATGATGCTATGGTAAAAATAAATAAATAAAAAAACGGTGCGGGAGGGGTGTAAAGAAGGTAGGTGTCGGTAGCGTCGGTAGCATTCGATTTTGGGGGGCAATTGTTCAAAATTGGGCTAGCCTAGGCCTGGTCCAGGCCCCGTATGCATCTATTGTAGACTGCTACCCACAGAATACATCCAGGGCTATGTAGTATATTACTAGGTACCTGTACTGGGCCTACTGGCTTTCATGTTCTAGAGGACGTAGTTATCTACCTAAGGTATTGTACTGTGTAAGTACAGGTACGAAGGTTGTGGCCAAAAGTTTAGACCAAGATATACCTCAGCCCCACAGTTCCTCCACTTTTCTACCACTGTAGGAAATATCATCGCCAACATACCTACCTACTTATAAAGCCTTATAAGTTTATTTAACAAATATTAAATATATTGTTACGTTATTTAATCAGTTTATTTAATAATAGAAATTTTTGTAATTTTTTTCTTTATTAAATTAATGTAAATATCTATATTATAATCTCAGGTTGTTTAGGACTGAAGGCTTGAAGTTTATAGCACATTATAGCGTTTAAGTGTGCTATAAGGTGTTATACTCTTAAGGGTTGTGGGGGATTTGACGTTAAATGTATACCTATTATTGGTAGAGGCCCGGAAAAGAGTGGCGCACTGTGGGGCTGAGGTATATCTTGGTCTAAACTTTTGGCCACAACCTTCGTACCATCCATGGCTGTATTCGGCCGGGATGCGTGTTGGTTGGCAAGGGTAGGGATGAAATACATAAGAGATGGGACAAAGATGGGAGGCTTGACAGTAGAGTTACGTACCTATGTAAAGTGGATAACGCTTCAAGTTGTGGATTCTTATATTATGAATGCACAAAACAACAATTGTATAGATGTACGTAAGGCAGCTACATCTTGACTACATAGTAGTGACTATTAACGTGCCTAGGCATGTAAGGTCACAGAAACACCTTCAATGTTCAAATCATCCCGAGCTTGCTTCAAGTATGTACGTATGTAGGTATACTTCGTAGCAACGTTTTCCAAGGAAACGGGTTTACCCACTTAGTGAAGTACAGGATAAGGAAGCCAGAAACAAGAAACAACAGCACTTGAGACTAAATTCTCGGATCTTCCAGTATCGAACAAGTTAGACTAACACCAAAGATGACAATCTCAATCCTAACGTAGCAACGAGAGATTCGGGAATGGCTAGAAAGATAATAATCCGCTCTTTTCTTTGGATTATGTACATAGGTGAGGATTGGAGCCTAAAAGAGACATCTGGATTCTGGACTCGGGAGATACCTAGTAAGGTACTTACAAACCGGCCGATAGCACAACATGAACACAGATACATACTTATCATGTAACTACCTACATCATTGATACTAGGTATATCCTCAATCAAGATTGATCCCATCAATCGATCTTTCTAGGTACATATGCAAATTGGAGCGGGCTTTGCAGCCTTTGCTATGAGCTTCCGGTTGTTACAACATAACTATGTAGTAGATACTAGACATTAGGTAAGAAAGAGTATCATAGTATGTACATAATAGGTATTATTTATTTATTTAACGCATCCATGGATATCTGTATTAGTTACGAACTTACGAGCTGTTTATGTAAAACGACTAATCACAACCTTAGCGTATCTCACTTGCATCAGCCTGCCTCCATAGACTAACTACTGGCTAAAGGCAGCAAATGCACTGTACAATACAGTCTGGACTCTGGAGGCAGTTACCGCCAAATATCAAAGTTCCCGCCCTCCCATACAAAACATCAACAACATTTGAAGTTGAAATCTAGAGGCATGCATGTACACATTCCAATGCTTGAGGCAACTGCTCTCTTCATTACATAAGACTGAATGCATATAACTATACCAATGATAGACAAAGTGTTCTTAATTTTGAACTTTGACATGAGAAATCATAAGCCATCTACGAAGTACGCATGTATATCTAACCTAGGGATGTATACAGTCACTTATACAACATTTACTATAAGATAGAGGTGGATGAACACATACCTACCAGTAGGTAATCACTCACTGATCATTTAAACATATGCACAGCCTGTTCCGTCGTCACACCTCACTACCATAGTATGTACTATGTAGGTAATACCATGTATGGCCTGCGAAAAGGGTAAGAGGCGCTGTGATCGATACGCGCTCCCTGATACTAGAACGGGTGTCTGACGTGGATAGCCACTGGTAATTGAACGTTCAATGTTGTTTGGCTAGATTAATCCCATGTACATCGACTTTCAAGTACATGTCTAACCTACACTACTTCGATGCTGGCTCCATATGTCCGCTTGGGACAATGAGGCTGTGCACTGAAACGCTCCATTGAGATTGTTTGGGTACTCGTACTGTATGCGTACTGTATCTAGGTTGGTATGTAGATATCTCCGGCAATGCCGTACTTGGTAATAGGCCATGCCAGTCCGTATCGTATCAACACCCGTCGTCGGCGTATCTTGTTTACAGACCTAGTATAATAGTCAAGTGCCCCGATGTCTTTCTTATCATCTGGTATAGATACCTACTGACCTAACCAGGTACTTAAGCAGGTTGTCGGCTCAATGTTCTTATTTCTATCAAGAATCCGGGACTATATATTGGGATACATACCTAAGTAGGCACGTAATGAACATGATGGCCACGTATGTAACTGTCCCCGGTGCGCATATGTAAGTTGAATTACATTACCGCCCGGCGCGCACTCTCTCTTTCTCTCGGGCTGGGCTGAAGAGTAACGAGTTATCTAAGTCAGGTAAGCTCGAGTATGCACTTCAGATGCAGCTCTTGGTCCTACAGATGTCCTGCCATGCCACGCGCATATAGTAGTGGGTAAGGTTGGCAAGCGAGTTACAGTACAGAAACAGTTGAAGTACGTTTTAAGCATACTACATATATTAGTAGATAAAACCAGCTTCGATTCTCTACCCTTGTTGGAACCACTTGGTCGCATCTGGGAAACCATTGGTTCAACCGTTCAAAGAGCTTCGGTAGGTGCATGTACTTTTAGTAAGTATGCAGCTGGTAGAGAGGCCGGTATCTAGTGTGGTATGCTTAGAGCTCGCAGACGCTGTGTGATCAGGATGCATTGCACATGCGTCTTAGTGTTGAGAACACCCACTGGCGGTATGCGACGGATTTCAGCCACAGGTGGGATAAAGGGCTGGCTCAAGGCTTTAAATTTTGGAGAGTGGACTCTGGAATGAAGAAAAAAGGGGATGACGATAACACATGGAGAATCCCATGGATACGGTAAGCTTTTGATTCGTAAACACGGGTTCATCCGAATTTTAATGTTTCGTACAGTTGTCAATCCATCAAATTCATCAATTCATTCTACCCGATCTTTCTCAAATTGTACCATTCATCCTGTCATCATAATCTCGATAAATTACCCCTGTCTTATCAACTTTAGAAACTTGCATCATGGATGTACACGTGCATTTTTGACAGCATCCCTAGGGTGTTTACTAGGTCAGGTATTTACAGTACATACCATCTGGTTGGGAACGTCCGATGTCTTGAACTGGCATAACAAAACTTCATTCCTATAGAGACTTCTGATACTGGTGGTCTTACACCTGTCCATGTCTCCCGAAATTCTGTAGGAATAAGTAACAACCTAGTATTGTGAGAATAGTATAAGAATAGCATCAACTTAAGACAAGACTTCGTATAACGGGTAAGCCCTGTCATCCATGACATTAATTATATTAATTAATTGCATGGTAACAGATGGATAACAAGTGATGTGGTTCCTTGAAGCCGTGTCTGCCAGTGCAAAGCTGGACTCATTATAGCAGCATCAATACACAGTAAAAGAAGAGAGTGCTTGGGTGAGGTAAGACAATCCGTCCTGAAGGATTGGAAACTCGGAT